AATTATCTGAGGGCGGAAAGGGGAGGAGGGAGCTACAATAAAGATGGTGGATAAGGATGGAAGCGAAAGGAGGAGCCGAAGATACTAAACAGCATCCTGCTAAACAAAGGGAGGGTGGGGGAAGAGTAGAGAACCAGTGTGAAGAAGTCAGAATGATTTGCGGGCCCCTTATTAAAACCAAGAATAAAAATAAATAAAAAGATGAGAGCTGTAGGTAGGTCTGCTGGGAGTACTTCCAGTAACTGACGCCTTTGGCAATTTACAGTCAAGGGTGGGGCGACTGACTCACAAGAACACAATCCTCCCTGAGTTTCCTCTTAGTAGAAGTCTGAAGACTAAAAGTCAGGCTTGACTCAGCCTTCTGTCTCCACCGACACGTAAACCACATCTCCCAGCTGCTCAGACCAACTGTCAGAAAAGCAGCAGAAGTATCCTAGCATGGACCGGGGAGCTTCACTGAGGATAAAGACAGGATTGGATGAATCACATACGGGGTGGATGCGCTGCATCAGCTGTTTAACATCTTGCACAACTAATGTGAAAAGCGAGGACTGCAGAAAACGGACAGTTGCCTCTCTCTCTTCTGTCGATGGAAATAGTCCTGCAATCAAGCATGAGAAGCCCGTCACTGCTTCGATAGCCATTTTGGAAAACAATGGATCAAAGGAATACATTGAAGTTCATTTAACTCTAATTTGCATTTGACACTGGCAGAGGAGTCTGACAACAAAGCAAAGCTTCACAAGCCAAATGCAGACATTTCCCAAAATTGAGACCAAAGCAAAACGGATAGAATGAAGAGGGCCTTTTTTCAACAGTTTTCAACTATAGTTATTGCTCCTCTTGGACTTCCTTCAGGGGCATTTTCAGGGAAGAGAATCCCATTTAAAGGGGGTATTCACACATAACCCTGAAAAAACTACTGAACAGTTGTAGTTTAAGTCAGAACACATTCATTCGGATAAACCAATAACTTTTCAGAGGCAAGATGATTACGACCAAACCATTCCCTCCAACAGAGCGGTCAAAAGTTTGACTTTAAATTTTAGTTTAATTTTATCTTAAAGCAGATGTATGGCCACTTTGGCCTCCACAGTTTGTTTCCACAGCACATCTAATCTAAGGAGCAACAAAAGTGTTAACACAGCCAAGAACGGCCCACAGCACAGATATTTCAGATTCTGCCTCCAAGTAGCAGCAAACGCTGCTACATGTAGACAGACGCTCAGAGATACCTGGGAGAAAATGCGACTGGGACTTTATACCCGACATTTGTTTACATATACGTGTTTGTCGCTTTCTTCTCATAATGAGATCAGCCGCGATCCAGTAATACATGGGCTATTTATTAGAAAACGCTGGCTCAGAGGAAACTCCTGCCCATAACCTAGGCACATTACTCCATCTTTGTGCCTTGCGGAACAGGCTAAATTCTGTCATAGATTGTCCTTAAGCTGAAACGTACCAAAAAAAAAATTCCTTAATTAGCAGCGATTCCTTGGCACACACACAAAAAAATATTTTCCTCCTTGGTAGTTACCAGACTGAGGTGTTCAGTGCCTCATCAGTGTGTGCTACCATGAACAACTAACTAACCAATTAGAGTAGTGCTAACCTAAATGCTGGCTTGCCATTATGCTTGTAGCCTTTTTAGCCTCCAATACTTTAAATCATACCAACATATTTGAAATAATCCACAAATTTGTCACTTAGTAATACGCTGCAGACATTAATCATTTATTATAACCCGGGTATACAGTTAATGACTCATTTAGCGATTATGTAAGATAAGATAAGGGCGAGTGCTGGATGTGTGACTGCACTTTCAATTCCTTCATGATGGAGTTGCAGTGACTTCACACAGACGTTAATACTTCTCCCTTCAGTTTCGGATGTATCCAGCCAGCCGTCTCCATCCTCCTACTTCCTAGGCTGATGTCATTTGTCAGACTTTAACAAAGCCTGCTTACCTCATCTGTCTATCGAAAACATCCGCTGCCTTGACGTGGCGGCATCACTTCATCAGCAAAGATACACCAGTGAAAGGAAAGCTGGTGGTTGGACAAGATTCGGGAGCTTCAGAGCTGTAGAACAATTTTGCACTTGCTAAAAGTCATACAGCCATTAGCAGTGCCAGACCAGCTGCAAATGTATCTCTTTTTGCCACTTTTACAACACACAATTAATGGCATACTTCTGTACATTACAAAAAGGATGAGAGATTTAAAAAAAGATAAATAGTTTTTTTTTTTATCATACCCTATAAACAAGCCTGACAGATGCTAATTGACTTTAACAGACAGTGGATGTTGTAAAATGAAAATAAAACTACAGAAACAAGTTATTCTAACATGGAAACCTAAAGATTTTTGGGATAGTTCCACAAACGGGGAAACCACATCAAGGCGTAAAACTCCTGAAACATGCCCCAGACAGCAGACATTGCACTGTAAATACCAGGCCAAGAAAAAAAGAGAAAAAAAAAAAAGCTAAACAACTTGAGGCACAAAGTCTCGGGTTAGCAAATTCCAAGCATTTTTCACTCTGCTGGAGCCACCTAGATTCACAGGGGGATACGACTGGGGCAGGGCTGGGATTTCACGGTAGAGGTGGAACTCGGTGAGGTCTGCTGCTTATCAGTGAGACAAGACACCATCTTCCTAACTGATGCATCCGGGAAAGGTATGTGCTGCTGAGAGCAGCTTGAACCGGACGCGGTCACGAACTGCCCTGAGCTTGTTCAGCAACGGTGCGACTGCTGTCCCTGAGGGGAGACGCTGTTGTCGTTGGAAGTATATAACAAAGACTGGTCATTTTCAGCCAGAAGTGCAACAAAGCCAAGATACCGCAAGATAACGATCACAAAAATATTTACAAAGTCCTAACAGTGGATGGAGAAGAAGAGCCTCTGACAGTCATCTAACAGCTCTGCTAGCCGGACACAGTTTTCACTGGATAGAGGATCTTTGGCTGAGAAAGTGGGGTTACTGGCCAGAGGAAGGGAGCAGTGAAAGAGGGGGTGGGGGCTGAGCTTTCTTTTTTCCCCCTAGTGAAAGGCCATTTCACTGCCTGCTGTTACCATAACAACAGGCTACAGACCAGTAGAGGTGGAGGGTGCGTCACAAAGTTTCTCTTTAGGCTGCAAGACATCAAGAACTGGGATGATGAAAAGTCCAGACTAGGGGGGGGGGGGGGGGGGGGCATAGTGCAAAGGGCTCCCCCACAGACCACGATATAAGTGTCTATTTGTTTTCTTTTCGTGGATTATGAATGGACGTTTATGCTGTTGTTTTTTCCCCAAAACTACGTAGGGCCTGTATCACTCTTCCACAGTGATGCTGATTCTTTCTGGAGCTGCACAAATGCCCCCCCCCCCCCAAATAAAACAACACTAGGAGCCCAGAGACACGTTTAATACAGTTAATTTGGCTGATGAGAAATTATGCAAGATGTAAAGTTAAGATATGGTTGTGGCAAGGTTCAAATACCCCACTGCTCATTTGCAGATTTCCAAATCAAGTAAGTAGGAGTTTCTTTTTTTTTTCTTAAATGGCAATTGATCCTCGTCATGTTATTAAGAAGTGGTGGTGCATTCACGTCCGTCAAAAATAGCCCCGTGCATTCACCGAGGATAGGGTTACAAAGTGGGAATTTGTGGCTGCGGGCTATGACAAAAACATGGTAGCAACACAAAGCTCGGGAGCAAGTGCCATCCAGGTCTCAGTTCCGACGTGAGGACGAACAGCTGAGCTCGGCTGCCTGCAGCACAAAAGCCAAAACGCCGCAGTTTGTCCGGCAGTGACAGCGGCGGCTTTCAACTTAGCGAGGGAAAACTGCGGGGTGTCCCCGCGCGCGCCGCCCCGCACCGAAGCCGCGTTACAACCTGACTCTTCAATTTTTACAAGTCATCATCTGCCCGGTAGGAGAAAACTAGGCCCGTGGCTATATTGAGCACCACCCCGCAGCCCTATTTCAGATTCCATTTAAATGCGACATGTGCTGTGTTTGGGTGTGCAGAGCTACGCGGACGAGCTCAAAAAAGAAACGAGCTGAAATTAATTCCAGCCTTTTTTTTTTCTCTCTCACTCTCTGTCTTCCTCTCCCGTGTGCGCTTACCTGCAGATGTTCCTGAAATCGTATCGGCAGTATCTGAGCCATGTCTGGGTGATTTCTCTGTCCGAAGAGTCCGTGAGGAAGGAGAGGGGAAGGGGACAACGAGAAAATAAAGGTGGTCTTCTGCCCTGCGTGCTCCAAACGCCCTAAAAGCCTTAAATGATGGGCTGTCGAGTGTAGCCTGGGCGGCTCGCGACGGTATCACACGAATCCAGTGATTGCTCCCATTCAGCGGACCCCTTCACTTGTACTCTGCCCAAAACTCCGCACCTCCGCTAAGAAAAATAGTCCACTTTAACTCCTGCCCAGCCTGGCCAGCTCTGCCTGGAGCCTGTTAACGATAGGGGCTGTCCTAAAAATTCCCACGGACTTTATGGGAATGACTTTGCCTAAGAGGCCCCTGTCATATTGTCTTCTCTGTCTTCCACAAAGCTGTCAATTCATCACGTTAACTGGGCAGATTGTACCCCTTCGCCACCCCCCCCCCCGCCCCCCTTTCCTTCCACCAACTTGGGTCCCAAACAGGCGTTGGCCTTTAGTATAATTTCAACTAATTTCCATATATTTTCCAAAAAACGTACACTGTGGTGAGCATTACCACCAGATATGCATGATTCTGACGTGTTCCTTTTTTTATTTGAATTTTTTTCAAGCCAATTTTTTATTTCTCCATCGTTTGCATCCCTCTTGCCATCAAGCTCCTTGATCCCTGTTCAGCACTTGAATCATAAAGTATATTGTGTTGCTAATGACTTTTTATTATCACTTGTTCTGAACAACTAAGTTGAATGAATGTAATGAGAATTACATTTATGAAAAATTCAGATGATTTGAAAGTCATGAGCAAAAACGCTGAAAACTACTCTCAAAATAATCAAAGCTGTGAATGTATCAGAGCAAATATTTCACACAGATTGTGTACTTTTCAGATATTCATGATGATCACACCCAACATCAGTTGTTTTAGGGTTTTTTTCAGCTGAACCATAAAAGAACAGTTTCAGGTTTTCATTAATTGTCACATCCAACAAGTTTATGGCCTGCTCCTGTGCAGGAATGGGTAAATGTGATTTACTTTTTGGTCATCTGGAGGATTTGTGTTTGTGTTAAAACAGACGAGTTATGGTTTGTTTAACTGTGGCCAAAGATGAAAGAAGAATCTTTTATTAGAGAAGCTTTTCATCAGCCTCTGAAGAGTTAAAAGACCATTTCCGTGCAGTTTTAATAGAGTCAGAACATTTGCAAGTAGGAAACATTGCGGAACACATGATTCTGTCAAAGTGGATGTCCCAATTTCCCCGAAAAATTACATCAACAAATACAAACTCCAGGTCTCGGCTCATGTAACATGTTTGATAGTAAATTGAATGACAGAAACATTTAATCAGATTTATTTTTAGATATTTGGAACAAGAATAAAAAGAGATGTGTAGTTATATGCTAAAGTAGTACGTTTGGAGGAAAACAAACACAGTATATCAACAAAAACACCTCACCTGCTCTCAAGCATGATGGTGGGTGTTGATGTTTTAGGCTTTATTAGCAGCTAGATTATAAACTACACAAGATTTAGTCATTTCAAAAAGTTAAAAGACAACTAGAAAATATGTTCCCTCCATGTATCATTTGATGCCTCCATTTGCCTGAATTTAGTCCTTGCCATGCATTTAAGGCTGGTTGTGACCTGTAAGAGTTGTAAGCGTAGTCTAAATGTTACACTGAATCTTAATGTACGGTAATTCTGTTCATATTTTAGTACCAGCTCTGCCATCTGGTTTTTCCGAGCAAAGAGTCAGAGCAGACGGTTTAACCCTGACAGGAAGCAGGTGGATCCACCAGCGTCTGGTCAGCAGCTGCAGGAAAGCAAGTCACACAACACACACACACACAGCTGTGCACGCAGACTGATCCTGGTGACCCTCACTGATAGATATACACAACAAACAGTTTTTTTGACAACGGCAGAAGGTTGAATTTACTTAAATTATCAAACACGAGTAATAAAATGCACTTGCATAAACCTTTAAATGAAGCAGACACACAAACACCTTTAGTCAATTGGTCGTTAGGTGCAGGTTAAACTGGTTACTAGACAACAACATTAAATATCGAGAAATAATGGCAAAAGATTTAGAATAAAAAGAAATATAAGTTACTGTACCAGAGTCAACAATTTCACACTAAAAACCCAAAAGACTCCAAATCAGTCATTCAAGTCAACAAAGAAAAAGATACATAGTAAATTAGTGTTGTTAGTATCTATAGGTTGTCAGACTCCTTATGAGCACAAGTATAACATTTCAGTCAAAAGAAAGTGAATTATAATGATCTGACACAATGTACCAATTTCTTAATCAAGACAAAAATGACTAAATGACTGTTTCAGTAACAGACAGTTTCCGTTTTCCAGAGAAAGCCTAAATTGTGCAAAAATTATTACAATTACAGTGCAAACAAAGAACGTCCCCTTTTCAAACCACAGTTAAGTCAAAACTCAACGCTATGTTCAGCCGACTGATGCAGCTGCTGTGTGTCAAAGAAGATTTTCTACATCTCTCAATGAAAAGATCTCTGTTCCCACCGCCGTAGGGAGGAACCTCTGTGAAAGACACACTGTAAGCCTACAGAATTTCCATGAGGGAAACGTTCATTTTGTACCTTTAACCTCATGAGTCATGCCAGCGAAACATAGAGTCAGTGTAGTTTTAAGGGCGGACGGGGTGAGTTAGATGTGCCGTGTGCTTGGCCTGGCTCCTGCTGTCAATCAGCAGCAGTTGGTTATTCTTGTGGAATGAGATCATGTCGTCAAGGCTGGTGAAAATCTATGAACAATCGATAGAAGGAGAAAAGGAATTTGACATCATTTTTCAGTGAGCTCCGTGAAATCCTGAATCCAGCTCCCAATTTTTCTTCTGTTTCCTTTATTTCTCCAAACGGCCCGGCTATTTGCCTCACCTCTTCGTTGTTCTTTCCCTCCTTTCCGAGGGCATAGCCCTGTATGTCCTCCAGGAAGCGGATGGGGATGTTGTACACCTTCTGCTGGTAGAGCACGGCCAGGGTGTACGGCTGGCGGCTGCTCTGGGCCGAGCTGTGCCGGATGAGGAAAGCACCATCCTGCATCACGGAAGAATGACGAGGGATTATCAAAAACAAGTGAATAAAAATATATGGATAGAGCGAGCTTGAATAAAAATATTCATAAAGGTACGTTTAGTAATGCTATTTCATGAAAAGTTGTTTCATTTAATTGTTACAGATATAAAACTGCTTTGCCTTTACCTTGTTGACTCTCTGTAAGAGATCCTCAGCTGTTTTTCTGCTGCAGTCTCCTGCAAACCACTCTTTATCCTGAGATGTCACACACATTAAACGTGTCAACAGCAGTACATTCACCAAAGAACTCCATTGGCTAATTTAAGTCTTGCTCTGTGTTACAAAAAGTACACTTTTTGGAACAATCGGAGGATTACACTCAAGTATTTATCATAGAATGTCTTTTAAAACAAAGCTCCGAAAGGGAAACTATAGAGCACAACTTCCAATACTGAGATCTAGATTTTTTTGGATTGTGATTCCATACCTCATTCTCTGTTTGCTTGGACAGCTTCATCCCACCTTAAAACAGAGGTAAAGATAAAAGTTCAAAATCTACAAGATAGATGAGATAAAATAGAACAAAACATGAAAATGACTGGGATCTAACCAGCAGGCTTTGTGTCCGTCACAGGAAGGCTTGGAGGACTGGAAAGAAGAAGAAAAATCATTATTAAGACATTCAACTCATATGCAAACACGCATTTCAAGAGGGATCGAATGCTTAGTTTTTATAGTTTAATAAGAGTGAACGTCTTCAACTACTCTTCTGTTACCTGGATTTAGCCTCTTTCAGGTTTGATGGTAACTGAGGCCTGGTGACTGTTGGCGGGGGGAGTTTGGTGGGGAAAGTACGTCTCTCTTCAACTGAAAGAGCTGAGTATGCACAGATGGTTTAGTTTCTTTCCAACGGGGCTGAGACTTTAGGTAGCAAAGACTGAGCCCTCACCTGTTTTCAACTCAGTCATGACGGGAAACTTGGAATTCTGAAAGAACGGAAAAACAATTTGCTGGTGTGCCATACTGGCACATAAGCTCTGGCACAGCCCTGTTTTGCCAGCATTACTTTTGATTAGGGTAAAATAACAATTAATATGCACTCACAGCCTTCTCTCTGGGAACGGGAGGCTTCATCCTTAAGATGATCAGAACAAGAATTTCCATTTAAATGAAAGCGTGGATGTATTTTAGGACAGGATGAGCAGGTGAATGTCGTCATTGGAATAAGAAGATGGATGACTCAGAGAGGCACTTACATGGGTATGGAGGCAGGAGCTGTCTTGGGGGACGGAGGCATCCGTGGCCCACGTGGAGCTGGGGAACAAGCTGGGGAACCGGAAAAAGAGAAGGAACATTTTTATAGCTTTTTCCATTATCTTGAAATGGGATCTTGTATTCTTTGCCATTTTGATGGAGTGAAATTAAACAGACCATCTGGATGATCATTGTCTCATTAAACACTGCTGTGCAAACTCACAACCACAACCTTAAGGATAGTTTATATTAATACAAGTGCATACCTGCTTCTGGCTCCAAGTACAGGTCCTCATTATCTTCCTGAAACCCCAAATCAAAAATCTTAAGACAGGGCATCCAAGTGCAAGAAGAGTATGAATATTCCATGCATGTCCTTAAAAGCTGTAACTTTGTGATGTTACTTCATAGAAAATATTATTTCTTGCTTAATTTCAGCTATTTGGTTGATTCTCTCAGACTAAAATACTTTTTTAATTGGTGTTATGGGGTCTGTAGGGGATATTAAACCTTTTATCAATGTGAATCATGATATTTACAGATTGTCCTACATAATAGCAGATAATTGGTACCTTAACCAGCCTTTTATGAAACCATGCCCCCCTTGGGTACATACATATGGAAGCTGCCTGCTTGTATCTATTTCCCGGGAATAAGAATCTGTGTACAGTCTCTCGGTGTTATCCCAAAGGAGTGTTATGCAGATGCCGACCCTTAAAGGACGTGTCCCAATGCGGCAGCCTGAAAGGCAGGCTAAGCCATGTAGTTCCCATGTCTTTCAACTCTAATCTTACCATACATCTTGACTTCAGACGTTTTCTTTTAAGTGACAGATGATAAAAACCAGGAAAACATAATCGGGCAGCCTTCTACTCATGAATTCAGAAGCTATGATCTCACAAATATTCCCAAAGGATGAGAGGTAAACACTCACATTCTCCTCATTTGGATCCAGATAAACATCTGAAAGGCAGGCAAGAAACACTTCTTGTAATCTATATTGTACTGTGGACTCGGTACAATATAATATAGAGCATTGTACTTGAAGTTAAACACAGTATGTATTTAGCCATCCATTTTCTATACCAACTTTTTCCAAGGTAGGAGGTTGTTTATCTAATGTTTATCATTTATAAATGGGCTATTCAGCAAAACCCTTTTTGACGAGGTAACACATTTTAAGCATATGTTGTATCTGTAAAGCAGTACATGTTTTTTGTTTGTTTTTAAAGGAGGGTTTGGAATTCAAATCAGTTCTGCTGCCGTAATGCTGAACAGTACAAGATTTTTTAAAAATCAGATTTTTCAAAAATGTGCATGCTTGTAAATTAATAATACGTTTGATAGGTTGTTAGATGTCCTTGTGACAACTGGTACAGGCTTCCGCCCCCCATGACCCTGAATTGGAATAGGACGGTACAGAAAATGGGTGGATGGATAGATATTTTGGTTCATACATTTAGAATATAAAGGTGTTTCAATTTAGGGTGAATAAATCTATGCAACATTTTCAAACAGGGAGGAATATGTCTATTCTATAGAAATACTGCATCGAAACATGGATTGCTTTGTTGTGGAAGATCGTCCTGCAGTTTCTGAGGTGTAAAAAGTGTAGCGCAGAGGAGCCTCAGTAGGTGGCACCATCCACCTTTTTTTTTCAAAGGCATGGGCTGCCTCACGGTGACTCTAGAATTTCATTTAGTCCCTAAGGAATATTTGTTGCTGCAGGAAACATTAAACACAATAAATAAGATCATCATGTCAGGACCCATCTTTGGCAATACTGTATTTAGAAGAAAAGGAGCAGTGAATGAAGTGTCTGTGTTTTTGTGAACAGTTTACGAATAACATTTACTGTCAGGGTGTGTGGCTGCCTTGTCAATTTCTTATCTGATATTCAAAGTCTAGTTATATTAGATATTAGTGATGGTGGAACGGCACCTTCCTCAATGACGGCAGGGGAGGGAGAGGGAGCTGGGCGGACAGGCGGGGGGGGCATCTTTTTTCTTCCAGGCTTCTCATTTCGGTCTATCTCAGGTGCTGAGAAGGAGGTCAGAAAAACCATCAGTTTCAAGATAAGAAAGGAGATTCAAGAAAATAAGTGTGGAACTTTAATGACAAAATGAACTCAAACAGGAAAGAAGATGTCTCACGTTTCTTATTGTTGGAATCAGGATATGACTCCTCTCGCGGTTGTGGTTTCTGGAGGTTTTTTAATCAAGACAAATTAACACAATTCTCGACAATGGCAGTGGGACACAAAGACGAGCTGTTGGGACGTGTTGTTACCGATGGTTTGCCCGGTCGGGGTGGTGGGGGGGCAGCCTGCCTTTGTGGAATAGCAGGATTAGAGGTCCTCTCTGTGAAAACACAATTCTCTTAAGAAAAAAAATACCTTTTTTTCAGAATCTTTACAGAAATAAGGCTCAATGCATTTGTCTTACCCAAATAAATGTTTTCTTGTACTTGTCTCTGTGGAACTTTTGCAGGTGCACGCTCACAGGGAGGCACTTCATACATGTCACTCTCCTCATCGTCCTGCTTTGAGATCATGGAAATGAAAAATAAACTATCACATTTGTATAAATGTTACATTTATCTCCATCCCCCAATGTTCAGTCGTTGAAAACTAATAATGTTCAAAAGGGTGGGCCACGTTTCATCACATTCAGAAAGAATGTGGTCACCATCAAAGTATTTAAGAGCAAACAGCTCTACTTACAAACTCATCCTGAGGCCATTCAAACCCTGCATTGGTTTCTGAAACACACACACATGGACAGGCATCCATGAGAATGTGAACTAGGCGAATCAAATCATATTTGTTATTCAAATAATGTGTGGCAAAATCTCACCTGTCCTTCTGGGAGGAGCAGGTGGTCCAGAGTGTCTGAAAGGAAGATGACACAGAGGCTCAAAGTGTAGTTTTGTTCAGCCAGAAGCAGATCAGCGTGCACGAATAAATTAGGGTTACATCTCACACGTTATACTTACAGGTTCTTGAGTTTTCCAAAGAAGCTCTGAAAAACAGCGGAAAGACTGGTTTGAGAAATCCCACAGAGATAGAAGCATCAGGGTAAAAGTACAGACTAGTGTCCCCGCTACATGGCTGCTCTCAAAAAGCAGGTCTGGTTGATCATAATTTACTTTTATCAGTCTGAGTGAGTGGCAGCTCTTTTGGAGCATCATGTGATAACTAAAATAGAGCTTTGTGTGCTGCAGGTGTAGATCTACTATACTTTAATAATCTAAATACAAGTTAACAGTTTTTCTTATTCTGGAAAGGTTTTTTAAACAGCATGTTAAAAAAAAGGATGTGATTGAATATTATGGTTGAAAGTCGTAAAGATGGTAATCAATAGTGATAGAGGAGAAGTTGCTGTAGCCTTCCCAACTTTCTGAAGTAATTAGATGGTCAGGTCCCTCTCACCTCCAGCAACCCCAAAACAACAACTAAATCTAGCTGTTATAGGAAATGAATGGATGTATGGATTTAAAAAAAAAAGTTTCTCTTGATTTTAGTCTGAAATTCGTCACTCATGCTGGAAACGTGTATTCACTTTTTTATCTTAGAATGTGCATTAGAAAGGTTCTTTTGGTTTATGAGATATTTTTTTATTCAACATTAACAAATTTGGCATCATTGAAGCATAATCAATTTGAATTTGAAAGGCAGTCTTCAACTAATAGAACATTTGCAATTCCGGGAAAAATATCATTATAATGACACAGTATGCAATGCAATGTTTGTAGTCGTATTCTAAATGTTCTCTTTCATCTGCTTGTGTTAAATTTCTATTACTAAATGACAGATGAGCTTCCAGACAGATGTTTGTCTGCATTTAAGCCTGCAGGATGAGATTAACTCACATATCAAGTGAAATCAGGAAGTGGAGATTTTCCCACAGTGCCAGGCAGTGTTAGAGGAAGTGTCGGAGCAGAGTAAATGGTTTTGGATAGATAGAAAGGTGCAGAATAAGGGACTGTCTGTGTGTCACGGTCACACAATTAGACAGAAAACAGCAGCCTTATTGTTAGCTGCCTCTTTCACTGGAATGAGGGTCAGATGAGTTGATAACTGTACAACTTGTGGTATATTTAGGATCACAAATGCCGTCATTTATTTAAAAATATCTTCATTTAAGGATTGGGTCAAGTTACAGTCACAGTAACTGTTGTGTTGCACTGCTGCCTTGATGAGACTTTTCTGATGAGGAATTTTCAAATATTAAAGAATAATAGGGAGATCAAATAGGAAAACAGTGACCCACCCATGAAAAAAAATCTGAAGGGAAGGGCGAGAACTGTACCAGGAGAATGTTTCCCTGATTCTGAGTTGTCACACAGATTTGTTTTTTTATGTCCACCCCAGTCAGGTGCCAGCATTTGATTTTTTTTCACAAATTCATATACAAGGAACAGAGTTAGTAAAACACTTTTCAGGTGACATTCTTCTTTCACACATTAGCATCCACGCTTATTATTTGTTTTATGTCAGGTTATACCGTAAAGTGAAAGCAAAATGAACGTTTGGAATCTTGGTTGTATTTTCCTAAACTTTTAATGAAAACATCACAGCCAGCATCCAAAATAGAAAAAAATAAATAGTTCATTTTGTCTGCTGGGAATAACGAACACAGTACATTAGAAACTCCCAAATGTAATTCACGGTCACCTTTACAGAGTCTGGAAGTTGTTATGGGGAAGTTATAGTAACAGCATTGACACCACCATCCCAAAATATCCAAAGGCATACAAATTAAAAGGGTGAGATCCAATTTCTGACCAAAATTTTAGATAGATTTTGATCTGTTCAACAACAGGTGATATAGAAAGAGTTTCTTTTTTTCACCAAACGTATTTGACCTTGTACGGGGCATGACCAGGAGTTAAACATTTGCCTGACAACACCAGCTGTCTTCAATGTTCTGTCTTTCCGTCACATTCACCACTTGAATGAAGATTTTATTAGTGTAAATGCCGAAGTCCTTTCAGTATCCCGTTTGATGAGGTTAATATACACACACGGAGCTTTAAAATTTGGTTTCAATAGAAACTTGTTGACTTCCCTCTTCCTCAACCCAAAGCTGTTCCAGAGAGTGTAAGAATGTGACAAAATAAACATTTACTTTACCATTGTCATGAGTTGAAGTCCACTCTCACTGCACAAGTCATGAGGAAATGCCTTTGTTTCAGTCCCTGGATGCAAATGGTTTTAAAGACTGAGGGCACGCAATGCTCTGAGAATGTGTAGCAGCGCTCTCTGGCTTGATTTGCATTTCCTACCTGTGGCTGGCAGAGAGACCGCCTCACCTGCTGTTAGACTGCCTTCCTCTAAATGAACAGCTACACAGCGGGAACATGGCTCCACATTTCCCTATTACAGCCACCGAATAGTCATGCAAAAGACTGGCTGTAATGCCTGTATCTGCCCCCCTCTAAACAGAGCCTCTCACCAAGCAAAGATAGATTTTGTTGCTGGGCATTCATGTTAGACTGTATTTCTTTTCATTCTAACTTTTCAAATGTGTATTTATTGCTGCTCAATACCTCATAATGTGCCCAGCTCAGTCCTGTAAAGCCATCAGCATCTACATCCAATCTGCCATGAAGTAAGCTGTTATTTTTATGTACCAAGAGACCCAGCTGGGGTAGGAAGATGAAGTCAGAAGAAATTAATTATTCTGAGGTCATCAGTCGGTTATTTTATAGAGATTATTGGGAACAAAAATGTCAAAATGAGTCATATGAGATTTTCCTACAAATATTTTTATTAACATAGGAGTATATTGAAAAATGTGGTTATAATAACATTGACCATGACAATAAATTATTAGTCTACAGCACACATGTAGATTAACATGTTAAAGTTTCTACAAAACAGTGTAAAATGCACATAAATATAAAAAATGTACTACAAAAGATCTGAAAGGCAAGCTTCCCTTTAGAGTCGATCACAGAACAAAGCAATTTTAAGGATATCAGCTTTGCAGTCAGGTAGTATTTATAATATTAAAACCTCAATAAAAAAAATCAATAATGAGAAATATACATGTATCCTACAAGCCGGGATCAACCCAGGCGTCTGGTGGAGAAGTGCTACGTTGCAAAAATATTGAGAATGAGTAACAATTTACACATCCTCTGACTAAATGTTAAAAGAAACAGGATTGTCAAATGGAGTAAGGATCTCTTGTTTCCTGTATGTTTATCTATTATCTGTCAGGGTGTGCAAAGGGATTACAATCACAAAAATGAATGAAAAAATGAATCTGAACCAGCAGATAATTAATGTGGTTTCACTGCAGGTCTGGAGCAAATAGCATCTTGAAATAAAACCATCAAGCACCAATAAACTTATGTCTACCCTTGATCTTGACCCAAACTTTTTTTTAAATGCCCTTTTAAGTAGTAAAAAAGAAAATCCTGATGCAGTTCACGGTACTGTGCAAAATAAATGCCTCCCGGCAAGAAAGTGCAGCTGATATAATGTTTACAACTGTAACTTCTTTTCTAAAGACACTATAAAAGAGAAAAGAAAGAAATTGTCTCCTGATGGTCTTATCAACTGCCTATGCCATTGGTTTGCTGAAGGCAAAACTGAAAAGACAAGCCTTTTAAATCAGTAAAATGCTAGAAATATCATTGGATTCAAAGTAGGAACCACAAGGAGAAAAAGCCCCTCTCTGTTTCTGTCTTTGTACACTGTTACATTCAGCATAATGAGGCACAGAGACCACGAGAACAGGGAGCCACACCAAGAACACAAAGCCATAAATGAGCTCCTTCTTGTGGAGCTCCGTCCCTCTGACCTTTAACCTCTCTCTGTTGGGAATGTGATCCCCAGATAAACTAGCTCTCACAACAATCAAAGCACTGCGGATTCCTTCATTTCCTAAATCGGTAAACACTGATGTTCACCCTTCCAACAACGTTGCAGTCCTCGCTTTAGACCGAGCTCGCTTTCATTTTGCTGTCGATCCAGTCGATGTACTGGGTGACGCGCGTGTACACGCCCGGTTTGTCCCTCTGCCCGCACCCGTCCCCCCAGCTGATCACACCCATCAGGGTCATCCTGTCATTGTTTCTGCAGACCAGCGGGCCACCAGAGTCCCCCTGCAGGTGAGAATCAGAAATTATATCTAGTAACAACATCACTTTTGTAAGTAAAAAGGAGGCTAGGAGGTCAAATCTTGATCTCTCTATGGTGAAATGGTGAAACTCTCACCTTGCAGGCATCGTCGAGGCCCCGGGTGTCCCCCGCACACAGCATGTTCGAGGTCACTGTGCGCCCAGACAGCACTTTTGGAACGCAGCGCTCGTTGGGCCACAGGCGGACGTATCCTCGTTTCACCCGCTCCGAGTACTCGGCCGAAACTGTGGGGAGAGAGAGTTCGAAGTTCAGCCCGAGTGCAACAGCAGAGGTCTGTGAGCCAACGGCCCCCTCTGCTGTCCGGTCGAGCAAGTCAACCCGCGCCTGAGCGTTTGAGAAATTCAAAGTCAAAATGGCATTTGTGCTTACACTCTTCCTCCCTCCCGTAGCCTGAGATCTCACACTCGGTCCAGTCGGGCAGCACCAGCCCACGCTCGGGCAGACACGCTGGAAGAACCTCTGGAGAGTTTACGGCACACATGCCAATGTCCGTCTTCAGCTTCAAAATAGCTGCAAGTGGAAAGTGACCACAGGAAAGTCAGGGTAAGGCACCGAGAACGTGTGGGCTGAAGGCTGAGGGATGTTTTACAGATTTTGAAAAAGCTATTCTCCTCGCATTTTGGCTTTCCATGTTGTCACTGCTCAGAGAAAAATAAAAAAAAGTCCCCCTCTGTGTTTTTAATCATTGACTTTCAACCACAACGAAATATCTGCCTCGTTAAGTTGGTACATGTTTGGAAAATATGTACCAAAAAAAAAAAAAAAGCCCTCTTACCAATGTCATTGTCAAATGTTTCATTGTCAAACTTCTCGTGGATCCAGTACTTCTCCACCTTAAAGATCTGCTCGCTGCTGGAGTTCCTCTTTCGAAACGTTCTTCCCAAAATCACCTGCAATTTTTCTGGTTTATCACTGAAAACAAAAGATGATAAATCAGGGAATTTTCATGACGAACCTGATGATTCTGTTTGTTTTTTTTACACTATGTGTGCATGTGTCTGAGCTGGAAGAACTTCATACTTGATTTCAAAGCAGTGAGCCGCGGACAGGACCCAGCAGGAGTCGATGAGCACCCCCCCACAGCGGTGGAAGTACTTCCGGTGGCGGCGCTGGTAAACGTTGATGGCGGCCTGCCACGGCTGCTCGCTGATGTCACTCCCCCTGCCGCCAAAAATGCGGAACGACGGCCGACTCAGAGAGTTGTCCAACCGCTGACCACACGAGGCTACGGAGATGGGATAGTTCAAATAATTATCACTCCCCCAGTTCCGCTGTATTATGGACTTCTGCTAGTTTTCATAGATGTCTCACCTCTGTTGTTGTTATTAGTGGTCGGAGCACGAGGGCCAAGCGTGGTGATGACAGATGGACGTTTTGCTAAAAAATGGAAAAAGCAGTCAAACTGATTTGTGTGCCTCTACAGCAGAAAAAACTAACTAACTATCTCCATCGTCTCATTCAACGTAACCACTGCAATGAGGGGACTCACAGCACTTGGGGATGTCGCACAGCTCCCATGTCAGCACCATGTTTTTGTAAGTATGACACCACGGGCCAGCGTCGCCGTCTGGATTCCTGCGGGATCGAAGAGGAACCTGAGTCAGCACGTTCTCTCTAAACGCAGAGATTTGGGGGAAACGGTGTCTGAAGGCGTCCCCACCTGCAGAAGTTGTGGTTGCTCAAGCCCAGCTCTAAGGCGTCCGATCTCCAAGCGTTGTTGAACTTGCGCCTGACGGCGTTGGAGTCCCAGGGGAGGCAGCGGGAGCCGCTCTTAGTGACGGACGCTGTGCCCCTGTAGGATTTACCCGAACCCAGCACACACTCTCTGCTCCTATCTGTGGAAAAGCACACGCACAAACAGAAGCGTGCGTACATGTTTAATCAACGCTATTACAGCTTTGCGTAAATGAGGACCTTTGGCAACTCTTTACCTTCAGAACATTTTGGCATGGAACAGAATTCCCAAGCGATCTGACTTCCTCTGTAGATGTAACACCACGGGGAGCTATCCTGGTCAGGGTTCCTGAGGAGTGCAGCAACAAGAGAGGGTTAAAATATGTGACTCTGGCCATCATTTGATTACTTTATAGCATAGTAAGATGGTGATTAAGTGTGAAAGCCCCCTTCTAATCATCTGTTTTAAACCAGAACCATACCAGAATAGTGGTTTGGGTAGCTTCTGTTGGATCTTAGTGCGCATGGCTTGCTGTGTTTACTGGGACCAGGAACTTCTAATATATATAAATTACAAATAAATCCCAAGAAAATGATGTGAAAGGACCTGAGGTTAGCATGTGGGGGAAAACCATGTTGTTGACGCTGCTCTGTACAGGGGAATTAACAAAAATTCCCCCAAGCTGATGTCAAGGACTGGTCAGCCTTTACCAGAAAACATTAAATTGTGGTCATCCCTTCACAAGAAGCTGACACTTGTTTCTGAAATCAAATGTTCATATGACTTAGTCACAAAAAAAAAAAAAAAGAATTAACGAGAGAAATGGGGACACAGTCAGAGCCGTTTAGTGTTTTAGTTACATTCTCCAAACAGATAAGTATCTTCTCAGACCGAATATTAATGTTTTGGTACTTATAATTTGACTCTACACATGGCACATTCAGCCTGCTCAGATAAAGCCTATATATACATAATATAATATATAATCCAAGATTTTCTTAGTCCCACAGATGTGCCAACACACATACCTGCAGAAGTTATGGTTGCCCAGTCCGAGACTGCTGGCATCGATTTTCCTCGCTGTGAACCTCTTTCCTCTCAGAGAGGTGGAATTCCAGTTGATGCATTCAGCTCCCGACTGGCTGACACTCAGCGTGCCGCGGTAACCTTCCCCATGGCCCACAGCACACTTATCGTTGGTGTCTGTGACAGAACGATAGACAAAAAGTTCAGATGTAGTCACAGAGTTATATTTTAGACATATCACCATAATCACTGACTTAATTTGTTCCATCTAGCATGAAATCTAGTAAATTCCAGTTATTTGACAAGTCTAATAACAGGTCATAACATTCTGGACAAATTCAGAAAACACTTTTTTTTTTCTTATACAAGGTGTAAATGTTCAATTTGTGTCTTTATAAAAATTTTATTGTAGTTTTCCAATTTGTGGTTTCAGACAATGGCCACACATAAACTTTTGCCATATCAACTCATCTGATAAAATCACTTGACTGTGACGGCTAAGCTTGGGATAATTATCTCAGGGTGGGGTGTCCATGAAACCACAGAAACAAAAACATGCATATCCCAGAATGTCTTTCCATCGTTTATGATCCTTTCGGTCTCTATAAACCACAGGCCAGTGTAACTAACTGTGGAGTCACTCAGTCAGACTGTGACCTTATCAAGTGTCACTAACAACTTTTCATCACTGTTGTGTCACAGGCCGCACGTTTATGGACGAGCTGAATTTGCTGCTGCTTTCAAATCCAAACAAAAACGCATAAGAGGAATCTTTTTATGGTCCGATTTTGAGATTTTCCACTTTTAAAGCTACTGTAAAGAAGTTTGTGAGGCTTAAAACCCTCCCAGGCCAAAAATATACACCACTGTTCACAACTTTGATTTCCGGTCCTGTGGTACACTGTTTTGCTTTACGGTCACTTGACATTTTTATGGTTATTTAATGGCATCTTAAAAACAAATTCATATTTATGGCTGTGTATGTGCAGGGTTTGCACAAAGATTTGCTTTTATGACAGTGGTGTTGTAGAAGGAGACAAAGAAAAGAGAATCTGCCAAATTTCCAAGTGGGACTTAAACAACTGCTGCTTACTTCTCACTGTAATGAAATCATGTTTGGATAAAGATCCAAACAAGGTACGAAGAAAATATAATTATATTCATTACGACAGGCAAAAAGGACAAAAACAGGTCATATTTACTCTGGAACAGAGACTAAATAAAAGCATGGCCAAGTGGAATCAACTCTTGATCGCTATAGAAAAGAGGGGCCGGATTTCCCTCGGGTGGATTAAATCATCAGATTTAATCGGTGATTTCAAAGATCAGGGTGTTTTGACTGTTGAATAGGAGGGGTTTCCTCGGGAGTACTCACTGATCTCACAGCGAGCCCCCTTGAAGCCCGGGGGACACTGGCAGATGTAGTCTGACGTGTACACGGCCTCCTTACAGGTTCCTCCATTGTAGCACTGAGACACGTAGCAGTCTGGAAAAAAAGGGAGGCCAGTCACTTAGTCAGTCTCACAGCATTCAGAGCAGTCTGAGCCAGCAGAATATGAATGACTGCACATGGCCGGTTACAGTGAGAAATGCGGGTTTGACCGACATGCAGAAGCATCTGTGAGCGGGGTTCGTTCTGTCTTCCCTAAAGAGCGACGCCGAAGATTTTCTTCGTGGAGCAGAACTGCTTTTTGGTTTTCATTTTGTCACGTCAACATTTCCAAAAGCCTAGCGCTCAGAATAACAGCAACCCCCCTCTCTCTGGCTTCGCAGCCGTTCGGCTGGCTGAAAATGTGGTTGCAATTTGTCTGAGGGGAGGGGTAATTATGCTGCACAAAATTCATCAGATGGGTGAAAGTGCGCACAATGGCTGGTCTGGCAAGACTATGTCAAATAATCTCAGACTAAATTACACCCCCTCAAAAAGCAACGGGACCCAAAACCTGTCCGTTTGGATGCACTGAAATAACAGGGACCGGGTCACATGGCAGAGGAGCGCCGACTAAAAAATAATCATCTGAGGCCGCGACAGAAAATGAGAGGTTAAGGAAGAGAGGTGAGTGAGGGCACACAGGAAGACGGGCGCACAAATGATCAAAAACACAATTACGTTACGCTGTAAATAGTCATTGCAAAGAAGAAAAAGAAATAGAAGCAAGCCAGCTGCTTGTGTTTGTGTGTATAAGTCCATCTCAGACTCACTGATAACGGGCACAACATGACAAAGCTCGCGTCCTTTCAACGCACAACGGCAATACTCCACACGCTGTCCCTTCCATCGCAGCCAAGTGTCCCCAAAACTACGCACCGCGGACGTCTCACTATCCACACACAGAACTGAGGAAACACACACATACACACACATTAGGTTAACAGGCAGTTCAAACGAGACAACAAAAAAAATCCAAACTGGTTCACATTAACCTGAACATGCAAAGGCCAAACGCTGAACAAAGGCATGATTGACAGGAGAGAATGAGAAGACAATGATGATGATGATGATGATGATGTGTTGTGAGAAAAGATAAAACAGAGGTGTGATGGGGCTCACGGGAGGAAGGTGTAGACTTCTCGACATGAAAAATCAAAATGGTCCGTCTGGGTGACTGCCTGTCAGGCTCACCTCTGTAAAATCGAGTCCCTCGCTTTGTGCGACGCAGCTCCACCTGTAACACAACAGAGCCGTTGAACACAGAGGGCATGGCACAAACCTCCAACCCAGCCAGTCAGCTTCTTTAAAACACATAAACATCCTTCACAGGCGGATTTGGACATATATATATATATATATATATATATATACATACATTTGTGACAGCTTTAGAGGAGTCCTGTATTACTCACTTTGTTCGTTAGACAGCAGCAGAGAGCAGCAAGGAGAAGTATTAGTTCAAAAGAACTTTTCATGGCTGTTCCTCAGTATCCTCTGTCCTAGTCGTTTCCAGACTGCTGAAAATGGAACACATGTTCAACAGAAAGCAGAGGATTTTTCTCAAGCAAGTTTAGGATTTGTGATCTTGTTTTCATTTGTTTTTGCAGAACCTGAGCGCTTCATGGCTACATTGGCCAGCACATTTTGGGGTCTAGTATGAATTGTTTTTTTATATTCTTAACATGTTTGCATTGTTACAGGACTAACTGCACAAACAGACAAACAGACAAATGAAAAAGCTGTTGCCATGCAAAAACCTGTATGTCTACATGAGATATTGTCAAACTGAAGAGGATGACTCACACTGGCAGGGTGTGTAAGTTAGTAAAGCTAAACTTTATCTTCAGGAAAACTACACACATTGGTCACTTCCTCCCTGCTGTACACTTTCTGTGTCCCACTTCCTTCCTCCATCCCCACAGTGCAGAGGAAAGGCTAGAAATGGTGGGGTACCTATGGGAACCCGAAGGTCATTCCGAGTTTCTTTAAGCTGAGAGGACTTCTCCAATCCAACTCAAAGTGGGCGGAGCTATTTGAGCACTATTTGAATGCAGTTTTCTTCCCACCTTATATGAATGCTTTTCAATAATTTACATTCCTCCTGTGAGTCCACTCCCTCAGTTTGTTTACGCGTGGACTCGATAGTACATCAGTTTCTCTTCCAGCATTGATAAACAGGAAGTGCATTATTTTGTCTTGATTCCACAGAATAGGAAGACCACTACATTAGACAATAGCATCTGGACAACCCTTGGGCAACGAAAGGGCCCACGTACAGAGAGAAACTTCTATCCAGGCAGTTTCCTGCTCCGAGAGACCAAACAATATGCAGCAATGCAATAAATCAGGACTTCAATGGAACAGTTCAAAGAAACAGAAGGGATTTCATAAAGTCTTATTTCCCCTATAATTATTTTGTAATAATATGTTTGATTTCACACCTGTTAAAGATGCCTGGAAGGATTTTTCATGCAAAAAAGAGGCAGAAGAAGAGAGTGCACGCTGCACTCTCAATCGAATGTGACTAAACATGAGTCACAAGGGAAGACGATGAGTAGAGGAAGGAAAAGAAGAAAAATGGAAGAGCTACATATATATAAACATAACCTATTGCTAGGATTGTTTCAGAAATAACAAAGAGGAACCTCATCCTCAGACATGTGCAATACTGACACATGCATCCATACATGCCAGATGTGTACACTCCTCTGTGTTCTCCACTGACTCACCTTCTGTGGCTGTCTGAGCTCATTCAATACATCAGTGGGGGTACAAAAGCTCAAGAAAAGCCACACCGACATGACACGTACACACACTTTGTATACATCGACACACAAAGTGCTCGGAAACGTGGAGCTAATGAACTTCCCAACCCCCAAATCTGACTGTACTGAAGAATTCCGCGCGTTCTTCGTCGGGACCGCAAAGTCCTGCAGGCCCCACAAAGAGGACGGGTCCCTTATGAATGTCCCCCCCCCCCCCCGCCTCAAACAAATAACAAAGCCCTGGCCCTGTGCTTTCAGCCCCCAGCAGGGCCTCGCTGGCAGCGTGACAGCGGCGGCAGCTTCCTTTTTGTTTCCTTTGTGCAGCTGTTGGGCCCCGTTGAGTCGCCCGGCTCTCCGGCCCTGTCAGCTAAAAACATGTGTTTCCTGCTGAAGCCCAGCCAGTCCGGGCTCCGGGCTTTTCACAGCCGTATCAACACACGCACAAAAGTTTGCGACGCCATGCACACATCAGATATGAACAAATGTGTAACCCACCCTTTTAAAAAGTCTATCTCACATGAAGAGGCCCAGTTTGGGGTTTCATCAACACCACTCTTTTTTCAACCGGACTGAGTTTTGGCTATTTCTGCTGTCTGTTTTGTTCAAAAGGTTTTGATGAAGGCCTGCATTTAACTAGCGCAAAGCTAATGTCTGTACCCGGGATCAAGTCTTAAACTCTACTTTTGTCGAGAAGTAACCAAGAAACCAGTGTTATGAGGTTTTTGATGGAACTGACGGTCATGACGGGGCTAGAGGGATTTCATAACCTGCCAAGATAAGACAAATTCCAGTTAAATGAGCAGTTTTTTCCCCGTTCTTTCTAAACGGACACAACCAAACTTAAGTGCTTATATCAGAGCTAAAACACATCTCAAATCTCATTTCATAAACTAAACTCGGAAGTCGGTTCATAAACAACTCCCTCCCACAAAATGAAGAGCAATTAGGTATTTTTCTGCTACACCCAGTCTGTTAACAGCTGCAACATGTCTAACCAAGTATGCGGCACGAGGAGAGCGTGGATCCCCTTGTTAGTAGGTCAAATTTGAAGAAAAAAACGAAAACCTCTTTGGAGAAGTGGAAACCAGACTGTGAGTCACTGTTGTGGGTATAAGACGCCGCATTTAGGCTTAGTAACCACGTGACAGATGGTATGAAATACACAAAAAATCCTCTCTCTGGCACGGGAGTTTCGTCCAAAAGTGGAAGTGTGACTGGTCGAGTTCCATTTCTGTGTTTTAGAACAGATTTATCTTCGGTGATGAGCGCTGTCTTCCGCATTTTAGCAGACCAAGAAGGCAGGTGTGGAATGAGGATGGCGTGCTAGTGTAGGCTGGATGTGAGACATTCTTATAAGTCCTGTGACAGGACCAAAATGCTGAAGTGATAATGGTTTGGTGGTGCAGGAGCATAGTTCCACCTGGCTGCAAAGTCCAAATTATAGTTTACGGAGCACTTCAAAGCATCATTCCTCTTCCTGCAAATGCAGAACTGACAATTAAAGAGACTATACTGAGTGGATTTTTAAAATCTCTTCTGGTTTTCACTAGCATCTATTTCCTTGCTTTAATGTGAACAAATTATCAGCATTATTTTTTACCTTCTTCGTGTTCAGTTAAGTCTGAAGTGCTTTTAGGCCCCAAAATGTTGCTCTTACTGTTCAGAAAAGTCAGAACACCAAACTGCAAAGCAGCTGCTAAATCCAGAAGACCTCCTATAAATCAGCCAAAAGATGGGGATCAAGCATATTGACTAAAGACAAATTACAGAAAATACCCGGACTGCAAAGAAGCCAGGTTCAACACACAGAAGAGAAAGCACCAGGACCAGATGAAACTGCCACATTTACAGGTCCACTCTCTTTAGATTACAACAGCTTAATGACAGATTTTCATACATGACTCAACTTTTTAGGGACTTTAAAGACAATGCCATTTCTCAATAGTTGCTTAAATAAGAAGGAAATAATCTAGACATTAAACTATTCTTTAATTGATTCCACCTCTTTTTTCTCTAAAGCTTTGCAACTGCGTCAGAAGTTTATGGTGTTATCAAAGTTGTATGCATGAGTATGAGCTGCTAATGGGTCATGATATATGATGTCGTGTCATGTAAGCAAGTAAGCTTCTTAGAAGGCATTTGTTGAGGGGTTTTTCAGCAATGCTTCAATGACACAGCTGTGATCTGGTTTCTGTAAAGTTTCCCAGAACAGAGAGCTGTATTGTTACCTTCCAGCCTCCCTCTGTGCGTAACTGGATACTATGATGTCCTTATCACAAGGACATACAAGTTCATAAATCCAAAAGACTGAAATAGGAGAGAGATTGGAAATAAGGGGGAAAAAGGAGGACATAATTCACCATGATAACTTTAGAGAATGGCCTGAAAAGATGGAAGATTAGACACTAAGGGGAGAATTGGAGTAAAAGAGAGTGGAAGAAAAAGAGATCAAATCCCAGAGGTCAGCAGAAAGAGAATGACTATTCCTGAGTCATCCCAGCTTCCAGGACTGCAGAGACAAGTTGAGGCCATTGAAGTGGTTTATAGCCAGCATCATGGCCATTAAATAAAGATGCAATTTAGACATCAAGACTCCAAGACGTGAGGGAGGGTTTTTTCTCAGTGAAGAAAAGCCTGGTATGTCCAGAAGACAGTGAAGGATTAAACAGGATCTTTCTTTTTTACTCCAACAATCTGTTCCTGCTCTGTTGACCTAAAACTTTAAGACCCACCCCACTGATCCTGTGAGTCAAACATTTGCACGAAGCACTAACCCCACTGAGCAAAAAGCTTGGAATTCAGATACTGGATACATATTCGACTTTTCTCGGGAAAGATGCAAGAAGACAAACTGAGGACCCACTGCATTATCCCGATAATGTCTCAATACTCAAAGTGGCTCCCAGACACAAACCCGGCAAATCTTTAGTACAACCCTGATCTTTTAGCACATATTAAGGTGACTACAACATCCTGAGAGGTTTATAGACATGGTGCACTTATATTAAAAATACAGGTTGTAGAAATGCTCTCTCTGACCAGTTTTAGCAGGTGGATTCGACCAGAGTCAGAGGAAAAAGAGCTAGGGAGCCAACTCAGTGAGCCAACACAAAAAAACGGAGAGTTTTTAACCAGATGCAGTTATGTGAATCTTTTATGACTCACAGATTGAGGTGAAAACACTGCTAAAGTCCAAAAACCTGAATGCACAGTTAAGACAACATGGTAAATGTGGCAATGAGATTATGATTAGTCTTACACTATTATCTTTTAATTGTTGTATTGGCTTACTCTTAATCTGCACCACAAAGAAGAGAGAAATAGATCCAGATCACACATTATACAGTTATTACAATAATGATAATGTCAGTCACAACACTGTACAGGATTGCTCCCGTCCAAATTAATCTATCAAATGTGCAGCTTGGGATGGTAAAATAAGCTGTTTGTTCCAATTCACCAAATACCAGTCTGTTAGGAGAGTGCTGGAATGACGCTGCGTGCATGGATGCGCACGGACCCACAACAGGACACAGAGGAAGTTTCTTACCAGATGGGAGATCGTCTCTTCTCTTTTTCTCTGCTGCCTGACTGAGTGTAGAAGCGGACCTCCGGAGCTCTGCGGCTTGCCTCCGGGACTGGGCTGCCCCCTGCTTTTATCGGGCAGCTCCGGTCCCCCCGGGCCCGGCAGGGGAAGGGCCGGGCTGTGTGACGTCACCGCGGGAGCGTGGCTTACCGGGCCGGCGGTTGACGTCACAGAGGCGGTGGGCGGGGCGTCCCACGAGCCAAGGCACGGGATTTAAATGGAGGAATTCTTAGTAAAAAATGTTTTCCCCCCCAAAATCCATAATTGTTTTTTTTTCCCCCAGGATTAATAAATGGCTGCCCCCAGGATGTTGCAATTGCTATCCAATGAGAGGAAAGCTGATGTTCTACCACAGTGTGACAAATAATTATAAAAATTAATGATAAAGATAATAAGTTATTCTCCAGACAGTTGTCAACTAACTTGCAAATATGTTTTTTTAAAACAGAGCAAAAATATTTGATGAATAAGACATAGAAAACTAAAGGATATAGAATTATTTGAAATGGGGCTTTAAGTCAGTAGGAGAGTGAAATTTTTAACTGATTCATCTCCTGTTTTTGAGCCTTAGTGGTTGTGTAGTTTCTTCTAAGGCCATTGCAGTTGGTATTTCATGAGTTACAGCTTTGATAAAAGCCCGTCCGGTTGTGTTCTGGGGAAAATATCTGCGTAACATGTGGGAACGCTGACAGTCTTTACTGGGCTGTGGTCTCTGCTTCTGTGTTGCTATAAAGCTGGCACCAGGACTCGTTTGCTGTAACCACGAGCTCCTTTTATTAAACCCATCCCTTACACAGGAAATCGGTCGCTTTACCTCAAGAAAAGCTACATATTTTCTTAGAACAACAGCCATTTTATTAACTAGAATACTGCTCCTTGTGGTGACGATTAAACTTGTGTAATATCACTTCAAGTACAACACTAAATGTAAGTAGCTCCTCAGGTTAGTTTCTCCCTGTTTCATAAACTTCATTCTTGTTTTAAGATGCACACAAAAAATTCTGAGGCCTGCTTTTAAAAATGAATCTTTTACAGATGTTGAATTTTATATTTTCATGGCTATATAAATATGCATATATATTACATTTTAACAATCATTTCAGCCTAAACGTTTCTAAATTCAAAACACACATGCATTTGTCTCATCTGTGTGTTCCAGAATCTGGTTCAAAGAGTTCTAAACAGCTGTATTGATGCCTGAAGTTGGCACATGGCAGTGTCAGTCTTTTTTAGAAACACAAAAATACATAGACAATACATAACAACACAACACATTAGAAAGCTTTGTAAAGTTCATGTGGGAGCACTTTGCCCCATTATTTTGGCACAGTCACAGACACATTTATAAGCTAAGAAAAGTGAATAAATGTTTTCGATCTAGACATGAAGACACATCTTTTTGTTTTATGTCATTTTAAGTCTGTGGTTCTATCTGTCAACATGTGACACAATGATAGTTTGCAACAACTCCAGAGTCAGATGTAATTTTTTCCTTGAACCAGTTGGCAGCTGAAAGCTCGAGTTCGACAGAAGTTGTGGCAGAATTCAGAAGTCACTGAGACACATGGAAGACAAACACTCGTGCTATAAAATGAATCTGAGGGCAGGATTTGAACCATCTCTGTATTCCAGGCTTATGTGACTAAGCAGTGAAGATAAACAGTCAACAAAGGTCTGTCATTACGTGTTCCATTTATACCTCTGTGATGGCCTCGGTCTTGCGCACATTATTGGAAAAACTGTTTACGTGTATTTACGTGTACGGGGAAGACTTTTACATCATTTACATTTCTCGTCTGATAACGCCACCGCATTTTAGGCCAGGAAAAACACAGGCGTGTTTCACAATGTTTTAAGTTGACTTTTAATTGAAGTGTTTCTTTCCAAGAATAGCAGCTGATGAAAGATGACAACTATCACTGTGATAGACTGGAAAGTCTGGAGTGCAGTTCCCCCAAACACAACATCCGCTGGCTCACAATGAGCCAGCAGAATAACCGACCATTACGTTTGGAAATTGATACTGGAATTCAGGTGACATCAAACATTTGTCACCGTCTTTTGAAGCTTTGCTTTTGCTCTTCTACTCTAGTGAAGATTGTAGTCTTTAGGGTTGGAAACTGTGAAAACTCAAATGTCAAACGTGTATAAGGAATTTGTGAGACAGGAGGAGAGAAAAAGACCATCGGAACAATAACGGTGAAATTCAAGATAAGGATGAAAATTAGTTGTCCAGACAATTTTTGAAATATTGAAGTGATGGTAGGTTTAAAGTAACATAGTAGTTCATTACTATAAGGAAATCACTGGCTCCAAAGCCATGTGTAAAGTCATACTTCTCCTTAATGGTTAGTCTTTTTCTCAGTGTGGCAGACTACAGATACATCAGATACATCTAGTTCGTAAGTCGCTTTGGATAAAAATGTCTGCTAAATGCAAAAACATAAACATATACATCAGCTTTTCATCTTGATTCTATATTCAGGTCCATACTTTGGTCCTTTTGAATCCCAGTGAATGATTTATAGGACTCCAGGAACCACCGTTTGGGCACTAATGCTCATATAGCAATGATACAGCATCAATCTACTAATCTATTGATCATTAAAAACCGATCGAAGAAAAAACTAAGTTTTCTTTCCCTCATATTTTATTTTTTCTTAATGGTACACCACTTTAATTACACTATAAACTACTGTTGCCCAAAACTGGGGTTGCCATTTATTTACTTTAATTTAAAAATGCCAACAAAAAAACTTGTTCTTTCTTTTGTTTTCTTTGTTATATGGTGGTATTTCATTTCATTTCTTCTCTTTTAGGCACATGGTTTTGTTAAATAACGTGCATGTGTCCCGCACACACCGTGTGTGTGTGTGTGTGTGTGTGTGTGTGTGTGTGTGTGTGTGTGTGAGTGTGTGCGTGTGTGTGTGTGTGTGTGTGCCGTGGATTCTACCGCCCCGTGGGCGGGACTGATCTCATCAGGTTTACAGGAAATATGAGTATCAGGAAGTAAAACGCTTTTCAGATTTTTTTGACTCGCCAAAATTTAGTACAGTGACTTAAAAAAGTTATAGGATCAAAACGCGCAGATTGCGTTAAGTGAACAGAATTATCGCGCGAAAGCGAAAGTGAGCGAGATCTGCCTGCGAAGTCTCTAAGGTAGGAGCCGTCTGACCTCAGCTGGATCACAACAAACTTGTAAACACGGCTTTTGTAGGCTGGGATGGCCGGAAGCATAAAGTAGAGGCAGTTTTGGTTCGTTTGGATTGTGTAGCTGAGCGGTGGTCAGAGATCAGAGATCAGTCCCGTGGAGCTGAGAAAAACGTGGACTCTGAGGTTCCCCTGCAGGTTTCCACAGGCCCTGCCACCCCCCGGAGGGACTGGACAGGCTGGAGGGGTCAGACGTCCACTGAAAAAAACACTAAGACCATGCATCCGTGTTGGGGCTAGGCTCAGCCTGATTGCATTGCTGAAAAAAGCAACATCAGTTTAGGGTTTGTGTGCATGGAGAGACTTTAAGTCACATTACCAGCACCGATATGAGCCAGTTATAAGCGGTGTCTCTGCAGGGGGGGGTGGTGGTTACATCTGCACTGAGGCTGCAGCCTTAAAAAAAACTATTTTTTAAAATGTATTTTATTTTATCACATTTTATTTTATTTTTTGTTTAATTTTATTCAATTTTTAAATTTTTATTTAATTAATTTCTTTTTTTTAAAATAAATAAATACAATTAAAAATACAATTTAAAAATTTAAAAATCTCTTCGCATTTAAAGTCACCGACTTTTTCTATTTTCTGACTAGATAGTTGCATATTTTCTCCGTCTTAAATTCCAGAATCAGTGGGATAAATAATTTCTGTCCATTTCCTACAATGCATGCAGGTGGGGAGAAGATGAACCGCGTCCCCCTGCAGCAGCCCCAGACCTGTGGGTCCTGGGAGCTGAAGGAGAGGCTGGGCACCGGGGGGTTTGGAAACGTCACAAGATGGCAAAACAAGGTATGAATCCAGCTTTTTACCAAGATCAAAGCGGCTATTTCATTCATGCTGTCTTTCTTGGAAAATCCATATCCGTCACTGTACCTGGATCGATTTGAGACATGAATAGTTGTTCAAATTCTCTCCTATGAGGATGTTTAAATAACACGCCTTTCCACTGAACTTCTAAAGACTTTCGGTAAAAGGCTTCTCCCCTTTGAGACTCTTATCATCATCAATGCAAGTTCAGGTTTATTATCCAAACCAAAGGTTTGCTCAGAAGATGTTTTTTAAAGGTTTTTGTACTAACACTGAAAGGACAGATTCTCATTTCTAAGCCATGAAACACGTTCAGATTGTTTTGATAAAGACTTATTAAGCGTCTGTGCCTTCCCATCTTTCGGTGTCAGATTTTCTATCAACATTGAAATTTCGAGAGAACATTACTCTCGTCCCCGGGTGGCATGTTTAAGAATTTTTCTGTGTAATTTATCCAGATGTTTTTTGCAGAGGAAGAGTAAACAGAGGCCAACATTATATCTCACACTGTGTTCATGTCCTTTGACTCAAGAAGGCATTTCAGCTTTTCAACAGAAAAATGCTTTGCATAACAACATCATGGGGGTTTTTACCAGAGCTGGTTGAGAGGTTGGAGGCACATCGGTCCGGGAAACACCTCGGTAGACCCGAGTACAGCACAAATAGTTTGTATTGTGATGTCACTCTAAGTCACAGGATGACAACATTGTGGACCTAAATGAACAGTAATGGGACGAGATGGGATTCTGAACATTTCCGCTTAGTAGGAAGTGTAGTGGCACTTCCCCTTCCTTCCTTTCTGCTTCAGGCGTGTTACTCACCCCCAGTTTCAAGGTGAATTTAGAGCCACAGAACATAGTCATGGATTAAAACATCCTAGAATCGGACCCTCTTCCCTTGTGAGTTTGGAACCAGTTTACAACTCAGTTACCGATAAGTTGGGACAAAAATGTGTCAATCTGTCTGAGTAAACTCTCATTTCAACCAGATTAGAGCATTACAGTTTGGGCTGAGGTCTATCCCAACCACTGGTTGAGAGGCAAAGTAACATCCTGGACAGGTCTCCATCACAGTAATGCATAGAGATGCACAAGACAGGCAACCACACACACCGGTATTGTGAATTTAGAGTCATAAATGAACCTATCATGCATGTGAAAAAGCAGGAGTTCTGGTACCTGGAGGGTACCAAAACATACATGGGCAAAACATGCAAACGCCAAAGAAAAAAGGCTCCCAGCTTTGATTCGGACGGGGAGCCATCTTTCTGTGAGGCAATAAACTAACCACCAGACCATCACGCTGCCAACTTCGGTGATTTCCAAAAAAGAATTTCAGATTTAGCTTCATGTGACCACTTAAGGCTTTATTTGAAACAAGCTTTGGTTCTTACACTCATGTCTGTTCTTAAACATCATAAGGATTCGGGTCAGATTTTCAGATGCATCCCTTTTGAATATTAGTCACATAATGTTGTTTTTTTCCACGGAATAGTAAATGTTTTTCCATTTACATTTTAACATCATCCCACCGTGAGAAAAACTGTCATTGCCGACCGTATTAACAAGGGGATAAAAAAGTCCACAATTAAGGAGGGCTGGCACCACTAGGATGAATAAACTTCCTCTATAATGAAAAGTTCCTGTCTTCCTGCATCAGCAACAATGCTTTTGGGTTATTATTAGATCATTGATCATATTATGGGAAGCGGGGTGGGACCTTTTCCTGGATGAGAAGCAGGTAGCAAGACAAATATGTGCTGGTGGTTTGATGCTGTGAAAATAAACTGGCACCTAGGTTACCCCAAAATGAAGCGAGTTATTAAATACTACAGTAGCAAGACAGTGATGTTATTGTCTGTATTTTTTATTTCTTAGTTATACATTTTATTTAGTAATTTTTTCATGTTTTTTTTCAACTTTGTTTAATTTTGGTCCTTAATTGTCTGTCTTCTTGCTTCCTATATATGTTTTTAGTTACTCTAGGTTTATGCTCATTACTGTCAGTTTTCTGGATCGTTAACGTTTGTTCGTTATACCCAACTGTCTTCCATTTCTCTTTTGGGTTTCCATTGCTCCTCGTCAGATCAATTACAATGGATATTTTGTGGTTCTGATGTCAGTCAATCTGCGCCATTTTGTTTTTGTCTCATCAAAGCTTTGGTTATGTTTACCACTAATGCTCGCTTGCCATCCCGACTAGCTGCCGTCGGTCTGCTTTTGGACATGACCGGGTTTCCGTGCGTGTGCTTTCAGGACACGGAGGAGCAGATTGCTATCAAACAGTGTCGGCAGGAGCTCTGCGAGAAGAACAAAGAACGATGGTGTTTGGAGATCCAGATCATGAAGAGGTCAGTTTGGTAAATGGTGTTAATGCTGGCAAAGTGCTATCTGTGGTCAGAACCACCCTTGATAGGAGTGGTCAGTGCTCTGGGTGAGGACACGAGACATGTTGACACACTAACATGCAACGGTATCTGGTGTAATACCTCAGGTATGAAGATGAATAACCGCAGACTAAGGGTGCAACAGGCATAATTTGAAGCCCCACATCAATGTGGACCAATCAGTTCATCTCAAAGGCTCCAAAAGACAAATTACATTATGTGTTTATGCATAAATGAAGATACTACGGTTGTTTTTATCGTGTTTGTCGTTCATTTAGCAGAAGAGATGGTTACAATGATATCTCTGCTTGTGAAGATGCGTGATCATCAACCTGAAGGGTTTTCCCCAAAAGTTTTTTTTTAAAATGTAAAGATTTTTTAAAAGTTTTGCTTTGTTTTTTTTTAATTTAGCTTTGCCTGACCACAACCTGTTGCTTCGATTTGTCTCCATCTATGCCAAGCGTTAGAAGTCTCTTTTTCCAGTCTTAGTGTGGGATGCGGTATTCTTTACTTCTGCTGAAGAAATTGGTGATTTTCCCCATTTCTTTTTTTTGTACTTGCTCCTGTGATGCTTTTGGAGTGCTTTGTGGCGCGTGGGGCTGCTTTTTGGTGCGATGTGTTGTGAGTCAGCATGGTACATTCCATGACAAGTTTGGTGCTTATGGGTTTTTGACTTTTATGTTCCCATCTGTTTCACAAGTTTTCTGAAAAACAAAGACTAAATCTGGATCCCTAAATAAAGCAAAAATCACAAATGAAATAATTAGGGCAGATTGAGTGTTTGGGTTGTTTTGGTGACTGAAGTGTCGGTTATTTCTGGCAGCGTAATGACCTGCCCCCTCATTTTGCCCTCACTTTGGCAAACACTTTATTTCCACACACATCTGTTGACACTTTCCTTTCCAGTGTCAGGTCACTGCAATCAAATGCCAACCTCTGTAGGTTGCAATTGTTTTTGAGACGAGAGGTGTGTACGGATTGTTATTTTATGGTGCAAACATTAGTATAAAACTTTTTTTTTTTTAAATATCTCGGTAACAAGTGTGTTGTTTGCAGACAGACATGGTCACGGCCACAACCCTCCCACACACCCACGCTTAACTTGTGGAGCAACCACAGGGGAGGGGACAAAGCCACCGACTATTATATTATTACAGCTACTTAACGCAGATTTACTGAAAAACACCAAATTTGTTTTTTAGTTATGAATTTAAAGAGCTTTCCTTAAGTTACTTTTATTTTTTGAAAATATGCAGTCATAAACTCTAAAAATATACTTTTTCCACAATTTGATGGAGGTTTAATCCGTTGCTGTGTTTCTATGCAGTCTGCATAATAGATTTATTTAAAAAATGTTGAGATACTTTTAAAGGCAATTTGTCATAGCTCCTAAAAATTTAAATTATTTTTTCTTATCAGGTTTAACACTGTAGTAAAAAATGACAGCATGAAATCTGATTTGTAATGTTTTTTGCTCCTGGAGTAAATTTAGTACTTATATTTAGTACTTAATCATTCTCTTCTCATTCGTTCCACTGATTTTATAAACCTGGTCATACTTAGCCATGGTATAGAATATTCAGAAAGCGCATCATGACTGCACAATTTCTAAGGGTGTTTGATTTCTTTTATTATTCTGCCTTTAAACACACACCATAATCCTGGAGAACTAAAACTTGTTACAGACAGATAATGGTAAACCAAGGGATTGTAATTCTGCTCAATAGAGTTCAGTGTGATGGTGATGGAGTTACAGATTTTCCTGCTACATCTGGTATCAGTTTGAGTTTGTTATCCTGATATTCTGCTTTGCTTTTTTAACTTCGAAACACATTGTTTGAGTTACGAAACTGGAAAGAATAAGAAACAGGAGGACAAAGTAAAACAACAGGTCAAAAACGTCGCAGTGGACAGTGTGTAAAGCGGGACTCAAATGATCTGCTTTGATTTATCATTCCAAGGAATTTAGACAGTACTTTGTGTGAGAAAGGTGGCAAAAGCCTCGTCCAACAAGATACATCGTTAACAGCTTGCCTAGACATTGAAAAGAAAAGAAAGATATGATGGTTCTGCTGCTTTTGGCTGATGTTTATTAGTCTTCTCTTCACTCAGGCTGGATCATATCAACGTGGTTGCAGCTCGAGAAGTTCCGGAGGGGATGCAGAAAATGATAGCCATCAATGATCTGCCACTCCTGGCCATGGAATACTGCCAGGGTGGAGACCTGAGAAAGGTAAGTAAATGGGTGTGTGTATGGACAAACTATGTGGTTTAAACTCACCAGATTACAGTCCATGGACCTTTGTTTTTAAAGTGAATCACAATGAAACAACAAGGAATGGTAATCCTTCTTAAACCATTGGTCATTAGTAGCAAAGCCATGCTGTGTGTGCTCATATCTGTGTCAGAAATGTGGAAATAAAGGACCATAAAATTGTTCAGCTTCATATATTTGTGTCTTCGTCTGTGCAAAGCATTGATTTGTTAGGAATTGCATCCAGGCAGCTGTTCATTCTGAGTAATTCACGTGGTACAGATTTGAATTTTAAACCAAGTGAGTGTGCAGCCCTGGGGCAGCATTTGAGGAAAATGCCATCCGCTGCAAACCGCAGCGTCATAAAAAATTCAATGCATCGCACATGTTTGAAAACTCAGCAGCAGAGATGGGGGCAGATGGGCCTTTTCATTGGGACTACTCCAAGAGAACTGCTACATCCTGTTTTGCTCTGTGGCAATTTTCCAGGGTGCTAATGCTTTTCATGCTATGATTCATGTAAACAAAATATTTACAACCTGCAGACCCTGATAACAAAGTGCAAACACGGCTGAAAAAGGTTTGCTGCTTCACTTGGGCTTTAAAGCTCGTCTGATCCCCGTCCACTTAGAGGCCTGAAAGTAGGCGCTTCAGAGAGCGGAAACATTAAAGGCATTTGTTTTGACAAAAAAAAAGGCCGACCATTGAAGTCTTTGCAGTATTATTCCCTTGTGTTGTTTTCTTCCTGTGGATTGGGTTACTGAGATCATGGATGTCTGTTTATGCTCTCCTCAGTATCTGAACCTCATGGAGAACTGCTGTGGAATGAGGGAAGGCTCCGTTCTGATTCTGTTACGTGATATTTGTGAGTATTCCTTTCAGTCCTCAGCTTTGAGGTGACTGTTCTATCATTTTGCATCATGCCCGTGAGAAGAATGGACTGGTCGAGTGATGGAGTGAGCTGGCAGGGAAATTAGTTTCCTGTATTAAGGAGGAAAAGGTCCTGGTGAGGAGTATCATGATGTCATCATTGGCCTGAAACCACCAGCTTGTTAGTCATCAAGAGAAGATCTCCCACTCATACCGAGGCTTTCGTCAACCCCAGGACAGTCATGCGCTGTATCACAAATGCTGTGTACGAACCCAAACCGGAACCTGGAGGGCCTCGCTCAAATAAACAGGCTTCAGAGCCAACATACGGCCTGGATCATAACATATCAAGAGTGAAGTGTATAGATAAACACACACACAGAAACACGCGTGCACACACACCAGGACTCGCAGAAACTCCTTTTCCTGTTGCAAGCTGCTGGACATTTCCTGACGATGACTGAGGCCCGTTAAACTGCCCTATTGGTGGAGGGCAGGGCACGGGCATGCACATCCACACCCGTAAACTCACTCAGACGCACGTGCACACGCGTATTACCTCAAAAGATCACAAGTTCCGCTCGGCTGAGTGGTCTTTGCCAGCACACACACGCGTCACCCTTTGACGCGCAAGTACGGTGACCTCAGAGTTTCAATCGTAATTTGAGGAGAAACCTGTTAGACATTAAAAACTGAATGCAAACATAATTCCGCCACAACAGAACGGCAGAGGCGTGTGCCAGAGAGTGCTTATAATCAAAGGAGGTAGCTGAAATTGGAGGCCAGCGAGAAAGAGTCTCAGTTTACAATTAAGACCAAAAGGTCTTCTTCTAAATAGATTTCTCTATTCCATTTAGCAATGAAGGAGTTATTATGAGATAAAGGAATTTATTTGACGAGTTTGGGAGTCAAATCGAGTTTATAGCTCCACCCTGTCTGCCAGGCACTCGAAAAACGGGTGACGGCCTGGCCTGAAATGAGTGTCAGTGGTCTGTATCTGCTTAGAAGGGAAAACACATTTGTTCTTTGGCTGTAAAGGGCAGTGAAGAACCCTGAAACCAAATTGCCGAATAAATAAATGGTGGAGAGTGATAAGCAAGATCTGCTGGGTCTATAAATACAAAATTCTCACTTTGAGTTGGAAAAATCCATACAGTTCTTATTTTTAGGGGAAGTTTATTCATGATTAAATGCTACATTTCTGCTAAATGATCACGGTATCTGATCGTCGTATTTTCAAAATTACATACATTAGAGTATTTCCCAAAATGTTTTCATAATATTAAAACATTTCAATTTCATGCCACTGTGATTTTGCCCTCTTCTTTTCTTCTGGTTCTGTTTTGTCCAGCTTCTGCTCTAACCTACCTGCACAACAAGAGGATCATCCACCGAGACCTGAAACCAGAAAACATTGTGTTGCAGCAGGGAGAAAAGAGAGTAAGTTAAAGACCCACTGAAGAAAAACAAATGCGTACAATACAGAACTTTGTTTTCTTTTCTATATTGTTTGTGAGTGATGATAAATGAGTGAAAGAGACTCACACATCTACACCCATTCATTCACTGATTGTTTTATGCAGAGAACTTTGATTGTTATTTAACCCAGGCCGGACATGTTAAGAGCTTATATCATGTTTATGCACACACTGCTGGGTTTATAGAAACTGAGCCAAGCAGAAATTGTTTTGCTCTAAGTTTATAGTTTTGCAGAAGTGCTTGTTTTCCTGCAACGCGCAGTAAGACAGAAAACGTGGTACATTGTTATGTTCTTCACAGATAATTGGGTCTGGGGGTGTGTGTTTTGAAAGCCAAAAGTTGGGTTGTGTTGGGATATCTGGTTAAAAAAAAAAAAAATAACATTTGAACATTTTTGGAAATGATTTTCTGTCTTGCTTAAAGGAACGTGTGCGAGTAAAAACAAGAGTGCCAGCCAAGTTTTCTTTTCCTCAATTTTCTCCATCATCAACTTGTTTTTCAGGATTTTCCCAATTGTGTGCGTTTTCCTGTAAATTTTGTGTTTGTAATGAGTGACGTGCCAATTAATATCTCCTTTTTTTTCCTTTGGTCTTTCTTGTATTTTTAGTTGATTCACAAGATTATAGATCTTGGCTATGCCAAAGAGTTGGACCAGACGAGCCTTTGCACGTCATTTGTGGGAACACTGCAGTATTTGGTGGGTAATCACGGTGAACACGGTCATGCCCAACTTATTCTCCGTGCTGCTGGCTGTAAGTGTGTTGGTTGTCTCGTTTTTCAGGCTCCAGAGCTCATAGAGAGACAGAGGTATACAGTTGCTGTTGACTATTGGAGCTTTGGCACTTTGGTGTTTGAGTGTATCACAGGATTTCGCCCCTTCTTACCAACCTGGCAACCCGTTCCATGGTAGAGTAACTAAAATCAGCATTCAATTTTGCAAGCTTGAACTTTAACAAATTCATTTATACATAACTCACTTTTGTCTCTTGTCCATTTACACCTTTGGTGCAGTTTAAGGGTTTGGTATTTTACTTAGGAGTCAATTCAAACAATAAAAACAAATCTATAGAATGTCATTTATGTTTTTGCTTTTACACCAAAACAAGTTTAAGAGTGATGCATCATAGATTTTCCAACACCTCACATTGTTTTAATAATTATTTTCTCATGACTCTACAGTCATAACTTGTTTCTTGGTTCAACAAAAGATAAGCTTTGTTGTAGGAAATATCATTATTTCAACATACCGATTATTGGAAAAAATGAGTTTTCAGTGAATGGCAGGAAATGTGTTATGCCAACATGAATGCCCCTTTTTCCTCACTGGTACAAGTAATGAACTTTGCAAAGCCCATGGGCCGTGTGAATTACGCAATAAGAAAACTTTCGAAATGTACCAAATCGCAGTGAGATGAAAATAGGTAAACTGAATTGTAGACTTGTAAAGACATTAAAAAGAAGAAAGAAAGAAAGAAAAAGAAAATGATGACCCACCTGTGTCCCTTTAGGCATAATAAAGTCAGGCTGAAGCACGATGATGACATCGTTGTCTATGAAGACCTCTCAGGAGAAATCCGCTTCTCCGAACATCTGCCCCTGTCCAACAACCTGAACAGGTGACTCTACCAGCCGGCCATCGCGTATGCACGCCGGTACCGTCTTTTTCTCACGCTCTGACGTTTTGTTTGGAAGTTTGCTGCTTGAGAAGATGGAGAAGTGGCTTCAGCTGATGTTAAAGTGGTCTGCCAAGGAGAGAGGCAAGGAGAGCAGCACCACACCCAACATCTGTTTCACACAACTGGAGCTCATCCTGCAGCTCAAGGTGAGCTAAGAACATCAAGGCTTTATATTTTTAAAGAACTTACCTTGTAGACTCATTGTGCAACTTTGGTTAAAGGTAACTCTTTTGCACTTTAAAGGGATTGAGGATTTAGAACATCCTTTTTTTTAATCGTGTTCTTTTCCCGCCTCTGTCCTTCCAGCTGGTTCATGTCTTGAACATGATGTCCGCAAAGATCCTGACATACTCCGTGGCGGAGGATGAGACTGTGGGCAACCTGCAGCTGCGAATAGAGCAGGACACCAACATCTCGGCAGCCAATCAGGAGCTGCTGCTCGAGGCGGGGTTGGCCTTGGAGCCTCACGCACTGGCCACGCAGTGTGCCGTGGATTACAACGTAATGCCGTCTGAAAAACGCACCGTACTGTCAAAATACCGAGCCCGTGTGACTCATAGAGCTGTGGATGTTGGTGATTGTAGGAGGTGGATGGGCGGCGAACCGACCTGCCTCTGGTCTTCCTGTTTGATCGCTCCTCCTGCACTTATGAACCCCAGTTTGCTCCTCGAGCTCTGCCTGAAAACATCAGATTTGTCCGTAAGTAAAAAAGCCTTCGTTTAGGCTGCGTTTGGATTTGAGTCTGTGTTGACTAGCCTGAGCTGTAACGATCTTACAGGTGAAGTGCGAATAGAAGGAGACGTCCTTTCCTTTTGTCTCACGATGTCTCTTGGCTCTGCCTTTCTCCCAGAATCTGACCCTAAGCGGCTCCTGCCTTACAGCCCTCTGAGGAGAACGTGTGGGCAGGCGTGGCACACGATCCGCTCCCTGAAGGAAGACTGGCAAAGACTGCAGCAAGGGCAGAAAGCAGCGATGTAGGACAGACTTCCACATGCGCATTTATCTGTTTTTCCCCAAAGAGATAAAGATCGTTTCTCCCTTTTTTCAGCATGAGCCTGCTGAGACATAACTCCTCGCTGTCCAGACAGAAGAATGAGATGGTGTCCATGCACCAGAGACTCACAGCCAAGCTGGACTTCTTCAACACCAGCCTCCACATAGACATGGACAAATACCAAGAGCAGACTGCCACAGGGATCGGTATAAACTGAACCTGGCAACTTATTTAGAGCTAAATAAATTCTATATTTTACATCATACCTGTTTACCTCAGGAGAAATTAGTTTGCACTGTCTTTTGTGTTTAGTCAGTCTAGTGACTGACCTTCTTTTTACATTTTGTAGCTTCAGACAAACTTCTGGGTGTGTGGAGGGAGATGGAGCAAACCGCTGTCGGCTGTGGTCAGGTGAGGCCTGAGTGTGTTTCGGCGCGTGTGGGAGGAGTTTTCCACCCTTTAATAAAGATTCTAAACATTTGCGGGGTGTCCAGGCCAAGGTGAGTGAGCTGGAGGAGGAGATGATGCAGCTGCAGCCGGACATCGTGGACGTCCAGAGACAGCCGTGGAGGAGCGGCGAGGCCCTGGACACGCTGTGAGTCTTGTCAAAACAGTTGAAAATAACAGAACCAACTGTCATTAGAGTGTGGACTCTGCTTATTTCTTCTGTTTGATCCTCAGCGAAGGGAAAGCCATGGAGCTGTTCCGCAAACTCAGAGAGAAGCCCAGAGGTTTGGAACGCCGCCGCGCGCCGGCTCACGTCTTATTTAACTCACGCCGCGGTCCCTGCACCTGAAAATAAACGTTCTTTTGTCATTTCCCCTCTCCGTTTCCTGCCTCTGTTCAGACCAGAGGTGTTCCGGAGACAGCCAGGAGCTGGTGCGTCTGGTGGTTCAGGCCGTGCAGTTCTACGAAAAGAAGCTCAGAGATTTCTACACACACCTCAGGTACTTTCACAAAACTAGGAAAACATTTCCAGGTTTCCTGGGATTTTTTTATGTTACTAAATCCACATACTTTGAGAGTGAATACTTAATTCATTAATTAATAAGACACTTCTTTATCAGAATTTCTGTAACGATCTGGACATTACTCATCAGATTAGATTAGATAGATGCCCTGTTGATAGGACCCTGAAATCAAGTCAAACACACTTTTGGTTCATGTGTAATTGATCACTGAAGAACTGTTTATTGAGCCAAAGGCCATTAAATAAATATCCTGCACAAAGCTGAGAAGTTCAAGATGAAACAAAATATTCCTAATTAAAACAGTTTTATGTTAAGATGTGCTTCTCATGCTTTCATTACTAATAATACCTTATTTGAAAATAAAATGTGTGTTCTCCTGGCTGATAAGTGGACACACATAGTTCTAAGAAGAACTTTTATCACACAGTGCATAAAACCACTGGCTAACAGCATAATGTAGAAAGTTTGGGGGAAAGTTACTGTTACAAAAAATAAGTAGATAAATGAGTGGATGGATAAAGTCCATGGAGACAGCAGTTCCCGCCAGCGTTAGTGGAAAATGTGTCTGGCCTCGGATCTGATGGAGTGGACCGTTGTGTTTTTATCTTTGGAACGGGCCGAAAAACTTCTCCTTCTCGCTGTCGATTTGCAGTAAGACGGCCGTGTGCCGTCAGCGCGTGATGGAGCTGCTGCCAAAAGTGGACGGCGTGGTCCAAAAGATGGCAGAGAGCGAGCAGGTGCTGATGGGTCTGCAGGAGAGGCGACAGCGGGAGCTGTGGAACCTGCTCAAAGTGGCCTGCGTGAGTTGGTTGACCGGAGTGAACTGTGCAGCATGAGATCACCAATAAGAGTGTGAATATCGGCTCAAAACTGCAAACCTCCAGTCAATGAGATAACGCCGAGAAATATTTGGGGTTGCCCTATCTTCTGCTAAAGGCAGCTGCTGTAGACTGTGTGAACTAACTCGCATTTGAACGCACCGTCCTGTCCTGTGCAGAGTAAGGTCCGCAGCCCCGTGAGTGGGAGTCCAGATGGATTACGGACCCCTTCGTCTGTGCCCCCACTGCTGACCCCCAGACACAGCTTGCAACAGTTGTGAGTAACCTTAAACGCAACACACACATTTGCTCACAGGGGCTGACGGGTGAGCTGAGTTATTGGATAACACGTCATTTATTTTTCTATTTTCCAAAAAGATTACGCTAAAACTGCTTTTTTTTTACTTCTTGGTCTGGAATTCCTTATATGAATTTGTGTCTTGCCCTTGGCAGACGACCAGTTTTTCCGAATTTTGAGTTTGAGAAGTAAGGAAACCCCATTTAACGGGAATAGAAAATGATCTAGACTTGATCTTTATATGTTCCCAAACTGGGTTGGACATAATGCTCCAAAGCTGAAGGATTTTTTGCGTGTATATTCGCTCTGTCCTGCGAAACGTGCTCCTGTATTTCACACCAACGCCGTCCAGTTTCCTTTGAAGTAGGCGTGACGACAGATGTTTGAAGATGCGGATGGTGGTTCTGATAAAGGTTTCAGTGCCGTAACAGCTGCGTGAATCACTCTGGGTGTGTGTGCAGTGATGAGTCCCTGGTGGAGGAGAGCAGGACGTTCGAGAGTCGCCTCCAGAGTTTGCTGCAGGACACCATTCAGGAATCAGAGAGCAGCATGGAGGTATGTCAACGCTTACACCAACTATACTGTGTATGGTGTAGTTTAATGCTTTTTTATTTCTGACTTCTAGCTGATTATTTCAAATTCTTTTTTTTCCCCCCCAGATGTTGAGGGACTGGCCGTGGCTACAGGGAGACCAGAACTTTTCCAGCGACCTCTCCTGAGCCGGTTGCACTCGTGGTACTCTACTACCTCTGTGTGGATGGCTTGTTGAATTACATGGGAGTGTGCCACCAATTGCTCGGCCTGGTCAATGTGAATGGAGTTTTTTTTGCCGCTGGCACATATTTTCTTGATGAGATTTCTCTGACTTTTAAAAAAACCTTTCATTCCACCAGCACTTGAGGCTGACGCTGTCCCAGTCTTTAAAGGAAGGATTTAAGTACATTTAAAGTACTTTTGCAGCATGTTCCTGCCAGTTTCAGAACAGAAAATTGTTCAGCATTTGGTGGATTTGAAGCACACTTCCCCTGTCCCTGCTCAGTCTTACTTTTTCTCTGAATGAACATAACTTTTAATTTGATCCGACTAAATGTTTCATCTATCTGATGAATTTGTTTTCACTTGCTTAGGATCAGCTGTGTCAAATTGAAAGCTTCTTTGATTACGGTACATTTTATAAGTTCATGGCAAGAGCTGAAGTAAATACAACATTTAGGAACACTCTTTTCCAAAAAGATTTTACATTTAACCAAATGTTTTCATCCCTGAGAAAGAGATGTCTGCTTTTTGACAGTAGAGATTCAATTCCTAAGCCTTTTTACCACAAGTTGGTAAAAAAAATAAGTTAGGAATCTTCATATTCATTACTTTAGCCTAAATGTTTTGGTGAACAGTAGGCAGAACAACGTAAAAAAAAGTTTAACTAATGTTTCTGTAATTACGTATTAACTAAAATCCGAAAATGTATACAAATGCAAAATTGTGTTGTAAATCTAGTCGGATTAAGTGGAAGCTGGATGAAATTGCAGGAAGTGAAAGTGTTCTTACGGTCTATACGGTTTGATTGATCTTGAAATTGATAATTAGTTAATACTTTACCTCCATGACAAAAACTGAAATTCATCATTGTACAGAAGTGTCATAATTGTGCTTTTAAACTGCCCCTCCAGTGCCCATCTTCATCCTGCAGGTATTTGTGTGTATAGACTGAACAAAGCTGTTACATGTTGTCGTGTTTCTGTTCCGTCTCGTGTCACTGTGTACAGACACTTCCCTGTCAAGATTCTAATGTCAGAGAAAACATACCTATCATTTGTAAAACAAAATTGAATTTTGTAGTTTGTTTAAGAATTACCTTTTCTAAGATGACTCACATTTTTGGAGTGAGAACACTGGCTTTGTTCCCACACTATGTCATTCCAAATAAAAATACAAACACAAAAGCCAACAAGATTATTGTGTTTGACATTCTTTATTCTATTCGTTCAATAACTTTATCTTGAGGTCCTATATTTTGACTCAATGTTCCTATACAAAGCACAGCACAGACGTGAAATGTAGTGACAAGGGTTGAACGGTTATAGGGCACAAACCTGACTAGACAAAGAGGTGGCACAAACAACCAAATTGAAATAGACCCTTTCTTCAGTTTTTTACCAAACAGGGCCTGAAAAATAGACTTTTAGGCAACCGAGAGTTCACAGTCTGTAACTGTGTTAATGAGGTCATGTAGTGAAATCAATGCCGGTCCACTCTGGCTGAGAGGCAGGACCTGTCTAATCTGCCCTGCTGCATCTGTTTGTAGTCCCTGTCTCAACGTGACAAAGAAAAGTCAGAAAACGTTCCTCTTGCCTTACAAGCATGCAATAAATCCAAAACATATCAAAACAAGCATCCCCTAAGAATCACACCTACATCTACAATCCAGAGGTTTACTGGACAGAACTCAGGTGGGCACACGGTCGAAACGAGAAGGTGCCTCAAAGCACGTTTCTCAAAGAAAAGATATGTCTGAGACACACGGTTGTACATGTTTGAAAAATTACTTTCTTTTGTTGTACTCTGCCAGTGTAGCCTCAACAGGTAATGTAGAATATAAACTTCTATTACAGGTCATGAGTTGGTGAACATTACAGTACTGTAGGTTTTGGAGGCTGTTGGGTTTCAGGGTTAAGGCCAAAGAGCGTGAGTATCTGTAAGTGTGTATATGTGTGTGCTGTGGCACTCAGGGAAAAATTTGTTTAGATGTCACTGGCTGGACTTCAGTGGTGTCTTCACATTTGGGATTTTTATTCTTCTCCTGTCTTGTTTTTTTTTTTTTTTCCCCCTCTTGTCTGCCATGTTGAACCTTTACGCCTCCAACTCGAAGCCCATGCCCACTTTGTGTCCGCCGCCGTTCACGCTCTTCCCGTCAATCATGGCTGAGAGGGTGAGCTTCACTCCTGCGGAGGTGAGCATCAACAGTGCACGTCAAGCAAGCGCAGTGACGTGCTGTTGTCACAGAAAACAGCTTTCAGAAGTCAGCTGGCTAACCTGGCCTGAGGGTTTGTGTGTATCCGACTCCAACCAGGCAGGCGTTGTTAACCTTTGCCTGTCAGGGGAAACAAAACAAACACACAAAAATAATGAGGGGCCAGTAGATGGGAGCTGGGTTACATAATCAGTTTCAGGTCAAAAGCTGATAAAACAACTCGGATGGTGGGAATTATAAACAGCATTAGTGCACTCAGCCTTTAGAACAGGGTTTGTTTTTTGTTGTCATCATTGTCATGTTTTTTTGAAAGTCCTTACAGACAGGGTGACATCCTTATCCAGCTGGTATTTGGCTCCAATTCCAAAGCGGGTGTTGTTGCTGCCCGCCGTCCAGGCCAGGTTGACCGCCGTCTCCAACTGGCTGTTCACTTTCTGGTAAATGGAGCCACCAAACTCTGTACCGTCATTGCTGAAACAAAGCCACATAATGGAATGTGCGGACTAAGGAAAGCACAGGGGAAAAACGTCCATTTTGAATGTTGCCGTCCGGGGACGCTGAGACTCACACGCTGGTGTGAAGCTGGAAGTCACCAGCCTTGTAACCAAGGGCAAAGTTGTTCTGAGTGAGTTTGGACTTGGCGGTGTCGAACGCCAGCTGGTAGCCAGCCAGCCAGCCCTCGTAGCCCAGCACCGCCGCGGCGTGGACGGTGGGACCCGCCATGTCGAAGTCCAGGTCACAGCCCAAATTCATGTATTCCCGCTTGTAGGCCGTCTTCAGCTTGGCACTTTTCTTCCTGAAGAATTAGAGAGCAGTGCCACGTTACGTATGAACTATCATTACACGTCTGTGCAATGATGTACAAGCGACTCTCTGCTGATCCACTGAAGAGGAGCTCTCTTACCCAGTGTTTGGCACAAATGATGTGTCCAGACCAAGTTTCAAGCCTTTAGCCAGCTGCAGGCGGACACAGGGCACAGAACGATTAGCTAAAGTTGCTTAAAGTTTAACATCTTGTGATATTTTGGAAGTGCTGAATATGTTGGGGCCGACCTGGTCCTCCATGGTGATTTCTGTGGTGAGATTGTTGTCTGTGTTCCATTTCTGGTTGAAGGTGAGGCCCAGGTCGCTCACTTTGTACTTGGTCTCCAGGTGGCCCCCTGACTTCCCTGTGTCTGTGTTGTTGGAGCCGGAGGTGGCAAACTCCTGCAGGACAAAAAGGGACGTAGTTAGGAGGGAGGGGGAAAAGGGAGGGTGGAACAGGGAAAAGGACCTGGATGCAGAAAAGCACATTGAAGTGCAGATACAGCAGCTTGATTCAGAGGGGGTGGGAACGCATACAAAGGACGGGGGGAAGAGGCTCTTCCTCTGCCACATAATCCCTCTCGGGTTTGTGTGGTTTATTGTGTCAAAGGAGAGCTACACATTTAACAAGAGTTGGAAAGGAAAACTGACTGTGAGGGAGAGGTCAGTTGGAAGCATATTTAAGGATGAGTGCTGTTACGGCTGCCGCTGGGGGGAAAAAGGTGTCTCTCAGGTGAGCCACTACTTCAAAGAAAAACGCGTCAGAAAGCCTGCCCACATCACTGGCTTACCCTGCCACGAACCTGTGCTTAATCATGACATGTGCACACACTCTCGCTCTTACCATCTGACAGCAGAGTCCAAAGAAGGAGCAGAGAAAAAGGGAAAGAAGAGAGACAGGAGATATTAGGGAGAACCACACACTTCACGTGCATTTTTCAGAGCAGAAATTGCAGCTGAAGTTAGCAAACAGAGGAGAGGCCTTTGTTTTTATGTGTGAGGAATGAGTTTTGTGGCTAGGAGAGAATTCTGTATGCAAGTGCTTATTTATGGTTTTGTGATTCATAGTGACAGATTTTCAAGCCAAAACTGAATACTTTGACGGACTTTTTCCTTCTTTTTTTTCCATCTATCTTAGCTGCAAACTTCAGCTACGATAGAGAGGAAATTCATTTGAAGAATAAATTCATCTGGCTCCCAGACGACAGTAGTACTTACAACGCCATTTTGAGACTTGGTCTTGACATCTAGCTTCAGAACTCCATAGCCTGGACAGATAGGAAGTCAAGAGACACTAAGATGAAAAAAAACTTTAAAGACAGGCTGGAAAAATAACATCCTGGTGCTGCACTACATGGCTGTAAAAGCGGCCACAAAAATAAACAGCTGAGAGACACCGTGGACAACATGTTCTCTAATGTGAGCCCTGCAACAACACAGAAGCCCGTCTCCAAACAGCTGCTGTGCATTAACAACATCAGAGCAAACACTCACACACACTATAGGCATGAATTAAATTTTGGACTTACCAAAGCCCTTATTGAAGATGTCTTTGGCAGATTTTCCTAAATCTGAGTATGCAGGAGGGACAGCCATTGTGCCTGAAGAAATGCACATCCAAAGGGTTGACAACAGCACAACACACAAAACTATCACACAAAACAAAACTGTCCCAGAGGGATACATGCTTTATATAATAACATAATCAAAGATAAAATCAGATCAATAATGCACCCGATAAAGATGGGAAACTTGCAATTAACATTTTTTCTTGTCCCAAAACAACCAGGATTTTAGTTCTCAGCGGGGTTTAAGATCCACAACTGCTGGATGACTCATACTTCCTAAAACAGCTCCAAAATATCTTCCATTAAAACCACACCTTAGCACCATCCACCAGTTTGTAATCATCTACAGTACTGCACGAAAATCTTGAACTACTCCTTAGTTCCTTATATATTACCAGGAAAAACAGGAGATGGGAGCAGTGATTTGTTAAAATGTAGGAAAACTACAAAAAAAAGTATATAAAAGAAAAGGACCATTTCTACAATTTAGAAAGGAGGTTTGGTATGGCTTTCTTTATTTTTAAACTACCGGTATGTGAATATATTATATTCTAAACTATCTGAATAATCTTGAACAACTTTTCTTTTCATTTCTTTAAGTAGCTACAACAGAAAAAGCGTCCAATGAAAGACTGAAAGATCTTAGAGAACCATTTCTTAAAACAAACCTCAGACAATGACAAGAAAGAAGATACACCCAAAAAAAATTGTGCAGAGAAAATTACAACATATCTTTCAATTAAACTCAACCTGAAACCTGTTAGGAATGAGTAAAAGTTTGCATAGTTTTACAAGTTGAACAGTGTAACTCGAATTTCACTCACAGACCAACGCACGTGCAAGAAAGCGTTACAGATAGTTTTCAACTTTCAAACAATCAGCACACATCAGCATCAGGCAGCAGAAGAGGGTTCTGGTGATATTCAGCTGCTCTCTTCCTGCATTGAACATGTCAGGCCTATCGATTCTGTGGCAGCAGTCAGCTCACAAGCACCAGCAGCAGTTAAGCGGATGAAAAGGTTTCTCTGTTAGAAACAGGCAGTCCATGTGCAAGCAGAAAGCACTTTTCCGGCCTGTCACTTCTGTGTTCGACCAAAATCAAAAGTCTTTACTATACTATGCTGGCAGGCTTAAAGAGAAATAAAATATCTAATGTGCAAAAAAAAAGAAAAAAAAAAAGCCAAAGCCAGTGCAGCAGAGCTAACATAAGCAGTAAGCTGGACTGTTTAGTCAGCAGCTACCAGTCCTGCACACCACTGCACTGCACCGTAACGCTTGGAGCATGCATCAGGATCCCCTCGCTTGGTGTGACTGCACCACATTTTTGTGTGTTTTAGGCAGATAGTGTGTATCTGACAAGGTGACTTTGGAGCGCTGTAGAATGACCCTGTTTTCAGTTATGATCCAAAGCTGCTTTAATATTTAACCGGGGGACTCACCTTTCTTCCTGTGCCCCTGCCCTGCTTTCCCTGACAGTAAATCTCGCCTATCACATCTTTTCTGCGGGGAAACAAGACTTTGCTCGACAGCCAGTGCATTCAGGGCTGAGCCAGCGCAGTCAAATGCCCAAATCCAGCGCCCTGTGGCCGACTACAGGCCCCGATCCCTGCTGGAGGCAAAATGCAATCCAAGGCCGCCAACGACAATCCTCCTCTCTCTGTACATGCACGCCCACCACTCACCATGTCCTTTGGGTGCGTGGGGCTGACATGTTACACAGACATCTTTGTTCTCTGTCTGCTCAACTTTTTCTGTCTTGTCCTGCTGCACCACAATCTCCACTGTCTCTGCCATGTCTTCTCAGACGATGGAGGGGCAAAGAGGGACGACAGAATGGTTTTTTGGCAAGAAGTCCTGTACTATTTTGACACCAGCTCAGCACAACGTGCGGTCTTGTTTGTGAATGACACTGACTTTAAACATGTCTCCCACTCTGTGGCTATTGTGGGCCCCGTGTCACACCAGACGATCCTCTCACAGCCCTTAGAATGTTTCCATGCAGCACTTAGATGGAACTGCTCTGATTCTGAAATTATCTGGTGAATTACTTCAAGTGCTCTGAGAAATCCATTAAAAAGACCCAAACAGTTAAGTACTGCAAGGATAAGTCACACACACACACAGAAACACACAGTAACATCAAAAGGAACCTTTTGGCACTTTCAAATCTGATGTAGCAGTCATTTTATTACTTATGACAAGCAACATTGAAGGTTAAAACTCAGAATTAGCTGAAGGTGTAAATAGTCAATAACGTTAATATATTTTTAGCACAGTAGAAAAAGAAAAATAGCAATGAAAAATACTCTGTTTGGAAAATTCAAATATCTTTGTAGCTCCAAATGAATGATTTGCAATTATAAGAATAATAACAATAATATAAATGAACAATTACATAAATAGATTGGATAGAATAAAATAGCATGTGAGCATTCATTGTTATAAACCTAATACCCGGAGGGATGCAGGACAAAACGGACTCGTATTTTAGATATAATTTCTTTGAAGAAATGTCTGGCTCTTCAAGTAATCAAATCTACAATTAAAGTTGACCTATCAGCTTTTTTTCTCCAAAAAAAATATCCAATATATCCACTTTAACACTCAAAGCCTCTACTTACAATTGTAAAACCGGATTTTAGTTTGGGTAAAAGGCTTCCTGTTCTTACAGAACCTCACTCAATGTGTCTACTACTTCTGAGTTCTGCAGCCTATGGTCAGAACACATCACAAAGCTTGGTGCTCCCCTCTTCATCTGACACTCAGCAACTACAGTCTGTGCCACCTGACCTGTTTCCTGCTGACGCCACATAACTCCTCCGTCTTTGTCATTTCACCCGACAGATGCTCCTTCTCCACTGCCCTCACCCCACGTCTCCACACAGTCCATTTTAGACCCCTTCCCTCTCAGCCTTCGTCTCTCCCTCTCAGCTCTAAATTTAGCTCAGGTGAACCTGACACTGGCGCACGTGGCCTGGCTTTCATCATGTGTGCTTCTCAGGGTCCAGCCTATCAAAACCCCTATAAAAACAGGTGTGTTTGTCTGCATTGTACCTCCACACGCTGCTTGTACACAAACAAGGTCCTGTCAGTCATCCGAGTGCTTTCATAAGCTGTAACCAGACGACAGCCTGCCCTGAGCTCAAAGGTCAAAATGACAGGAAAGGGAGCTACGACAAAAACAAGATAAGACAAACTGCCAGCTCGATCTGAGCACGTTCCTCTTGATTCCTCCTGAGTAATCACAACTGCAGAGGAATCAGTTCAAATATTAGAAACTTCCAACACTTGTAAAGCTAAAGTCATTGTGCTAGCATGCTACATTATATAAATCAAATCAACCAAAAATTAATACGAGTAAAATATTCTAACATTTATTTTATGCTTGCTTCAAACAGAGTAAGTTGACCTAGTTGCCATAAATCCATATGATGAAAGATTGCTGTCCTATCAAGTGAAGGCATAAAAAAGTGTATAAACAGATCATTACTCAACACTGGCCTTACATTCAAAGACAACCAAGACCAGTTAGTGTGTGTGTGTCCCGTTTCGTGTGCAATATGTGTGTTTGAGATAAGGTCAAGAGCAGTAAAGTTATGCTACACACAACTCAGGGCTTGAACCTATAGGCATCATGTAATGTTGGAATTTATGATCTGTTTAGGATGCCAGTTACTTCCAGTCAGCTCTGAGTGTACAGCGACAACATCAAGGCGACGGTTGTGTGTACGCGTGTGTGTACCCCTGGATTTGGGTTGATTGTTGCATCAGCCTGTTCTGGCCTTAGCTGGAACTAACAGTCTGATTTCAGGACTCTGGATAGCGGCATTAATAGTAATATAGACATTTTGGAACTTATTAAAAAAATAAAGAATCAACCTAAAGTTATTCCTTCAAGCAATTTGTCTGATAAATATTCAGTGTGGGTCTAAAATAACAATAAGCATACTGTATAGCTGAGGTTACTGCCAGAGGGATAACGGTCCTTGTTCGACAGGGGCTCGTGGCTCTTGTTGGTCTTGACACACACCCTGATAAGACATTTCTCAAGATTTATGGCATCATATCGGTCTGTCCCACGACTGAACATACTCTTTTCCAGATGTTCACCTGTGGTTTCTATCACCTATACAATGCAACACCTCACTTTGTTCTGTGTGAATCTCTAAGCTTAGCTCACGTGGTATAAATGATTAACAAAAAATTGGAAAATAGGTAACTTTTCGGTATTTTTTTTCATTTTGGGGTTGTCGACAAATAAACAGCAAGCAAGGAACCTTTTTTTCATTTTTAGCATGCTTATATTTTACATTATTTTGTAGTATCGAATGTCAAACGTTTAAAGGGACACCCAGGCCCGAACAACTATATTTAAAAAAAAAGAAACCGCTTTAAACGGACGAGGTGCTCTCACTTCTCTTCTGGGACTAATTTCTGATTGAAAGTGGAGCGACTTCTGACACCAACTAAATGCTGTGCAGATTAACGGACGTGGGAAAGCTTCAACGAGTAAAGATGGGGTGAATAACGTCGATTCCTACCTTTATTTTTCAGGCGGAGTGTGCAGAGTTTCGCAGTGCTGCTCGGTCCAGCGGAGTACGGTGAAGGAGAGAGCCCAGCCACGCGCTGCGCGCATGCGCAGTCCCTCTTCAAGCTGAGGGCGGGGCCGTTGTGCAAGTGACATTGAGCAGGGAAAGTTATTAAGTATTGATCTTTGCTGCACAAAACAGGCCGATATGGAGATTTCTGCAAGAGCTTTTGTTTAATTTTAGGGACGGACCAAATATTTCACTCCAATATGACAGTTGAAGAAAATGGGGTGTGAGCGCCTGTACAATGTTGTGGTTTAGAGCCTGTAGGTACATGCATAGTACGACATTTCCAGTCTGAGCTCAATCCAAAAAACATTCAGTGTGAATTATTCTTATTAATTTGTGAATAGGTTATCTGCTGTATTTAAACAACAATAAATCTGCTTATAAAACTGTGGCAGCAGGTGTGGAATATTACTGCCACTATCATTATGAAAACAAATAGTATGGGAGAAATGGTTTAGAAGGTATTGGTTCGTTGTAATGAAATAAAATAAAATCAAAGGCACGTGATAGAGGTTGTACTTTTCCACCTCTGCTTACCACTCAAAACACTTCTACATTGCAATTCAAATTGATCAGAAGCTGTTAAACAGATCTATCTCTCAGACTATCCACCAGGGTTCGCAAACTAACCACAGGACCAATTATCCATGCTTAACTGAACTGGGAATTATTTAAGGTGAAGCTGGTCAGGATTTGTATGGGCAGGCTGTAATACCAGGAGAATGATCGCTTTTTCAGGGCCTGAAAGGCACAACTCAGGAGTCTAACAGTATAACTACGCCAGAAGAGACAAATGCGAAAGAACTGTTTCATATTTGAACATGTCAAGCGGATTTTAGCTTTTCCTATTTGCATTAGTCTACCAATATGTCTTATATCACAAATAAAGGCTTTGGACATCGTAGAGCATCTCGTGCTATATGTCTAGTGTCCCGTCAGGTCGAGCTCGGTGTGCGCATGCTCCGTTGCCATGGTGAAGAACGCTGCAACAAGTGTTGCTAACCCTCGCGTCATCGGAGTGCATGAATTAAATCCTCTACCGAATAACAACAGCGTCTTTTAAAAGGTAAACAAATGAACATAATACTTTTAACCATATTTCTAGTTTTTGGGGGAACGTTTAGTGGCTCGCTGCGACTGTTGGAGACCGAACGCCTCAGTGTGGTTTGAATTTTATCGCAGAAATTCGTCGAAAGGAGGTGTATAGATCTGCTAAATTTAGAGCAGTCCACAAAACAGTAGCTGTGGTTGTTTGCTAGTAGTCCTAGAAAGCAGCGTGGAGATAAAGTGCCGGATGAATAGTGCTTTTCATATTTCTGTCGGAAATAAACTGGCCGGTTACTTCAGTATTTCCTTCATTTTCTGTGTGTAACGCCATGCTGCAGCCTCCCGACTGCTGGATGGTCAGAACATTAGAATAAAATATCAGGTGCTTTCTTGATGTTTTTTTCCGTATTACTTTTATTTTTAGCTCTGTAACTTGTTTCCATTCCGGATATATGGATTTTTTAAAATTACAGTACATAGATCTGTCTGAAAGGTACATTTAGTCCACCTGTAGGCCCAAGAGAGTCATCAAACAGTGTCAGAAGAACAGGATGATCAATCTAAAATGTATTATAACTCTTTAGTATTTTATTTGATTGGGGTTGGAAACGTTGCTCGTCTGACATTATTATTACAACTTTTTTCAGTTCCTGCAATTTCAGATGTGCGAGGGACCTTCAACAATATCTGGGCCGATCCCCCCGGATCCTTCTCTGTTTCCACAGTTTTACAGACGACCAAGTTCAGGTTAGAAACAGCTAAACAGCTTTGCTTATTAAAATACACAACTTTATTTTGTGCATATATGTGTGTTTTAATGTAGGGCAAAAACTATTTACAGCCCCAGATGTTAACATGCTTCGAGGCAGTGTGAAATTTGAATGAAAAGCAAAAACTAAAGCATTTGTTTTAGTACTCCACTTATGGGGTTATATATCCCCACTGAAGGATATAAAATATTGACCACAAATGTAATGTTGCTACCTCAAAAATGTGTTGTTGTTTTTTTTGTGTGTGTTTTTTGTCTAAGACATTAGATAATTGGCCTAAAGTTACATTTGTACGTTTTCTGTCCTCCTGCAGCTCGCGCTCGTTTAGAGGGAAACCAAGATGGGATGTTGGCCCATTTCTTGGGTCCACTGGCTCCCGACCCTGATTCGTATCCAGAATGCTACAGCGCTCGTACACCAGCACAACGTCCGCGCATCAGCCCTAATGCTACCCACATTCTTGAACATGGACGAAGAGGGGTTGTGGGCGAACTACTGAAACTGGATTGTGTCTCCATTACTCCCCCTACCCGTCAAAGTAAGTGATTTCTTACTGTCATTAACACATTAGATAAAAGCCCACCTGCTGTCCTTTATTAAGATTAAATGTCCTTAAAATAAATGTAATGTTTCATGCTTTATTGTTTTTTTTTCTTTAGTCTTTTTTTCCAGTTACTAATAAGGTGATACACAACCATGTTGAGCATCTGTTTGTTTCCCAGATATTGGGTATTAAAAATGATATAACTTTCATGTTTTTAAATTTAATTGAAATCTTATCAGATAATCTTACGATGCCTAATTCTCAAGAGAGACTTGTTTAAAGTGTTCATAATGGTAGGCTATGGTGTGTTCATCTGTTATCAAGCTATTGTTGCCTTGTCCTGTAGAACAGCGAGTCCATGACTTTGGCAAGGAAAACATGCAGCGACTTCGGGAGATACAGAAGCGCTGCAAAGAGCAGGATGCTGAGAGAGCACACTCTCGTTCAGGTCCAGTTAAAGCACTGTGGACCTCCTCAAAATACCAGAACGTCCCATCCAGGGTGGTGGCCCAGCTGGAGGTAAGCAATATGACTGCGACAGATCTCTGACTGATTTATTTCCCCTGGTTTTCATGTCTAAACCAATCTTGTTCATTCCTTTAGGATTATAATCCAAACGTTAAGCCACAGTGTCAAAACTTTCTTAAGGCCCACTCTAACAGTGGGTCAGCTGCACCCTCCAGACCTTCACCTGTAGCTGTGGAGCGTCCTGCTTCCTGCAGCTCTACGCAGGAACAAGAGTTGACGGTGGGAACATTTAATCTATTTAAACAAAATTCCATTAGAGGAGTCATGAATCAATTTCTTTTTTCTGTACAGTTTTCTTGTTGCAAGTGTTTCCTTAAAATGTCTGAAATGTTTAATTTTTCATGAAAAGTTTTGGTAATCGAGAAACATAATACAAGTTGTGAGTGCGTCGTTAAAAAAGTACTGTTATGAAACTGGTTACAGGTTCAAGGTCAGAGCATAAATTTCATCAAACATAATGTCCGAGCAGCTGGAAAAACCTGTATCCGCCGGTCACAGTCACTGACAAACGTCAGAGACAAACCTCTGCCCAGTGCAGTCAAGGGCCAGGTGCCTCAGTAGTGAGTATCATACTGATTTTGACACCTATTTGTTGTGGTTTGCGTTTTTTATTGTTTTTATTTTTTTACACATACACATATATTAAATTCTTTCATAGCCTTGAAGATCGAAAGATGCAATGGCGTAAAGAGGAAGAGGAAAGGAAGAGAAATACACCTGATCCTACAATCCCAGCAGGTCACAGCCTGATGCCTGAGAGCGAGAGACAGGAAACACTGAAGTCCCTTAAAGAAAGTATGTATCCGCCTTTATATTAATAATCAGTGCTGTAGAGTTTCTCCATCTAATCATGTGCTTGTTGACTTCTGTTTCACAGCCCACCGCTCCTTGGTGACTGAACTGCTCTCACTTCCCCTGAAAGCTGACAGTCTGAGCGTCCGCTCACGCCGGGCCAAACTTGACTGTAAGCTTTCTGAGATCGAAGAAGCCATAAAAATATTTTCCAGAGACAAAGTTTATGTTAAAATTGATTCCTAATACATGAAAAAGAGTAATGTTGAAGAAGAGGAAGAGGTATTCTGTCGATCTAGCACTGCCTTGATACCTTTCTGTGTATACATCATGCAACAGAATAATCGATCATTTCAGACATTATTTTATTATTATTTTTAGTGTTGTCATGGCATTTTGTAAGAGGAATAAATATATTTTATACTTAAAGTTTTTAAGGCTAACGTTTGAGATTATTAAAAGCTAATACTAAGTTCATGTTTAATATGTTTAGTAAATACTACTGAACTATATGTGGCTGTATTGTGCTTAAAGGAAGAGGAAGAACTTCAGAAAGCTTTAAATTCAGATTTTTTTTCTGTAATGTGATTGATTTTGTTTTAAGTAAAGTTATTATTTTTACTGTATGCTGTACATGTATGATAATTGTTGATAATCGAAAATGACCAAACTGCATGTGGCATAAAGAAAGTCATTTAATAGAACGTGTTGGTTGGTGTTAAATGGGTGTTAATAAATAAATAATAAAAACTCTGGTTGGTGTTAAATAGAGGGTGTTGTGGCACGCACGCCCCACCCCCTCTACGTATGTGAGTCATTGTCCTGCGTAAGCTAACGTCAGCTAACGTGCTAGTCAGAGGCTAGCTGAAAACACAAAGAGGATTTAATTTCTTCTACATACAAATAAACCGTTTTGGCTCCTGGAAGAACGTATTAGAGTTTGAACCTTCTAAAATGAGCAAGAGGAAAGCGCCACAGGAATCTTTAAATGAGGGAATAACGGACTTTCTAGTCGGTACGTCAAGTCAAGCATTAGTTAGCTAGCAAGGTAGTCATTGGTTTAAAATTAAAATATCCATATAGTAACATACTAATTCGAGTGCCCTCGTTGATTTTTCTATTCTGCATTTAACACAAGATTATTGTTAACGTGTAGCTTTATTTTGGGTGGAGTTGAGTTTCATGGTGAATGTGACCACTATTGAATGGACGCTGCGCAGGTTCTAAAAATACTCTCGGTAACTGAGGGACTCTTGGAGAGAGGCGAAGTCATGCAATGTCTGAAAGTTGCTTCTGTTTCAGAGCTGGCCAACTACGAGAAAAATGTCAACCGAGCAATACACAAGTACAATGCATACAGGTAAATGTTGAACCCACTAATTAAAAAGATGTGAAAAGATTCAACACAACGTGCAATAACAAGTTAATAGTTAGTCTGGGTGTTAGTTAAAGGTTTAGTGTGCACAGAACCATTCAGACCAAACACAGTCATCCTGGAAGGTTGATAATCATTCACAAGAGGATTAACTCTATTAAACCTGTTTGTTTTGTCGGTTATCTTTTTTGTTCATTCATTATTATATGTTTTCTTGTCTGGTGGGGATAGGAAAGCAGCATCTACCATTGCGAAGTATCCCAACAAGATCAGGAATGGAGAAGAGGCCAGAAAACTGGTATATCCACTAATGGCTGTTTGAGTCACTTTGTTAATAAGTGAAATATGTGATAATGTTAGTATGTTTTTGTTTTGTGGTTTAAATTATGATTATCACAGTTTGATGGATCAACGAGTAGACTGTTCTGCTCAAAATATATTATGTAATTTAGTGTAAATATACTCAAACACAACACCGTTTAGTTTCACTGTTGCTCAGTAAATGGGCCAGATTATAAATGTGTAAACAGCACTGCTTTTAAACACATGTACAGTGTAATGGCATCTGTAAAACTCAGATTATGTGTCTTCTCCTCCATGAAATGTGCATGTGCTGATGTGGATACACATTATTTGATGTCCTGTGTGATCGTGCCATGTTACATAACCTCTACAAATCAGGCCATTTAGCATGTTCTTGTTTACTTTTCATATTGCAATAGGATGGTGTTGGAGCTAAGATAGCAGAGAAGATTGATGAGTTCCTTCAAACTGGCAAACTAAGGAAACTGGAAAAGGTGAGGGAGCCTGTGAGGCCAGTGCCCCAGTGTATGAAGAATTAAAGATGCATTAACACATTCTAACTTCATATTTTCCCCTCAGATCCGAAATGACGATACCAGCTCTTCCATCAATTTTCTCACCAGAGTTACTGGAATTGGGTATGTTTTAATCACTGATTTGCAATTGAATTAGTAAATGGTTTATATGGAGATTCTCAAGGAAATGCGTCTTTGCAAATTAAAGTGGAGTGAGTGACCAATTCAGTGTCCACCTCAGGGGACCACATGAGTTTTATTTATTTGTGCACGTAATTTTATTTAACTCTTTGCACGTAACAAAGTTCATGTCTTGGGTCTTTAATTTAGCCCTGCTGCCGCCAGGAAGTTTTTTGAGGAAGGGGTGAAGACTTTGGATGGTTTGTACAACCTTGTACATTTAGCTGTTCTAGCTTTAGTAACATTTTCAATTGACAGCGTTCTTATCAGCTCTTTTGTCACCATTTTCAGATTTGAAAAAAGTTGAGCACAAGCTAAACCATCATCAAAAGATTGGACTCAAGTAAGTTTGGATATCTTTGTGTCTTAAAATGCTTAAAGACAGAGCATGTGAAATGTTTTATAATTTACTTTACTCCATTTAGATACTTTGAAGAATTTGAAAAAAGGATCCCGAGGTCTGAAATGGAAGAGATGGAGGTGCTTTCATTTGTAGATATTTCTGAGATTGTCAAATTAAATTGTGTGAATGCCCCTCCTAAACAGATCTTGGTTATTGTTGTAGACTCTCATTCTTGGGGAGTTGGAGAAAATCGATACAGAATACATCGGAACAATCTGTGGAAGCTACAGGAGAGGTAATTATCTTTAGTTTTTCCTTGTTTTATCGATGGAGGATGTTTTAATCATGTGTATCAATTCCAGGTGCGGCATCAAGTGGTGATATTGATATTCTGTTGACCCATCCAGACTACACTTCTGAAACTGAGAAGCAGGCAAGGCTTTTTGTTAATCCTGTACTAAATACAGAGAGTTGGCAAGAATTGTTTTGTCTTTTTAAACTCATTTTTTGGTGTGTTTCTGTTTTTCAGGCCAAGCTCCTTCATGCTGTGGTCGAGCATTTGGAGTCCATTGGGTTTGTGACAGACACCCTCTCTAAAGGAGACACCAAGTTCATGGTGAGGCCTCCTCTGGTTTTCTCTGATATTCTTCGCTGTATGATGTTCTAATTGGTAACACAGTTAGTTTATTTACCAGACCCATCCTGCATAGCACATGACCCTGGTTATAATTTGCTGGATCTTGCTTTTCTAGGGAGTCTGCCAGCTACAGCACAGTGATAGCGATGGGGAGGAATACCTACACAGGCGTATTGATATTAGGTAATCTCCATATGGCTGCCATGTCTAACATGCTGTTTCTTTAACATGTTTAACCAAATTCAGACCCCACATCTTTTCCTTCGTTTCCCAAGGCTAATTCCCAAGGACCAGTACTACTGTGGAGTTTTGTATTTCACTGGAAGTGACATCTTCAACAAAAACATGAGAACTCATGCTCTGGAGAAGGGCTTCACTCTTAACGAGTACACCATACGACCACTTGGTGTCACCGGTGAGTCTGAGTCAAACATGGCTGAACCTCAGCTTAAACTTTACAACTTTAGTTGCCAGCTAGTAACTTATGGACTTTTTTCTTACCCCTAAACCTTTTTTAAATAATCTATTGCAGGTATGGCAGGGGAGCCTCTGTTGGTGGATAGTGAGAGAGACATCTTTGAGTACATCCATTACAAATACAAAGAGCCAAAAGACCGCAGCGAGTGAACATCTGGAAAATAAAGTTACAGCTGTCCTGCAAGCAAGATTTAAAAAATTGTTTGTTGGTTTGTTACTTGTTCTCCAATTACCCAGGATATTGAAAGAAAAACTGTGAGAGTTATTTAAATTCTTTTTCTTTTGATCATATTTTCCATGAGGGTAAAAATGATCTCTGATAATGAGATTTTTAACCTTGATTCTTTAGCTTAGAAACTCTGTATTCAAATGTTTTTGTAAAGGTGCTTAACATTGGTTTTAAAGGTTTACAAATCATGTTGAACTATTATTTAATGTTCTGTGCTAAACTTTTTATTTTTGATACAGCAGAAAGGGATTTTAATCTGAGAAGAGCAGTTTTATGGAGGAATAATGACTGTTACTGTTGGTGATCATCCTGAACATTGAGAAAGTTTCAATGTATTGTCCTTAACAATAATGTTCCTCAATACCTTTATGGTTTGGACTTTTTTGTTCTCTTTTTATCTCCAGACTATGCCTTCGCCCCAGTGTAGGCACAATGAGCTGAAATGCAACAGCAGTGCAAGCTAATTTCGAATAATAATTTATTGGTTTTAGAGCAAGAAAAACAATCAAAACTTATGGAACAAATTTGGCTTTCATGTTTTACTTTTATTGGAGATTAAATGTCTGTTAATGTACTGTTAAACTTGATACTGGATCTGGATGTGCTTGGTAGAGGACACTAGCATATAGTTGTTAGAAGTGAATAAACTTTGATGTTCAACCTCAATATTTAGTTTAGGTGTTTGCTTCAATATACTGTATCATAATTTTGACAATGTATTTAAACATTTGGGATTTGAAATTCAGTCATCGACTGATACATTTCAATGAGAAATAAAACAGTAAAAATGCATGTTTTTGTCATCTTCCATTTGCTTGAGCAGTTTTGTCAAAAACAAATCTTGAAAAGGTTTGAATAGGATTTGATGGTTTATAATTTACTTACATTCATGACTTGAAAGGACTTCTCTTGGTAAAAAGCATTTTTTTCAATATAGAAAAGTTACTTTCTTGCTATATGTTTTCTAACTATTTATTTATTGTCGACTGAAGAAATTGAATGAAAACTACGTTATAAACTGGTTGTGTTAACAGTTGAAGATAGTTATTTCTAGGTAACGAGAAAATCAGCTTTTTTCTGAATACATGAATCATGCATCATATGAACGATATACTTTTAATTACAAACAATAACATACTTAACTGAGAAGCTGTTGTGATGTAGTTTAAGAATTATTTCTAAAAAACAAGGTTATATCCAAAAATATATCAAAGTTCGTAACCTTGGTGAAATTTGAAAGTATGTGGATTGCTGTTGCTGGGTGCCATTTTGCTGTTTGATGCTAGTGCAAATGTTGTGGCGTCCACAGGTTATTTACAAAGGTTGCCCAGCAACGGCTCCATCGCAATGCATGCTGGGTGGAAATAAAATGCTGGTGGAAATACCAGAAAGACAGTCCTGAGCCGTCCAATGACAGCGCCTCATACATTAACACCAGCCAATAGGGTCACGACGGAGCAGCAGTCTCCAACCGCTACACACCCACATTACTTTTGTGTCAACCACTTCGCGGGAGTTGTCACTACTGGAGCAGTCATCCCTTAAAAAATAATCACTCCATCTACGAAAGACATCAAGGTAAGTTTACAAATGTGCATGCAGATAACTGTGTTTGATTTGTTTTTCTTGTTAATTCTGTAATGGAACGATGTGTGTTAATAAATATTTTTCTAATTTTCCGTGATGAATGAGCAGCTACTTATTGTGTGCTTGCTAATCAGCAGCTCATTATTGTAGAGTGGCCACGCGACCCTTTCTCTGTTTGGCCAAGTGTCAGAAATATGGTAATCTTCCTTTTTGCCCTCTTAACGTCTATAATTTAGACTTTTTTAACGTACGTTCGCAAACCCGTTAAGAGAGTCTTTTGAATTGTAGGGTTTGTGGTCATATTCGATGTCGCAGAAACGTGTCTTAATTTTGGATCCCGGACTCACAAGAGTCTTGCCGAAACCTCGGAAAAATTGAGACGATGATCCCTAAATGTCTTGCGTATCCATAGAAACTACGCAGGGCGCGCTTTAAGCGAGCTAACCACTGATGGAAGTTATGTAACACTTGTAGAAACGGCTAGCTCAGATATATTATGTAGCCGTTATTATGTAACAGCGCCCCAATAACTTTTCCTTCTCTCTATTCCGTGGTCCTCGTGCCCTATCGTTTAAGTCAGTCGAAGACGATGATGATGTTGGTGATGATGATGGTGTTGATGGTAATTGCGAGGATGCTGGATCAGTTGCCTTGCGTGTCTGTTTCAATGAGCCCGTGAGTGATGAATTCTCTGCTGTATTTCGGTTTCCCAGGGCAACCATGTCTGACAGAAAGGCAGTGATCAAAAACGCCGACATGTCGGAGGACATGCAGCAGGACGCCGTGGAGTGTGCCACACAGGCCCTGGAGAAGTACAACATCGAAAAAGACATCGCTGCCTACATTAAAAAGGTAACAGGAAAACTAGATCAGAGCTATCAATGTTCTGTTGATCTTAGTTAATAGGTATGATGATTAAAACCCATCTGTAACTACGGAGATATAGATAGGAAATACTCCTTTTCACAGATGTATGTCCTTGGTCTATCTCATTTTAGTTTAGTATTTTGAAAATAATAGGGATATTAGGGTAGCGGGGAACAGTTTTGTCTCAGTGTATCATAAATCTCCATTTTAGACATCCTGGATATTCAGATTCAGCATTTTGTTGCAATGTAGGAATGTGCTGAAAATATTTCCTTGATATAGTGCCATATGTAGTCTATTATGGGAGGTAATGAGTGGTTGTCGTGTAATTGAAAGCGTGTCGTTCATAATTTCCTTCGTATGCAGGCCAACGGCGGTATAATACCGTAGCTTTTGTTGTCCAGATGCATTTAACTTTACACTTATACAATAAGTAAAAAGATGTTAATTCTAGGCGTTTTCATCAAAAATGCTCATGTGATTTTTATTTTTTTTTCCTGCCATAGGAGTTTGACAAGAAATATAACCCGACTTGGCACTGCATCGTTGGGAGGAACTTCGGCAGTTACGTGACTCATGAGACCAAGCATTTCATTTACTTCTACTTGGGTCAGGTGGCCATCCTGTTGTTCAAGTCCGGCTGAGGGGAAGCGTTTTCTAGATCCCTGCTGACCTTACTACAGACTGACTCCACAAAAGGCACTTATCATTCCTTGGCAAGGGGCCTCTGCCTTTCTCTGTGCTGCTTTCTACTTTTGTTTTTGAGGATTAAGAAAAAAAAACAGAAAAAAAACGTGGCCATGTTGAAGAGATGAAACACTTGTATTTATTTTTGTGTTGTTACATTAGACATGTCATTTTTTAATTAAAGCATAGCTCTTAAGCTGTCTGGGTTCAATGCATTTATTACAAATAGGCTACTCAATCGCTATGGGTAAGATGGTGTTACAAGCAGAGAGGGATGGAAATTCATTAGAATTTCAAACCCTGAGATGAAATGGATCAGTTAATAAATGCTTCATTAATTCACATTTAAGTCCTTGACCATTGCCATGATTATAGGACAGGACTAAAAAAAATTCATGACTATCTTTCCTTCAATACTTTATTTTCTTCAAACTTAATATATTTTATTTGATCTCCTTAAATGCTTTCTAGTCTGAGTTTTTTTCACTGTAGACCTCAATACAAGTACAGTATATTTGATATAATTAAATCACAGAGGGCACAAAAGAAAAAGGTCAGAGGGCAGAAGTAGGTGGTACTCTTTATTACAACACATTTAGAAAACCAGCTTGTGTGGGTAGACACCATTGGACAGGCAGAAGGTGGAGCGCAGGTATCCTTTCAGCTGAGGAACTTTCTTGATGAGGGGCAGGAGCTGAGTGTCTACAGCCTTCTGGTCCATTTTCCTCTGCTCTGTCAGCTGGTACTTCTGCAGAGAGACAACAAAATGGCTCAGCCTCGTGTTCCACTAACTACATACCAGATGGAGTAGATCAGGAGAAAGTTACCTCTTTCTCTGTGTCAAAGATCTCTCCCTCCTGGTGACGGGGCCTCCTCAGCTTCTTCTTCTTGAAGTAAGTGTCATTGAGGGTTTTGGGGATCTTCATACCAGAGATGTCAACTTTGGTGTTGGTGGCGATGACAAACTTCTGATGGGCCCTGCGCAGGGGGACTCTGTTCACGGCCAGAGGGCCTAAATGTGTAGGGGCGGGGGGGAGACGTGAATTAGACGTGAACGTGCACAAAATTTAAAAACGGCTTAATAAAGTGCTTTTCTGTGCCGTTTATCCTCACCGGTGACCAGCAGGAGACCACTGGAGAGCTGCTTCAGGAACACCACACGCTGAAAAACAAACCATAACCTGCATTACACCCAGGACAAAAACCAGCACATACACAACCACGCAGTCAAACCAGCCTGTGCCACTTAAATGCTAAGTGCAATCCTCCTCTCTGAATATTTAGATCGAGAGAAAAAGAAAAACTACAGGACAAACACAATTTAGTGTTCTCTGCCCGTCAGCTGCAGCTAAACGATATTCAGGTCAACTGCAGCTCTGAGTGTGTGTAGGCACACGTGCTTCTATAACTTGTGGATGCAGCATGTGAGTGGGAGAGAGGGACAATGTCTGCGATACCGAGGGTGTGAAATTATAATCATGTGTCCAGCTTTCTTTTTCAGCCCACAATGTGTACTTGAGCATAAAGCGTTGCATGCGTCATCCTTTTGCCTGCAGAGTACCCCCCCTCACTCATTTCCGCTCATGAGAAGAAGGTACCTTTCCGCGGTGGCGCCCGGTGAGCAGAATCAGGACGGTTCCTGGTGTGATGGAGGCACGCAGCTTCCTTTTGTGCTGGCTGAAGGGCTTTTTCCCGTGGCTCTTCAGTTTGCGAGGAACATCCTCTGTGGGGTAGTAGCGGGGCTACAAGGAAAACATTCCGCCTTTTACTCCACAGAACTATTAACATTTAAATCTTTATGTTGTCATTTTCTTTTAAATCCAGAGTGGAACAACACTACAAAATGACTACTAAAGAATACAATGGTCTACCAAAATATTTAGGAGAGATTGGAGATTGGCTTTTACTTCTATAATTTCTGACCAAACATTAATTAAGAAAGTGATGAACCAAGGCAGCCAGGACCAACTGTGTTGCAAAGGTGACCATAGCAGGAAGAAAAGTTAAACAAGAACATTAACAAGTTTGCAATTTTTTAAACAAGACTTTGGGGCTAAGAGACAGGAAAAGGGATTTCTGAGTACAAAAAAATACAAAGTAAAGATGGGGCACATTTGCGGGGTCGCTTACATTTCAAAATACACGCAACTATCATGCGATATCCAGAGTGAACTGCCAGCAAGCCTTAAAGTGTCCTGCATGCTCAGGACGCAACAACGCACATGTGGCTGCTCCGTGTTGGCAGTCCAGCTCTTCATGAAATGGACAGGTGATGCGTCCACGGCAACTTCGTTTGAGTCTCAAATAAAACACAGGTCTGCTTATATTTGGGTGGAGGGTTGGAGCCAGTAACGTTTCTTAGGAAATGCTAACAAAAATCTCCTGGTTCTGATGGGAACCTTAAAGTTTTGCCTCGATAGAGCGATCCCCCAAATACTAAATAACTCAAAACTATGCCTTCTCTCCACATTATGGTCCACAATGACGCAGAAAGGCTGCGTTTGTAGAGGATCATTGATGTGTGGGTTGGATGAATCTGACCTGGCTGTACAGACTCAGGTCTAAATTAAAAATATGGGATACATATCAGATTTCGGACCACATGTGGTCTTTGTCGCATTTGAATAAATCTGCCCTGTGTCATGATAAAATCAGAGACAGGTCACATTAGGGGAAAAAAGTAATGTTTTGGCTCCTTTCAGGCGGCAGTGTGAACGCAGCTTGAGAACAAATCAAATTCACAGACATATGTGCATTTTACATTGCATCACAAAGACGCTTGCTCAACTTAACTTCTCCAGACCATTTCCTCTGCTATTTGGACAAAAATAAACCCAAATTGTCAGCCAGAAGCCCCTGTATAACTCACCATTTTGCGCAGCTTGACCACACGGGTGCCTCCATTCTTGTCTCCACCAACGGTCTTAACAACAGTGAACTGGGGCCTCGTCTTGATCTTTTTCTCAACCTGGAAAAAAGCGTGAAAGAACACAAAAATTTCACCATGAAGTCTAGCATTTGAGACTCTGATATACCGGACTAACGGGGTTCGTCGAGCGTACACCATGTTACAGGAGAATGACTGAAGCGTTCTCATGTGTCTGACTGACTTGGGAAATAAATGTGAGGTGCTGCCTTGTGCTGTTCCTCAGGATGAATCAGAACCCCCCCAATGCAACATATGTAATGATGCTGGGTGTCACAGATTCAAAACTCGGGATGTACAATCCGCATTGGTTAATATGTTTTAAAGGCATTGGAAGCTGCCCCGGGCTGGTGCTTCATTTTTGTGAGTTGTCAGGAGTTGAGGCCCACCTTGGTCTCGGTGGTCTTGGTCTTCCTCTTGTACATGGCCCGGCGGGCGTACATAGCCGAGCGGGAGTAGCGGCCGATGCCCCGGGCCAGAACCGGGTTCCGGCTCCCGTGCTTCTTCTTGGCAGCCTTCTTGTCTCCCTCTGCCATCTAAACACAATGCACAGAACAAAAAAAAAAGATGGTTAGTGAAATACTCAGTGACAGTGTTGAGGTGGTGCTGTTTAACAAATTGATTGTTACTCTTATTACAGCTGCCTGAAGCCCAGAAACAGCCACTGTCTGATCAATGAAATTATCTGACAGAATTAACCCAGCTGCTGGACTACACACAAAATTCAGTCATTGATAAGAATTCATAGAAGAAGAAGACTACAATCTATCCCGCGGACAGGTGACACGAGAGAAATCAGCAGAGCACTAGACAGCACGAGAACCACGGTCGCTAGCAAGCACTTAGCATCACGGCTCAGGGCAGCTTTTTGGTCTATGCAGCTCCCAATTAAATCTATACGATAAGTTAATATCGTTAATTAGAATAACGGCAACGAGAGGAACCTTTAAGGGTAAACCAAACAAGGGAAAGCGAGCTATATTCAGCTGCTAGCTAAGATATTGACGGAGCGGGGGCTAGCCGGCGGCCTGGAGGTGCCGACGCGATTAACTGTTCATCATTAAGAGTAATGGCAGATAAATCAAGGTAATAATAAGGTCTAACACACCGTCTAAGTATGCCCTTTCACCTCACGGTGTTTAAAATTGGTAGTCTTTATTCTGCAAAGCTGATTGTAACAGATTTTTATTCGCACAGTCACACGAAGGCAAGGCCATCTTACCTTTGCTATGAAAAAAAGAACGACATCCGGGGATGTTACGTATATAAGGACGCATGGTTATTACGTCATTACGTCATTCTTCGAGGTAGTGATGGTCATTGTAGTCCTAACGATGATTTTGTGGCGTCCTAAAAACTCATTTTAATTGACCTAATTAAATGGCTGTTATTTGTATAAAATTGGCAAAGAAATTATTTTGGAATATCAATTTTGTTCACTGTAAAAAAAAAAAAGAGTAAATCGTTCCACCGATTTTTTGCATCTGAAAAGGTAAGACAAATTTATCATTGATCCTTTAAAAACAAAATCCTATTTTGGTTATGACTTTAGATATTGGTTTATTATTTAGATACTATTGTAACCAATTAACCCTTTATAGTTATTTCACCTACTGTTGTTTTTTTCAGCAGAATTTATTTTTTTCAAATAAAACAACTAATCATTTGGAGCTTTTGTAAAAGTGACAGTTTGAGTCAAAATATTTTGCAGTTATTGACATAGCCAGCTTTCTAAATAACGGTAAGCACATATTCCGTCCATCCACTTATTCCCTCATGCGGTGGGAACTGAAGTCTATCCCAATTTTTTAAGTTGTCTTAATGACACTTAAATATATGTAAATGAAAAGGTTTGATCATGAAAAGAATCAGAAACAGAATAAAATCATTTCTTTATTTTCAAATTTGACTGGGGATGCTTCCACGGTGAAGTACAAAAGCGTAGACGTTACTTGCGCTGCAGGTTCTGGCAACACTGAACCCAAAGCAGAGTGATGGAGAGCATCTTAAGGCAAAGAACGGGCCGTGTTAACAGTACCACTGCATTGTAGGCACATACAGAACAGTCTCTTCAGCGGAGTGCTACGAGCACAAAGGTACAGTCCAGAATTAGTTATTTATCTTCGGAGGAGTCGGAAGATTTAAAATCATATTTAAATCAACTGACATGAGGTAAGTAATGAGTGAACTAAAAAAAGATAATTTATTTGTCTTGCTTGGAAGAAACTGATCAGCTGCTCAGACCCTAATTTCCAAAGAAATATCTTCAGGGTGTAGTAGCCCTATTTTACTTTATGAGAAAGGACGGTGTGAGTGGAGCATTTTTCTACAGGTGTTGTCCCGCAGCCGGGCAGCTCTGTCCATCAGCAGTTTTCGATGATGATGGCGATGCCCTGACCTCCACCGATGCAGGCAGAGCCAACGGCGTACTTGCCTCCTCGTCGCCTGTCAAAGACAAACGCTGTTAGTCCAGGCACACGTCTCCCTGTCATGTGACTCACTCTAACTACGGAATATTAGATAATGACTGGTCTACCTCAGCTCATGCACCAGGTGGGCAGTGATGCGCGTTCCAGAGGCACCCAGAGGATGTCCGATGGCGATCGCTCCACCGTCGACGTTGCTCTTCTCTGGGTCGAGTCCGAGAGCCTTTGCAACGGCGAGGTACTGAGGAGCAAAGGCCTCGTTCACCTGCGCCAGACAGCAGACACGGACTTAGAAAAACATTCACCGATTATGCAATTCAGTCTTCTTAACATAGATACGGTTAGTACTAACTGATCCATGACCACTAAGATGGTGGGGAATTACTTCTACATTCTGTTCATAAGAAATCCAAAACTTTAAGAAAATTCTTTATTAAAGTTCGGGGTTTTGATTTTGAAATCAGGATTAAAAGGTAAGTCAATTGTTTGTTGTCTGTTTTTATTACAAAGCCCTTTTTTTCTCTTCATATTTGTCCATTTTTTTCTTTTTACAAACCTCCACAAGATCCATGTCGTTGAGAGACAGACCTGCTTTTTTCAGAGCTTCTGTAATAGCTGGGACCGGACCTAAGATCACCAAAGGGAACCGGAATTTATCATTTAAAAAAAAAATAATCTTGACAGTAATTAAATCATTGATTCTCTGTAACAGGGGTGTCGCTCACCAATTCCCATAATGCTCGGGTCACAGCCTGAGACGTGATAGGCCACAACTCTGGCCAGGGGAGTGAGCTTGTGTTCTTTCAGTGCATCTTCACTTGCAATCACCACAGCAGCAGCCCCATCAGAGACGCCCTGAAAATGTCGTATGACATTTTAGTGTGCCATCACGCAAAGTGTAACCAGTTAAAATGTCTAAAATCATATTTCCTTCACGAGGACAAAACTCAGAATCGTATCATCGCCATATAACTTATTACATCACCAATGGATCTGTCATCAAAATCAACATTTTTTTCATCACTTCATGCCTACATCACGACTTTCCTTGACTTCCTTTTGAGTAAAGAAAAGCTGAAAAACAATTACAGTGCATTCTCTGAGGGGTGAAGATCGGGAACTCATCTATGTTCTGCATAATTTAATTGTAATAATCTTGGATCCATGATAAGAGGCAGTGGAGAAACTCACTGAAGCGTTCGCTGCTGTGACCGTCCCACCCTTCTTGAACACAGGAGGCAGCTTGGCCATCTGTTCCAGTGTGGTCTGCGGCCGAGGGTGTTCATCCTGAGCCATGGACACTTTGCCTTTTTTAGCTTTCACATCGATGGGAGCGATTTCAGCTGTGTAGCGACCGCCCTCATGAGCTGTAAGAAGCAAAGTCAGAGTCCAACTGTTAAGAATAAAATCTGTTTTGAGCAATAAGCTCTTACTTTTGCTGAAAGGTCCCCGGAAATTCTTGCTCTTGTGATCTTGGACAACCGATGATCCCAAAAAAAAACAAATGCTGCTCACCTGCCTTCCACCTTTGTTGAGTCTGGTATGCATGGTTGTCGCAGTCTTCCCGTGTGATCTGGTATTTTTCTGCCAGGTTCTCTGCTGTGATGCCCATTGGGATCTTAACATGCAGGTCAGTCAGACCTGCCCACAAAGTGTCCTCAAGCTGTCGGGCAGGTGAGGACAGGGTTTAAATTAGAATCCGTCCTGTACTTTTAGGTGCTTTTATATGTGCCTAGATTAAATGGCTGAACTATGACGCAGATCAGCCATCTAGTGACCTATGCTGAGCTGATAATCTGAGGTTTCAGTGGGGTCAGGTGAAGCATCAAATCACAAACAAAACCTCATTTTTGTGCGGGTGCACACAGATCCTGATGAAGTTCGTAAGGTCAGCTAACCAAAGCAACACCAGTCGTGTATACAAATAAACATCCATTGTATCGTAAAAAAAAAAGAAAAAGCTAACCTTGAGGTCGAATCCAAACTTTGTACCAAAGCGGATGTTGCGAACAGCATATGGTGCCTGGCTCATACTCTCTGAGCCTCCACACAGGACCACCTCTGACTCCCCGAGACAAATCTCCTGCAAACACACAGGTTAAGCACAGGCCTCTGTTTGGGAACCACGAGCAAAACAACAAGATGTACGGGACAAAATATATGCAATACATTGTGTTTTACATTAATTCTATATTCATTCTCTTTAAAATGAACATCTGTGGTGACATTTATTGATCACTTTGAATGCCGGAAATGTATTTTATTCTATCAAATTTTTAGAATCATATACAATAAACCACATTATCTGAGTTATGACTCAAAAAATGTAAATAACAAGGTTGATGAATCCACTAACATGTAGGGCAGTATCATACTGATACAAACAGTATAAAAGTTCACTTCATATCAGAGCAGCTCCTGAAATAGCTTACATGAGCACCGCTGATGATGGACTGGAAGCCAGAGCCACACAGCCTGTTCACGGTGAGGGCGGGTGCAGGGATGGGAACGCCACACCTCAGGCCGACATGCCGAGCGATGTACGGAGCGTCAGCGGAGCTCTAAAAAACAAATCGTTCACAATGAGCGTTCAAATTCAACGACTAGTCTGGAAATCCCGACAAATCCTCCTTGCGATCACCTGCATGACGTTTCCCATGATGACACTGTTCACAAGCTCCGGGGCCACGCCGCCCGCAGCCAGGGCAGCTTTGGCCGCATGCTCACACAAGTCTGTGGCACTATGATCCTTCAGAACACCACCATAGGTACCAAATGGAGTGCGCTTGGCAGCTACAATAAACACACCTATGGAGGAAAAAGACACTATCATGTTAACATTTCCTACCATAAAGCCTCAGACACATCCTTGTTGCAAAAGAGCAATAAATGGTAAAATAAGCACTTTCTCGTCAAAACCTAAATGTTATGAGATGTTCTTTTACATGTGCATAATGTACATTTTTTACATGTACATATCATGCCCAAAGTGTCATATAATGCTGATGTGCCTACCTATCATTCTCAGTTTAGTAAATTATTGACTAATCTGTTGGATCTCATCTGGAAGCTCATGATGACCTGACCAGGACTGGGAGCTCTTTTTGGTATTGGTATTGCCACATTTAACATTTTGAGGACGTTTACAGGTGGTACTTGAATGGATAAGTACAGAGATGTGCATGCATGTGCTTGGGGTCCTGGGTCCAATTGTCATTTGTCTTTCCCTGCACTACATAACACAAACCAGCAGCCATATTACTGCATACGCACAGGAGATTGATATGAACTAGTTCATTTCAAGAATGTTTCATAGCTTTGAATGTCTATGAACATTAACTAGTCCAGTAATAGCATGGGAAGAACTGGACTTTGAACTAGTAGTTGTCTATTTCAAATTGTCAAATGTGAACTTAACAGATTATTCAAACTATTATGATTATTGTTCAATTCCAGAGTCACATACTAGTTACTAGCTATTCAAAATTATATAAAAAGTTATGCAAGAGAGACACAGCCTCGTACATACTCCCATATAAAATAATAAACAAAGAGCTGTTAATGATCCTGACACCATTCAGTCACCTTTCGCCTATATTAACTAACAAAAGGTTCAGTAAAGCTTAACTGTTCAGACTTTTACACGTTTTTTAAGACTCACAATATACAATATGGGCATTCCTTTCAAATGACTTAAAGAAGATGCACTGCTGCAAAATATGGAAAAATCTAACAGGAACTATCTAAGTGCAGCACATCAACGCTGGAGCGAGTGTCTGCGATTGACTTAAAAGCTGAACTTAAACATATTTGTTTACCTCGGAGAAGCCCCATGATCTTGGTTCAATGTTCTTCTATTGCCAGGGTAGGAGTTTATGCCCGATTTCTTGCAATGACACCCTCAATCTGTCCACGGTGAGTGTGAAAAAAAGAGCATAGGGCGACCTTTCCCCCAAATAATGCAGCTGTACGTAACCTTTTACTGGCGCGGTGAGATTCGACTAACGTGATACACTGTACATTTTATTTTAAGCCATTTCATGCGTTTAAAAATTAATTATTTGACATTATATCTCTTTTTCAACCAATATAATCAATACATACTGTATATATTTTTTTATTTAACTATATGTGATATAATATTTACTCGAAAATGCCGTATCGTTAAGTGTTGTACGCGCATGTGGTGTACGTCATCGATGTGCGACTTGCTTGTTGTGTCAATTAAGCAAGGAGACCAGTCGGGCGACATGTGAGCATTTCTGTCATTCTGAGCCTGAATGTTCGTTTAAAGTGCAACACCAGGGGAATAAAACATGTCGTTGGTGCTTTCTCGCCGTGTCTTCGGGGTTGTGTCCCAGCAGGCTGCGCCGCAGTAAGTGTGTGTGGTTTGATGAGAGCGAACTGTGCTCGCTACCCACAGCTAACTTAGCCAAGGTTATAAAACAAGAGGAATACTGACAATTTGGCTCCTTAGCTGGTTAATTCTCACCTCTGCACTGTGTTTTTGTGTCATTTTGCAGTTTGCGCTTGGTAGGACACCAGCATGCTTTTCAGAGTCCCTGGTTTTTTCCAGTCATGACACTGAAGACATCAGTTCCTCTCAGGTAGGATGTTGACAGCCTGTAGATACCAATTCATTCGTATGCAATAAACTTGACAGATCACACGTATATCTGGAAGTTTAGAAAATTGTGGTTCAATACAAATTCCTCCGATTCTATACAATTGTAAAGTTTTGATCTGATGCTAGAATAGAATATAAAAAATATTAAGACAAACACTGTAAAAAAAAAAAACTCTCTAATCCTTACCTCATTAGTAATCATGACTACTTAACAGATAATGTCCAATAAGAGAAACATATACTGTCAAATCTGTGTGGCTGTTACTAAGTGGATATAGTGTATGATATCAAAATGTCTCCACAACCATCTCGTCATTAAAACCAGTCACTCAGAGATGTGGTTTATGCTTAAAAAGAGCCGAGCCAAAAAAGAAGAAGAAAGTGGACCCCAGGAGGGAGCAGATGTTGAGGGAGCGACTGAAGAAAAAGCTGAAAAAACTGGAGAGGGTTCCACCCGAGCTCATTCCCATAGAAGACTTCATCACGCCAACCAGATGCTTGGATGAGATGAGGTACGTCTGTGAAGTCAAAGTAGTCTGTTTGCAGACATTCAAGCAGCTTTGGACCACATTATTATGTCTTTTATGTAACACAGCAATTGGTTCCATGATTTCTGTCTCTTTAAAATGAAACATAAATGAAATGAAACATTCCCGTTCTTTATTCTCCTATAAAGGGAACGCGCTAGCCCAAGGCTCACATTTGAAGAAAGTGAAAGTCGAGCTCTGCTGCTGAAGGAATGGAGTCGATACAAACAGGTTACAGTTTATCTTATTCTTTAATCATTGATTAAAAAAAAAAAAAAAAAGTGTTTTCTTTAAATCTCTTCATGTCAAGTCAGATGGATATATATTTTTTTAATTCCTCCACAGCAACAGCACCTGGCTGAAGTCCAGGCCATTGAACTCGCTCTGGAGGCACAGAGGGAAGCGCTGGAGGAGCTCAAATTGGAGTCTGAGGAGCTGTATCGGGCAGCACTGAAGCCAGACCCCCTTCTCTTTCCCTTCACCCACGAAGGTCCTGCTAACACACCACCAATTCCAAATTACGACGCTCCGGATGGGAAATATAACAATGTCACTAAAGTGTACACGCAGTAGTGGACCTGGAAACGCCTGCTGCCTCTTTTTATTCGAATACACTTGTTTGAAGAGGATTCAGTGAGCCAAGTTGTGTTATGTGGGTGTAAATGATACCTCATTTAATTGTCAATATATCTATCTGTCATGGGACTTATGCATCAAGTTCTCACTTCTCATTTATACCCCAGTTTTAAAAAATTGGAGGAAAATAAACTTTTTTAAAAACTAATCAACCGGGTCACAATATACTTTAATATTTTGTTTACTTTTATTCAGGTTGCATACCATTAAGGCACACTGCTACCACATGTTGAAACGATTATTCAACACATCAGTACGTTATAATCAGATCTTACTTCAACATTGGACATAGGTAGCTGAGAAATACTGACATGCTTCTAGAGCAACGCTCCTGCTTGATGCCAGTATATTCAAAATGTAAATTCTCTTTAGATTTAACCCGTATGAAAACAAAGCATGTCAGATTACTTTGATAATCTACCTTTAAATCAGGTTATAAAATTAATTTTCGGTTGCGTCATCTGCGTGATCAGCCTCTGGGCTCAAGTAACGGTACCTTCCATACAGATGTCAGGTTTTCGTATATGGTGTCACACTGATCAAGATGGCCGCACGCTGCCAACACTAGGCATTCTGTTCTCATTACCGAGAACATCCTGTGATGCCAGCCAGAGACAGTGGCTCCTCCTCATGTCCACTAAATTTAATTTCAGGAAGCAGCAGCAGTCAGAAATTCAGGAGTCCTGTTTGTTTTGCTGGTTTAAGGGCGCATGCCAGTCACTTGGAGGCTCCTGCCTCAGTTCCCACACTGGGATGAAGTTTTTTTGTTGTGCCAGTCTGTTCCTCTCACTTTTCTGCAGCGCTTCCTGCAATAAAAAACAAAAAAACAAACCCATTCTTTTTTTTTTAGATTCAGACAGTCTGAATGGCTTTCAACATCACAGGGCTTTTAACAATGTGATTCCCTGCAGCTGCACCTTGGCCTCTTTGCTCCTGTGTTTCTCCCACTCTCTGCAGTAGTTGTAGTCCTCTTTCCACTGTTGGCAGGATGGGGTTGTGCCGTAGGCATAGTAGTGGTGAAAAAAATGTGTGAGACTTTTGCAGTGTCTGAACTCGCTCCAATAGTCCTCGCATACTCTTGGTGGCTATGAGGAAGAAAGTAATCATCAGTCACACTGATACATTTACATTTTGAATGTATCACTCCGTGTAAATCAGTGTCCTGTTCTATTTTTCTCTGACATTTCATCTGACATCCATCCCAATGGGGTCGTGGGGGCCTGGAGCATAAACCCGTAGTGAATGGGCTGAAAATATTCAGGTTTTCAGGATATCCCTGAAGATTAACAATAAAATTGACTTAAATGACTGTACTTTCCATCCTGCCAGGGCGATAAATAAACATTTTACAGCAATATGTAAAACACCTGAAACAGACGATGCCAGCTTCCTGCTCCACAAGTAAAGGCTGCTTGTTAACAGCGCCCCCCTGCGGTCATTCATTTAGAATATCTAGCTTCGTCCTTATTAGATATCCAATTTTAAGAGTTTCAAAATTTTATACATCATTTTCACATTTTTCAAACAAAACCAGACTTCATGATAATTTATAGAAAGACGCAAGCATATCGGGAACCACGTTCCTCGGTGACATTGCTCTGAAGCAGCTAAGGTTACTTTATTTTAGCAGCAAAAGCTAACCACGTTGCTAACAATTTCACCAAGATTTATATCCCCTCATTTTCAGCCAGTATGATCACCAACAATACGAACGAAATATAATGACACAGTGAAGACCATAAAGTGATTGTAAATGTATATTTTTGTAAATTACCCTCCATATCGTCACGGCAGGTTGCTCCATTGCTAGCTACGATAGTGCTAACAGGTCACTTCCGGTTTAATTTAATTCCAAAACAAAAGCTCAGCAGCATCCACTTTGGGAAGAAAGCTGCAAATACTGTTTCCTCTGGGCAGCAGACCTCACATTGTGACTTTAGCTCAAGATTGTGGACGGACACACTTATTCAAAGCACTTTTATTTAAAGTTGCTTGCATTCAGATAGTTACTGGGCAAATCTGGAGCTTTTTTCCAGGTTGCTGTGGTTTCCACCATCCAACGTTGTTGAGCGGTTGTTTCTGTTTTAGTATTTGACAGTTTATGCCAGCCATCTGAAAACCCCAGCATTAACCATCTAATTATTTTATGATGAATATGCTTAATTAAACCCTTTGTGTGGCAGTCTCATTCAGTTACATCCTGAATGGCTGGAAACAACAGTTATTAACAACAAACCATTTCAAAACGCAATCTTTTATTTGTCTATAAATAAACAAAGAAAAAAGCAAGTTATCCCTAAAACTCAAAGAAAACAAACACAATTCAAGACATTTTTCTCATTAGGATTAAAACAAGTGTAATTGCTACCATCCTGTCATAACAATGGGAAGTTGGATGTAGCATATTTAAGATTTTTTTCAAAGTATAACAATTCCAGAAAAGATTGGGTACCAAAAGTCAAAGATAACTGCAACCTTAGATTATGACATCAATCATTTTCAAGGTATTCTATGTGTTGATGATACATGGCTCAAAATAAATCCATCTCCCTGAACATGTGAATATCAAATTACACCTGACAGTCATTTTTGTGCTCCAAGGAAAAATAGTACTGTCGGTTCGCTAACTATAATCAAATGTCAACAGCAATGCTCCTGTTTGGAAATGACAGAGAGGCAAACTCGAGTGCTTCTGCAGTCAGTTTTTACTTTGAGCTGAAGGTGTTAAACAAGTCAAACACTCCATTTGTCACTCCTCAAGGCTTTCTGCCCTTCTTCCGTAATGATTGTCCTTCCCCAGAGAAAGCAATAAATCTGTTCATGGCATCATCCTGAGGGGGGGAAAAAAACATGATTGAACAGAAATTGTGGGATTAGTCCTTTTGAAAAGAAAGAAATTTAAACAATTGGGTAATTCACCATGAATGCAATATGAACGCAAATACTCATCCATTACAAAAACGCACAAAAAAAAAAAAGAATGAATGAACATTTTCACTTACATCTTCAAATATTTTCTTGGGCAGAGGTTTAGAGTTTCTGATGAATGTAATCTTGCCAACTTTGAAGTCATAGTTGGGAATGCCTCTGTGACGAGAGATTAGACAGACTGGTAAACCACTGAAACGGTCCAAAGCTCAAACACGTAATAAATTAAACAAAAAGTGTCTCCACACACTCAGTTTCAACAGCCTGCTTGAATTAAATCTGTTAAGAACGAGTGGTAAATATCAGCTTTGAGGACAGATTCATCGGGGAACAATCAGGGGTAATGTTTTTAATTTTCTTGTGTAAAAAAAAAGAAAGAATAAAATTACCTTTTCATGTCGCTTGCATTGAGAGGAGCAGGGCTGGGCTCAATCCCTTTTGTTTTACCGTCTAAGCGATTTCCAGAGCCAGTGAATGCCTGCAGATATCAAACAAATTAGAAGTTGCAGTATCTTAACTTTCATATTAATCAGGGACTATAAATAGTGGATATGTGTTTGAAACTAAACTATAACATGTACGTACCCTAAATCCTGTGTCCATGTCAGCGTAACTTGTGGGGTCTCCCTCTTCTTCCTGCCAAGAAATATGTTTTATCACATTGTCCTGAGCACAAATAGCACAGCGACTTTCAGAGTTTGGTCCTTACTGTTGGTTCTTCTTGGTGCTGAGGTCGTCGCTCAGGCTCTTTGTAACCCAAAGGAGCATCAAAATCAACCTGAGAATACAAGGTCAGGGTTATTCAAACAAATAAGCAAAGGCTACAGAATGGTTCACTCTGATCTGAAATAATTATGCGGATCTTACATTCATATCGCATTCAATGATGGATACTGCTTTATCTGGTTTGGTCTCCATCACTCGCAGCTCATAGATCTGGAACAAACACAGATGTCCTTACAAGTGGTCCCCAGAAAAAAGGAGAATATAAACACCTTTTGAGCAACCTTACTTACCTTTTCATTGTAGTTGATAGCAATGACATCACCAGTCGTTAGGCAAGCAAAGTTTCGAAGGGCATTCTCCAATCTGCAACAAATCCACAGTTTCATAGATCATTACAGGTAAACTCAAAACTTTAAGAGGGCCAAATAAATTTCTCCCAACAATAGTTCTTACACTGCTTTGGGGTTTGTAATGTCCAAGAAATCTGGACTCTGAGGCTGGAACTTTGAGTAGGTGGCCACCATGAGGTTGACACTCTCCACTTGGACCAGTCCACCTTCCTCGAGAAGGAGATTCTGCATCATCTGCAATAAAAGGAATAAATCCATACACCAACTTCACCATAACTGTGTCTAATCAGCAGAGAAAAGTTCAAACAATAAAAAAATGCAATTAGATATCATCTCTACTCCGGGATCACATTGAAAGTCCTATAAGCCATTTTATCCAACACTTCAATCAACAACAATTTATTTTTACTTATTTTTCATTCTATAGTTTATCTGACCCAATGTGGCAGGTAGCATATTCCCTCATCAGCCACAAACTCCAGAACACCACAGTGTGTCATTCTGTCTGAGTTCTTGTTGGTCAGTTTGAACAGCATTGGGTACGTGATGTTAAGCCGGCCTGTACAGAGAAAAGACAACAATAAAAAAAGAGTCAAGAAAGGTCTAAGCGGAGTGTTTACAATAGAGAAGAGGTCACTTTTAACTGGACTTACTGAGCTGGTCGAGAGCTGAAGGAGGCATTATTACTGAAATCAAAAAGAAAGCATAAATTACTTCTGGCATATGCACACTGTGTTTGCATGAATACAACAAGTTAACAATTTGAGTGAAATACAAAACTGTTCACCAAAGATCAGCTGCAGCGCTTTCATTAATCAGATTGATTATTATTTGTCAGTTAATGTAAAAACTTGTAAAAAATATTCAGAAAAAAATCATGCAGGATATCTCATGTATTGCTGAATCAACATATTAAAATCTAAAGGTAATAGATAACATTGTGTTTGAAAAAAACAAAAAAACAAAAAAAAAACAATAGAATCCAAGTCTTTTTTGTTTGACAAGCTGTACCCATGAAGTGTTTGAGCATGAGGGAACTTAATAAATAATCTTGAAAATGTCATGTCATCTTGAAAACATATAGAATATGATGTCATATGATTTAAGAAATGATGGCATATCATTGCGTTACTAAATGAAATAATGGCTTATATGGTAGATGGCTTATATGTTATTGAACACTTATCTTAATATCTGGCGCTTCTAGTAAAGTGGTAAGAGACCAAAAATAATACACAGGAACTGACTATGACCGTTTTAGTTGGCTGGGTATTCCTATTATGTGGCACGTGTACCTTGTGTTTTAAGAAAGAAGATAGTCAACTGTTTCGGGAACTTGTACTGTTCTGACCCCCTAAAGTGCTTTTATTTTTGTTCAGGACTCACTTTTGCCCCCTTTTTCCACATCGGAGCGGTCATTGGGCCCCGCCAGCATGGATACCGAATAGCAGCGGTACTGGGTAGAGAAGCGGTTCTGAAAACCCCGGGCCATAGGGTGATCGAAAACATGGAAGGAAAACTGTGAAAGAAGCCACACTCTGTTAACAGAAACATCTTGATTGGTTTTATGGAGACTGGGAGCATCCACGTCAGATTTTGACTTGATCATGACGGAGTACTTTTCTTTCTGCCCTGCCGTGGTGTTGTTGTTAGCAGTTCGTTAGCTTAACTGCTACAACTACGATTTACTCTCATAGAGATTTTAGGTCATTAGTAAACAAGGCTAATAAAATACTTACCATGTCGAGAGCTTAGATTTCAGTTGTCAAAAGGCTGGGTTTAAAGTGCCTCTTTCAGTTGGTCTTACAAATTTGTTTTGTCACCAACCAGTGTTTTCCTTCTCCTCCCGGAAGCGTTCAAGCTGACAGTGGGAAGTGACGACATAATCAATGCTAGCCAATCACAGTAGTCTCTGAGTGTTCTCCACGTTACCTTCCTCATTAGCATAAAGCAATGTGAGACTATAAACCACTTTTCTTGTAGCAAAGAAAAAAACCGTGTGAAAACTCTGTTGATCTTCCACGAAGTGGGCAGTGATCATTTTAGTCATTACAAAATCTGTCAGCATTTGATTAAAAAAAAAAAGAAGTTAAATTTGGTGTTAATACTACTTTGGAAAAGCCATGGACAGATAATTTATTGTTTGAACAGTTGTTTCGAAAGCTTTCAATCCAATGGTCCGTGGTCATATGCCATGACTTCAATGAATACACAACCAGGAGAAGTTGCTCAAATTGATGGTAGTCAATATTATATAAACATTCATTTTGAATCGCACCCTTTTAGTTTTTATGTCAACACTGAGTTAATCAATTATCAGATTTTGGTTTCGCCCCACAGACTGTTTAAAAATGTGATTATTCAAAGCTGACGAACTGCTGACACCAAATAGCTGACATTTAAAATGATTTTAGCTGCCTTTTAATTTCTGTATGAACTTGTGAGAGCATGAATATTTATTAGTCTTATGAAGACCAAATCAGAGAAACAGACAACAAAACAATATTGAAAGCCATACATGGATACACTAGTTGAAATATTGTCAGCCTGTAAATGCAAGTCATCAATACAGTTTATAAAATCTAAAAATTAAGAAGTTTTTTCTTGTTGTGGTGTTGTTTAAAAACAGCAGAATCTGAAGAAGCCTTTTCCAGAGCGAGGCAGGCTGGGGTGATATGAAATTCAAAGTCGGTGTTAGTTCTGTTTTTCTGATTCCGGTCGTTCTATGGGAGGCCAGATTTTGCCGACTTCCTGGTGTATGGCCTCAGGTAACCACTGGCAGTACGCAGAGAACAAAACTGTAGGAGGTGGAAGTCAGAAAACAAAACAGTTAAAGGACATGAAATCTTCAGAAAAAATAATAAACCAGAAAAAAAAACGGTCATACAAGTTAGCCACATTCAATTCTCACATTTATCTTCAGTCTTCCAGACAGAGAGGAGGGCCTCCCTACAGTCAACCCTTTTTGATACCAGTGGTCCCAGAAAAGCCTCAGTCCTGGGCTGCAGCCTAAGACAGCAAGGACAGGACAGAACAGGACACACTTCATCATCACACCAGAATAACTCTTATCTTTGTAACGTGAATCATTGTTTCCTAACACTAACCTTTTAAAAATACGGCCATGCAACCATGGTTAAAAATACACAATACATTGAAGTGAACGTTGGGAAAAATGCATAAGGCAAGGATTAAAAAGACTGGCGACATTCAAACATGATGTGAAAATTAGGAGGGATTTTCTCGTATGTTGCGCCATCTATTTCACTTAAGGTACTTTGGCAGAAACTGATAAAAAGTGGTCAACAGTTTGTGTGAGAGCTCCCAACTTACTTGGCCCATGTTTTCAGGATGATGGATGGGTTTGAGAGAAGATGGCTGCTGTATTTCTTTAGTTTAGGACAAACCTGTTGGCCAGACAAAGCAAATATTACCAACAACGCAAAAAACAAATGTTTTTGCTTGGTTTTTTAAAACAGGCACAACTACCATTTCTAAAAAATGTTTTTGTATAACTGTGCCAGATTTAATATTTCAATCAAGAATGCATTTTTTTAACTGTCCCCCAGAGAAAATCGCAAAGGGTTCACTTTGGGGAAAACCTTTAATTTCTGTGTAGAATACTTTATCAATGCTGGAAATGAATTTTTATTTTATTATCATTCCTTTTTTATGAATGATTTTGAATCATTTAAAGACACTAAATATAACTTTTCAGAATAAATAAATAGAAAAGTGTTTCTATAGAAAATGTTTTAAATAGAATAAAATGTTTATATAGATAAAATCTTAAAAAAACAGACATATTTGGGGTTTTCCTGCAGTACCTGTCCCTCAAGAAGAAATCTGGCAAACAGCTTGTAACGCTCCAGACCGTCGGGGTGCTCCATCTCCACTGCAGGCAGCTGCCAGCCCACACGGACTGAAGCACAGACACAGCAGTTACTTCACTGCAGTTACTTCATTCGCAGGGGAAGACATCTTTTTAGTTCCAGCACTCCCCTCCACAGTACTTACAGAAGGTGCTTGACTGCAGACATCTGATGGTGCCGGTGGAGGAGCAGAACCATGGTGATGGTGACTCCTGAGGGGGCCCAAAGTGACAGTACTGAGGCAAAAGCTTTGGGACCCACTCTGCTTCTACTGCCGAAACACCTGCCAAGTAGAAACGAGACGTCATGTTTCCTCATGCGAAACCATCGAGCAAACTGGCACTAAAAACTTTACCGGTACATTGCTGTAACTAAGGATACGAAAAAAGAGATCCAAAAAAGTCAGATACATGTCTCAGATATGCAACTTCACCAAAAGTGAACCAAAAGCACTTCAGACATCAAATAAGCTTTTTAGCTTGGTTGGTATTTAATTGCATCATCTGAGTCGAGACGTCGTGGCGAAACCTCATAGAAACCTTTGGTTATTTTTGCAATAACGAGAGGTATTTTGCAATACCTCTCATGTACATCTTGGAGGTCTCCATGATCTCCTGGTAGATGACAAACTCTGGCAGGGCCTTAAACAGCGCAGACTGCGGATGGATGAACACCGGGTCGTCCATGAGCGGAGTCTGGGAAGAAACAGGCCGTGGCAGAGAATGAGAGAGAGAAACTATGCTAATTCACAAACGCAGTCTGTGCAGCAACTGACCTTGTATCCGTTCCTCCATTTTGGATCCAGCATGTCTTCGGCCTGGACGCGCCTTGCGAGGTGGTCTCCGAGCCCGGCCAGGACGATCTGCTGCAAACACACCACCTGGTGTTCCGTCGGAGGCGCCATCTTCGGATCCACAAACGCTCCCACCTCCGGACAGACTGCGTTGACTAGAGAGGACAGAGCAAAATGGGTGGTCTGTTTGGTTCCTGCAGCAGATTCGGATTGTGTGTGTGTGTGTGTGTGCGTACCTGCATTGGTAAGTTGACCTCTGAGCTTCCTGATTTCCACCATGGCTTTATACCTCAGTCCATTCTGCTCGCAAAACTTGGGAGTGCAGCCGGCGAACTCGCAAGCGCCGACAGCACCTACAGACGCACGGACACAGAGCTGTGATGAGACCAAGAAGCAACTCCTTCTTAAAGTGTCATCTCGGATTTTCTCTTCAAATGAAATTGAAAAAAACTATCATTTCGAGGCGTCGACATTCCACCTTAAAGATCTGACTATTGTCTGCCCACGCATTACACTCACCCAGCATGACCATGAGGTCTCCCAGCAGGAGGGAGGCTCCTTGCCCAGCCCACAGCCTCCTCATTTGAGTCACCCGAGCCCTGCGCTGGGCGAGCTTAGAGCTTTGCTCTTCACTACATGCAGGTCTGAGAAGAGATTAAAAAATATTTAGCGGGTAAAGTATTTAAATATCTAAAGTTGTTTAAATAGCGGAAATGTGCCCACCTGTCAAGATCCTCAAAAATCTCCCGCACAGTCATGGCTGCCACCATGGCAATGACATAGGGGAGGCAGTCCTGCTGCTTCCCGAGCGCCAGCATCTTAGCGTAGCGCGGCGCCACGGGGAAGGACGCCATGGCTCTGCCCAGGGGGGTGACGGGGCAGCTCAGCCGCGCTCGCTGCATCTCTTTTACACTTAGGGAGAAATAAAAAACACATGAAAAAGTTGTGTTTTGTGGACATGAAAAAATGAATAAATAATGGCCTTAATTTCTAGAAGTTCAAATCCCTGCTAAAAAAAAATCAAAAGGCTGGGTATAAGAGGTTATAGGAAAATAAAAATACGATCGAACTTCGAAAGAGGACTCCAAACACACCTTTTTTTTGGCTTAATGTGCATGTGGAAGACAATCAACAACAACAACAAAGGAGCTACCTTCCGGTGCGGGGCGGCGCGGACAGAGCTCCCAATGAGATCAGTAACTCCTCTGCAGCAACCAGAGCCTCAGCGGAGGGAGACGTGGGGAAAGGAAAATTTACCACCTGCGAAAACAGAAATTCTGTTAAGATTTTCTGCCCTTCTTTTTTTGAGCATCTTTCCCCACCCCTGACAATTTGCTGACCTTTTCTATGTTGAGGTCCTTCATCTGTAAAACCAGATCCTCAACAGGCCTGCGGGTGATCTCTGCCTCAGAAAACTGAGCGAAGTCTCCGAAAACCGCAGAGGAGTACAATCTGCACAAACGAGACATCAAGTGAGAAGATCTCTCTTTCTAGAGGAAAAAAAAACTAAGAAAACAACTAAATAAAACAGCCAAGTTTTTTAATGTAGGAATTCTTCCCACCGGTAGCAGTGCCCTGGCTCCGTTCGACCCGCTCTGCCAGCCCTCTGATTGGCTGAGGCCTGGGAGGTCCATGTGACTTTGAAGGAGGACACTCCCGTCACTCTGTCGTAGAAGCGTTTCTTCACCCGACCGCAGTCTACCACGTACTTGATGCCCGGAATGGTCAGGGATGTCTCGGCCACGTTTGTGGCTACGACACAGAGCCGGGTCCCGGGTGGCGGAGGCCTGAACACCTGCAGCCAGAAAACACACACGAACACACACACAAGATAAAAGGGCATCAATTGATAGTCAATTCCGTGACGGAGAGCGATGGGTGCGTTTTTAAAGCAAGTAATAGTCAAAGAATCTTACCTTAGCTTGCTGCTCAGGGGCCAACAGAGAGTAAAGTGGGAGTACGTAAAGAGGGATGGAGGGGTCAGCCTTCTCCTCTGCAGAAGCCAAACACAAAGCGGAGTTTGAATGCTGGTTCGAAACAAACCCGACGGTTTATGGAGGAAAGCTTCCCTCTGAGTAACTCACCTGTGTCCGCAGGATCATCCCCGAGGTCGAGGTCCGAGCCTCCGTCCTCCTCGTCCCCGATTCCCGCGTCTCTGTCCTCGTCCCCCTCATCCACTGGCAGGGCAGAGTAGTTGTCCAAGTCGATTCGGGGAAGAGACTGTAGACACAGTTACAGCACTATCAGGTGTGTTATGGACATGATGAAAGCCACACATTTTAGAGAACTTTCTGAAATGCATTTGAAAAGTTCTATGTTGCCAACTTTGGAGATGTGCATACACACACCCTCATACACACAAGATGGTGACATAGAGGTAAACAAAGAGTGTGTAATTAATACTAAAAGGCATAACATAAATTAAGTCATAAATGATACTGCGTGCCGACTTACAACTATCTTCTTCTGTTTGGCCTTTTTAAATTTCCTCATCGCTTCTGAAGTGTCCGTTTCTTCGTCTTCACCTGCACACAAAAACAGATAAGTACAAAAAAAGACGACACCTCCCTGCTCCATAGGTCATGTGTGGGTGTGAGGAGTCAGATGGCGCACCGGGGGCTGCGTTGCCCCTCCTGAACGGGAAGGCTTTCCTCAGTCTTCTGCACACACCGTGAACCTCAGCCTGACCAGTCAAAAACACAAGGATGCCACCTAAAAGGAAGGGAAAATTGCATTTGTCCAGCCGAGTTAGTGAAAAATATTCTCTGTAAATTTTCTCAGACAGCGTCTCTTTTTTTCAGTAGCCATTTTTTTACATAACTAATGTGAGCAAATTCATGCTGGTAACCACCTGGAGGCAGCATCCGGTGGATTTTGCAGGTCTTTTGGAAGGTCTCTCCGGTGTAATCCTCCAACGGGGTGCGTTTGTTGAAGTGGATGGTGACGGGGAACTGGCGGGCGTCCACCCTGATGACGGGTGGAGGCGTTCGAAAGAGCTTTTGGTTGTCTGTGAAGTCCTCCACCCGCAGAGTAGCTGACATGATGATTAGCTTCATGGGTTTGCCTTTCTGCAGAGGCGAGGGGGGGGGGGGGGGGTCATGCTCATAGATATCTGAAACCCTGTAAATCAGAAACTTTAAACATTGCCCGCGCGCCTCCTACTTTGTTTCTAAGAGGGACGATGCGGGACAGCAGTCCAATGAGGATATCTGTGTAGACGCTCCGCTCGTGGGCTTCATCTATGATGATCACGCTGTATCTCTGCAGCAGAAAGTCCTGAGACACAAGACAGAGACAATGAAAATACAGAGGATGTCACTGTAATCCCTTTTGATTTAACTTCAGGCTAATTAAACATCTTTGATATCTATTGTGACTCCCCCAATCCTAAATTTTGAACCAATCTGTACCATGCTGCAGTTACATAGCAACCTGAACTCTCTTTGTCCATTAACAAAAAATAATTAAAAAAGAAACTCACTAGAAGGTTCTGCCACAAAAATGAAAAATAGTCTAAAGTGTATGGACCTGGCCCCTTCCCTTATCCCCCCCCTCATTTTGCACTGATACCTTCTGAATCTCTTTCAGCAGGACACCATCTGTCATGAACTTGATCTTTGTGTCGCTCGTCACGTTGCCTTCATATCGAATCTGGTACGACACCACCCTGAGCACAGACACACAAACATCCACCTGTCACTAACTCCCCAAGGCTGTGGGTTAGCGATGAGTTGAATGGAGGGTATTTGGGTGGGTTTTGTTACTGTTTGGGCAGGTTCATCTCTTTGGCCACTCTGTGAGACATGCTGACAGCGGCTACTCTCCTGGGCTCCGTTATACCAATGATTCCGCTGCCACTGGAGGGAAAGAGCGACCCACAGAGTTACAACATGTCAGCATTTTTCAGAGAGACCCTTTTCCTGGGTGAATACGAATTAAAAAGGGACAAGAAGGACTCTGGGAAGTCAGCAAAGTACCTGGCATAGCCGGCTTCATACAGAAACTGGGGCACCTGGGTGGTCTTTCCGCTCCCCGTCTCTCCACAGATGACGACACAGGGGTTTTCTCTCACGGCCTCCATGATGCCCTGCTCCTCTGCCAGCACTGGCAGCTTCAGACGGGCCTCCTACGGCCACAGAACAGAGGAACTTACAGCTAAACCTAAAACAATTAATAAGTGAAACCGTCTAAATGGTTAGTATGTGGTTTACATTCTCTCACACACAGACACACACCTGTACATCTGGAGACCTGTCAACAGGAATGAAGACGGCCGGCTCTGAGGGCATCGTGTTTTTGACTTTCCCCTGATCAGAGATCTTCTTCTTTTTTTGTTGATCTTCCTCTGCCGCTTTCTGCTCCGGCTTCACTTCCTGTTTGGTATCGGCCTCCTGAGAGGGAGGGCTGGTGTCCTTAGATCCGTTCGTCTCTGCTTCATTCACATCGTCCTCCTCTTCGTCCTCAGATGACGTGTCCAGATCGCTGCTTTCTTCAGCTTTTTGCTCTTCATCATCTTCTTCTTCTTCTTCTTCTTTCCATTTCCGTTTCCTATTTGCACCGCTTAGGCTGCTAAGTCTTGGACCCGAGTGATCATCGTTCAGTTCATTTGATGACCTTAAAAAAAAAAAAGAAGAGATCTAAAGAACTTTGGTTTTAAAACAAACCCCCCAAAAAACATGAACATCCTACAACATCCTATCATTTATTTTTAGTTTTACCTCATATTTGAGGTAAACCAACTAATTATCCAGTTATTAGAGAGACTGAATGTGAGATCACAGAATTCTGCAAACATATGCCTGCTCAGACACAGGATTCATGAAAGATAACAAAATACAACATCAGGAAAATAAAAAGGTTTTCCTGCATCAGCACCAGCGAACAGAAAAAGCACCGTAACTTACTGTTTACTCTGGTAAAGCTTGTCTCCTGTTCCCAGTTTGGACGTTGTATACAGCAGCTTCAGCTCCGACTCTGGAAGCTGCACCTCAGCCAGTTTGGTCAGTATGTCCGCCCTCTGGTCAAGACACAAGAAAACACATCATCCAGATGGGATCTAATTCCTCACATACAGTTTGCGATAGTTTTGTTGGAAAGATGACTAAACACATAACCCATCGCTGTTTCTCTGTGAAAACACCATGAAAAGGTTCAAAACGTTGATTCAGATCACAAAAAGCCTAATAAATGGAAAAACTAGCCAGAACGTAAAAGCCCACATTTGGCAAATTAAAGTCTCATTGTTTTAGTCTCATCGTTGCAGTTCACCTCATGATAAAAAGTGCATTTTCTTAATCAATGTTATTCATTAGCTCAATAAAAAAATGTTTGAAAACATTATCTAAACTAAACTAAGACACTTCATTAAAGCTGCTTACTCTCCATCTTAAAGAAAGATTGTTGTGTCTGAATCTGCTGCTGTGGCTGGTCTAACCTGGGCTTTCTTCTCCTTGCGCTCCAGGACCTTCTGCAGCTCTTTCCTCTGCCTCTTTGTCAGGGGCTTTTTGGTGGAAACGGGAGTTTGGGAGAGGTTCTTCTTCTTCTTGGATTTGCTGGCCGGGAGGACCAACGCATTGCTCTCATCTACCCCTTTCAGTCTGGAACCATCTGATGACAAATCGGGACATGCAGTGAAGTCAGGAAAACCGTTACGTGACTGCACTGAAGCGCAAACTAGGGGACATGACTTGTTCATGAGTTCCCACCTTGCAGTTCCACCACAACCTCTGTCTTCTCTTCATCTGTTGGTTGTTCTTGATCGCTTTTCTGTCTCCCTTTCCAGTTGTGCTTCTTTCTTAGTTTCCCCATTATACACTGAGATCGAGATATCACCAAAAGAACACACTACGAATCAAATGTGATCTCAGAAATCATCTGTAGTCAAAGACAACTCACGATAAAGCTGACAGCAGCTCGACACTGATCTGCCTTTACTCATACCGTAAATTATCCGGTGTGACTATTTATGACTAGAAATGATAACAATCCAGCGGGTTTACTGATATCACAATACGCCAACCTTCCTTTCAGAGCGACTCAAACAACATTAGAAACTGTGGCAGCAGCATACACCTCACGTGTAAACATATGGGTGTCCGTCCGCTGAGTCGCAGGAAACATGGACCCAATAGAAACGTTCCGATGTAGAGGAAACTTGATTTGGTGTTTCAGATCCGAAGTCGTTACAAAATGAATGTGATATTGAGACATTTAAGAACTAAAGTGTTCTGTAATGTGTGTGTAATCGTAGGTATTCTTTCAGTTTGTTTTGTTTAATTTTTAGCTCCGCCATCACAATCCAAACTAATTGTTAATCGCTTTTCTGACTTATTTTAGAATCCAGGCATATATATTACCATGTTTTAGGGTAGAAAATGACGGTGGATTGGAATTAAACTTAAAGTGAATCGTTTTGTATTCTTTTATTTTATTTTAACCGATCTATAATTTTTTATAATGACTAATATTGTAGGAGAATAAAGAACATTCAAATTGTACAATCTTAATGGCACAAAATGTCTTAACATAGAATCTAACATTTGCATGACTATATCAAATAACAATCATGAATTATTGAGGATAGCCAAGGAAGAAGAAGCAGAAATGAACTGCATCAGTCTTTAATCTCAGGGATAAACAGAATAAAAATTCAATCTCTGGCAAACACATATGTCTTTATTTGCTTTTACAACAAAAATACCTTTTCAAAAGAATATACTCCCACTTTTTAAATTTGCATTTCTAGCCTGTAAATTGGAGTCTCTTTTTAGGACAATTTGTAGTTCGTAGATTCAAAAGTCTGTTGTTAATATGTACAAAGATTTTATTATTACAAAGACAATTTAACAACAACATTTTCCTAATGTGTAGCAAATATGGTACCAGTGTTTGTAGTTAACACAATTTATGAGACAGAGAAAAAACTAAATGTGTCCTGTTCAAATGTTGTGACGACAGTGCCCAACTCTAATACATTTGGGATTCCAAAAATAGTTAGAATTTCAATTAAATAACAAAAGACTGTTTGGATTATTATTTTGGATCATGTTATTATCTGGTTTGTCTAAATCCATTTACTCCAAATCTGTCTGAGACAGTCAATTGGTGTTGTGAACATTTGAAAGTGTACAAAAAACATTCTCAATTCAGTAATTTTCTTAATTGTATCATTGTTATCATTTAAAAAAAAAACCATCTGTACTGTATATATTGGCATCCATTTTCTTGTCAATGTTCAAATGGTAAACAGGATCTTCAATGGGAACTTCTCACAGCTCACAGGCTGTTGTCCATTAAATGTTCAAACTCACTGTCCCCCTGACCTTCCCCGGCTGTGAAGCTCTCCTCCGTGGTCCGTCTTGCCTCCTTGGACATCCTCTCAAACCTCTTCAGGAAAACAACGAGAGCCACCAGCAGAGCTGCCTGCACGGCCACGAACACAAAGAGGCACACCAGCGAGGCCAAGGCCAGGTCACAGTACCAGTACTGGCAGGAGTCCAGCACCTCCTCCTCGGACAGATGCACCACCAGTCGGCCTCTCAGGCCGGGCGGGGAGCTGCAGTTGACCTGCTGGTGAGCGGTGAGGCCGGCGGGCTGCCGGCGCAGCCAGGCTCGCAGGTAAAGGATGCCGCAGTCGCACACCCAGGGGTTACCGTGCAGGGACACAGAGTGGAGGGAGGTGAGGTCATCCAGCAGCCCGTTGGGGATGGTGGTCAGCAGGTTGTCGTGGAGGTGGAGGTCGGTGGTTCCTAAAGGGAAACCGGCGGGCAGGGACGAGGTGGTGAGAGACTTTCGGCTGCAGTCCACCCGACCGTTAAGACAAGTGCAGAGACTGGGACAGGCCGAGGAACTTTGACCTCCAAGCAAAAGGAGGAGACCCAGGAGCAGAAACTGAGTCATGGTGGCCGAACTGCGAGAGGAGAGGAGGTGACCCAGATTAATCAGGTGGACCTGTTCACAAAAACTATTCGTCTGTGGATTATGTACATAATTAATGTAATGCTGTAAATGGTGGACATTTGAAAACAAATACCACAGGACGATGGTTCTATTGCTAATTTTCTCCTTAATCTTATTCTATTATAAGCAGTGACTGTGACATGGTCCTGGCAATCTTATTCATCTTTGTGTTTTAATCTTGTGCCAGATATTACAACTCATCATCCTTCACTTTACAATGTGGCTTTTCCAAATGAGCAATAATGTGTTTAAGTTATTCATTTGCTCTGATCTCGCAAAAAGCAAACTATACGAAAATTACTATACACCTACTTTAATAACACCTTGTTTGTCACTTGCATTTCAAATTAATAATTCTTTTAAAGCTAACTCCATACAGCTAAACATCCAATACTGCATGTGATGCAGTGTTAAATAAAACTATTCTTGAAAGTTAACATTTTACAAGAGTAGCTCATTTCTCATATTTTAAATAGGATGTTATATCAACATATGATACTAATAATATTTTAGATTCATAACACATGGCATTTATTGCGCAACTTAATAAAAACATCCTCCTTATACACTGCAGTAAGTTCAGGAAAGTTCATATACAGGTCTTCAAATACAGAAACATTCATCCATCGTCTGCACCGCATTATTCATAGCAGGGTCACAGGGGGTTGAGCATACCCCAGCTGACACTGGGAGAGAAATGGGGTAGACCCTGGATAGGTCACCAGTCCATCACAGGGCCAGATAGAAACTAACAATCCCACACACTCACGCTCATTCCTAAAGGCAATTTAGTGTCTCCGAACAGCCTAACAGGCTCTTGGACATCAGGAGGATCCCTGGGGATTTGAACTGAGAGGCAATGGTGTTAACTACCGCACCACCACCTGAATGCAGACAATCATTTTAAACAGCAAAACATGTCTGAAATGTCATAAAGTTTCGGGAGAGACATTTACCTTCAGCTCTGCACGTCCTCTGGAGATGACTGTGTCTCACTGTTGCTGTCAGAAGGAGATTGCCTCTTACTGCCCAGCTGGCCTTCACTGATAATGACTGCTGTTAAACTGTGAGAGCACACACACACACACACACACACACACTTGTGCTCACGTATGCACAGAACCGCACAAGACAGAAAGTTGCTCTGAAACTCTTTCAGAAAAAGGATTTAAGAACATTCTTTCCACATTCGTTGTCACGTGCGCAGCAACCTAAAGTATAACCTCTGCTTATAGGCTGATGCTCAGTACCATTTAGTTTAGAGTGGAAGAAGCCTGGTGGATGGGAAGTAAAATGTCTTCAAGATTCAAGAACTCCAGTTAGCCTTAGACAAGCAGTAAAGATCACGGTATGAAGCAAACGCTCCAATAACAGCAGGCCAGCTGAGCATGCCGGAATCTTAAAACTATCATGAGCAAAAATAGCATTACTCATTGATATTAGAATTACTTTATTGGATGATTAAATTACACCCTCAACAATTATCCAAAGGCTTTTTAGGCCACTCAGGCGCATATAAAGTGTCACAAAGGACTATCTTTCACTTGCTGTGATGTTACTGTTCTCTGAAATTTGTCCATCTACCTGTGGACCCTCTGTGCTAGTTTAAATAGACATGACAGAAATCATATAGCAAATTTAGCTTCTGAGTGCTGACACAAAGTATATTGTAAAACAAAAAAGTGCCCATACAAATGACTTTGTACATTGTGGTACTATAAGAAAATGTCTGAATATTCCTCCCTGAACCAACAACTGTATTTCTTTCCCCAGTGACTGGAAGAAAGACTGACGCGGTGCCCTGTCCGGAGGAAGAATGGCTGCTGGAGATAAGTGTGAATCAGCAGATCATGTCCCTCCAGCAGCTCCAGCTCTGGACTCCTGCTGCTCAGACTCTGACAAGCGGAAGAGGCAGAGGATGTTCTGCTGTGGTCAGTGGATCAAGGAAATGATGCTGAGGCAAAGAGGACAGACTGACAAGAAAAGGGAGTTTATTTCGTCACACCTTTGAAAATGGGGCACAGACTGAGCTCACAGCCTTCAGGCAAAGTACGAACAGGTCATCAGCAGCATCAGCAGAGCATTCCCATACACACACACGAACACACACACACATACACACTCTTTAAGCAACCTTAACACAAATATAGGTTACATAACTTCAATGGAATACCTTACTTCAAAAGGAGAGAATTTCAAACCAGTAGTTTTTAAGGTTTTTTTTAGTATTTTTTTTTTTAGATCTCATGACTGGCATTTGCTAATAAAATTCTGCAAACCGGATGCCATGATGCATTTAATACAAGCACAGGGAATCAGCTAAAAAGCAGTAAAAATAAAAATAAAAAGAGAAAAAAAGGCCCATGGCGATCACAGATGTGAGTAATGACAGCAGGCTTGCACATCTGGCCTGTGCTGTAAGAACCCTTTCTTAAAGTCAAAGTTCTCCACTCACAGCCAGCTTCTGGCAATAAGTGCATTTTCAGCTCAGGCAGCACATCAGAATGCCCGAAGAGTGTTTTTGCTGTCATCATCGAGAACAAAGAAGTTCAATAGCTATGAGGAAATTCGAGTTTTACTTTTATGTGGCGGCTTTTAATGAGGAAATGGCGCCTTAAGGACGGATACCTGGGGTTCAAAGTCAATTTCATGACATACGCTCACGTACCCAAACACACAATCGCATAATAAAAAACAGCTTTCAAATGTGATCATCACAAAAAACTAAATTTCTTTACAAAACATATCGCAGCACATACCCTGACACTATATCCAAAAGGTTTAGCATTGCATTATAAATTAGATACGCTGAGTATTACTTAAATTACAATTTTATATTATTCATGTTAGGACCACAGAGACGGGCTCAAACTGGGGAGACGTATCATTTCAGAAAAAGAGAAAATCTCCAGCCAGACAGACTAAATGAAGCACCGAACTGAGGAGAAAGGTAGAGCCAGAATTGACACTAACACTGGACATGGGACACTGAGGGTCTCCCTGTGGTTTGGGGGAGAAACTCCAGATGGCGCCGCTGCACAGCTGTGGTCACTGATCTTTGTCGTGCATCTGCTGCTGCATCTTGTTCAGCATCTCCTGCATCCTCTTCAGCTGTGGACAGAAGAGAGGGTAGGGACGAATGTCTACATCTATATATCCTGGATGAGCCACATGTTTGCAGAAACCTGTCCTGGTGCAACAGTCTATAATACACAGTGGGTGTATTATAAGATGAAAAAGCAGCTTTTGAAACCATGGTGAAAAAAAGGGGATTTAAATGTATCTCTTGTTTATACATTTGTTGAGCAGCAGATAACTAGTTCAGAGAAAAATAAACACATGAATTCTGATTCCTGCCCTGTATGAAAGTATGATACTGTTTGGATATGAATTATTATATAGTTCAGCGATAGAAATCTTTCACATTGGACCACTATATCTTATTGACAGGCTGTATTATAGTAAAATGTGCTAAACCTCCCAAAGTTCCATCACAGACACACAAGTCTGCCTTTACCTCCTCATCTTTCATTTTGATAAGCTTCTCAGTCTCCACATCTGGAGTGGACAGCGGCAGGATGGGGATGGGACTCTCCATGCGGTTGTCCTGAGCCAGTTTACTGACAGATGAAGAAAAAAGGTGAGGAAGATGAGGGGTGGGATGAGAAGGTGAAACCTGTAAACATCAGCGGCTGAGATTCTCACACTGTAATCTCTGGCGGGATCCCTGACACAAACCTGGTCATCTCCTGTATGCACTGCGCCCTGTAGTTCTCGTAGTGCACGTCGCAGGTCACGTCTTTCAGGTCGTGCATGTGGGACCGGATCAACATGTTCCTCAGTTTCACAAAGTCACAGTGCGACTGGTTTTCAACTGAGCACAGAAAGGCGCTCATTAGTGATCAGCTTGAAACGCGCATACTGGGTCTTGTGAGTGCTGATGAAATATGGACATACCTTCAACAATCCCCCAGGGGTATAACCTTCCTCTCACTCTCTGGCCTCGTGCCTCCACGACTGTATTACTGCCAATGACAGCAAATGGAGTGCACTCCTACACACACAGGTTTTTTATTGTTACCCCTTATCCAATATGGAAAAGCTGAGTTGTCAGGGAACATTTGAATCGTAATAAACATTCAATAACCATCTTAGGCGTGTGACTGGAATTCGTCTTCTGCCAATAGAATTGGGGATAACTTTTAACAGATGATCAAGCGAAAGAAAGATCCCTTTTCCAATTAATGAAAAAAATGAAACCACTTTTTTTCTGATATGCGAAATATGTAAAGCTAAATCAGATGTTCATTCAAAAGAAGAAAATCTTTTCAGGAATGGCCCAGCATACTTTACTCAAAAGAAGAAAACAAAAACTGTGAACAGTTTCACCAGAGCTGCTTCTTTGCAAATACAAAGTACCTTTGTCTGGCTCAGCAAAGTCTGCAGATTATCCAAAAGGAACTGATTTTGTGATTAGACACATTTCTTGGAAAATGTTCTGAGCACTTTGACGAAAAGAAATAAAACTCCTTTCATCTCACCAGCAGCTAATGATTACAGGCAGAGTCGTATTTTTTTGCTTCGTATTACTGAAGCTGGATATGTGCATAGACTATGAAACCAAAAAATACACAACTCAAGATTTTTTAAATCTCCTCTCCAAAATTGCTCAGACTAGGACAGGCAGCAGTCTAGATCAGCAGAAATATCACAATACAAACAACACTACACCAATTATTAACATGTATGGCACAAAGGAACTATAAAACATCCCAATTTTAAACAAGGGCTTTAGAAGACTTAGAAGTTGTCTAAACTACTGGTAGTAATTGACGGCCAAATAAGGAAAGAAAAGTCAAGTATTACATTTAAAACAAGATAAATCTACTTCTGATTTGTTAATATGACGTAAATTTAGATTGTATATTTACCTCCTAATGACATTGCAGCTGTTCCATAAAAAGTAGTGTATTTTCCATCTGATTGCCCAAACTCACCTTCAGCTCTTTGTCAAGTTGTTTAAACTCTTCATCCTCATCTGAGTCGCATTCGGGGAACTGGTACACTTTGATCCCAAACTTATCTATCTCCTCTCGTATCTGAATGAGAGCAGCGAGACAGTCAGAACATGCGGTCGGCGTGTGGTGAGGAAAACCGTGGAGCTGCAGGACTTCCACTCACCCTGTCTTTGAGCTTTTTTATCTCGTTGGGTGTGAGGCAGTCCGCTTTGGCTATGAGCGGGATTATGTTCACTTTTTCATGCAGGGCCTTCATGAACTCGACGTCCACGGGACGAAGCCTGCGGGGGGAGAAGTGCGGAGTTGGGAGGACGTCGAGGCAAACACGCCAAATACACGGCGGCCTCTGTGTGTGTGTGTCGTTACCCGTGTCCAAATGGAGGGATGAAGTAGAGGCAGCAGTGGACCCTGTTGTCCTGGATGTTCTTTCTGTTCAGGCCGCTCTCATCCCTGAAGTATTGCTCAAACTGCTGATCTATGTAGTCTGTGATTGGCTTCCAGCTGCCACACACACACACACACACACACACAAACGTATGGCACCGGATTTCAAGTCATGTCAAACGGTCTGAATGAGGCCCGGGTCAGCCCGGGCCTGCAGCTCACCACTCGTTGTTGTTGACAGCGTCTCCGAACCCCGGTGTGTCCACTATGGTCAGCTTGAGCTTCACCCCTTTCTCCTCGATGTCTACAGTGTGTTTGATGATCTCCACAGTTTGGTTGATGCGCTCTGCAAGGCATCAAGACAAAGAGGATGAAGGACAGACGCTGACACGGAGACAAATGAGTGGAAACGGATCAGTGAGAGAGTGAAACTAGCTCTCCTGGTTTGGATTTCCTTTATTGATTTTATGATGAATGAAGTGGCATCAGACAGGCATGGACCATCTGAGAGTGACTGATTTGATAGATTTTATTTAGAGATTTGCTGGATAGTTTTTACAAACACTGTGAGACTAATGTGTTTCTTAAGTTCTCACGCATCAACAAGCTGAAACAGCCAATGTTAAAACAGCATGAAGACTCACCCTCAGCATTCAGTAGCTTCCTGTCTTTGTAGAGGTCTGTGAGGAAGAGGCTGTTGACCAGAGTGGATTTTCCCATCCCAGACTCACCTGCATATGTAAAAACAACACAAAACAACATATAGATCATTTTAAAAAAAACTCACAGCAGCATAGCCAAAACTATTATAACGTCTGAAAATGTAAAATGAATCCCAGGAAGATCAACTTAAACTGAACACAAAGTTTCCCCGAGATCCCCCTAAGACAGTCACAAACTGGAGAGAATAACCATCGGTGGGCTCTAATCAATAGCTATTAAAAAAGCCAGTCAAGTAAACTGGAAACATGACAGTTAATGAAGATTTCTACATGTTTACATCCTCTGTCAGAATCTGACCTGCAACCATGAGTGTGAAATCGAAGCCCTTCTTCACAGACTTCCTGTGGACCTGATTGGGCAGGGTTGCAAACCCCACATACTGTTTCTCCTGGAACAGACAAAAGAAGAGGAAAAGGAAGGTGATTAGTTTTGAATGGGGGCTTGTGAAATATAATTGCTAGCGTCATTAGTTTCTCTGACAGTTCCTTAAGTGCTGAATTAGTCTGTGAATCAGGCAGTCAACTGAAAGGCTGATGATGATGATATTTTTAATGTTCAATCAGAGGCGGAGAACTTTAACTAGTTATTAATTAGTTGCGTGAGAGGATTTGTTGCTTTTTCCCCTTTCATTTCCAATCTTCAGCCAGACAATATAATAGAATAAAATACAATAGAATAGAATTTAACAGCCCTAAATTAAAGTCCCAAGAAACTGCCTAATTGTTTGTTTTGTTTTGATAGATTTACACTGAAAACTTGGATTGATAGATTTATGAAAAGCAACAGTCAAGAAAGAAAAACAAAGTAGCTACAGCACAGTAAAGTGTAACACTGTGATATTTGGAAAAACATCCCGCCTTTTTAACTTGGTATTACACTGTGCTGCTATTGAATAGACACAGATGACAGAAAATACAAAGAAATCCAGAAAATCAGTATGCTCTGTTATTTTGCTGCCAAGCAGTCTTTAACTCACACATCATTTCTGCACAAGGAAACGTTTAAAAAAAAAACCCCCACAAAAAACAGGTATACAAAAGATGAGTTCCTGCTATTATCCAAAGAGCTTAAGCAGAAGAAAAGTGAACATCATCCATGTTTCTTGTCATTATTAGTTTTGACAGACTCCAATAACACCTCCTTTATTCATGTGTGCCACTCAGTTTCTGTCTAAGCATGAAGGAATGTCACATGATTAATGGAGTTTGGTTGCTTAATCTTTTTGCAACATAGCTCTTGGAACATTTTCAACCTTTTGTGGCTGAGTTTGTTTTCCAAAGTCTGCGAAAGGGAACATTTCTAAACTTTTGAAAGAGGAGTAATGGTGTTTTTGTGCATCAGATTACAATGGAATACAATTCAGTAGACACTAAATGCATACGCTTCACATCTTTTTTTCTTCATGGAGTAACAAGTAAAAATAATGTTATGGGTATCTTATGAAAGATAACATTAAACACAGTATCCCACTTGGTGTGGTTGTACGGTGTCTAATGAGAATGTTTTTAAAAATCTCTTAAATACAAAAGTAAATAAGGAACAAAAAAATAGGAGCAGACATTGAACAACCGTGAGGATTTTTGATGTGAAAAAACAAAACGGATCTGGCAGTTTCGGCTACAATAAAATGACCACAACAGATAGAAAAATCCACAACTGCGTGGAAAAACATGTGCGGAGCATTCCTCTCACGGCGGCTGGGAATAACCAGCGCCTCAGACTTTCCACCAGATCTCTCACAGAAACACAAAGGGAACCACAGGACAGCAGTCTCTCACTGAGGCCGACGGGAGCTTTCGCTGCTGCTGCATCTGGCAGAGCGTCATCCTCACCCCCACAGCACTGACAAGTGCAGATATGAACACACACTCCGAGGCCTGCGGAGAGCATTCACAAACAGACAGAAGCTACATTCAAGAGACCTGAAAAGCCCTTTTTTTACTCTCCAGACACACAGGCCAAACACGCAGCGAGTGCCCTCATGCGCTGTCATAACTTGTCACGGACATTTCCGATCGCCTCATCGGGTGGAGGGGGTGCATTTATGTAGGAGCCACACACACACATTTGCATAAACGAGTCTGAGAAAAACCAGCCTAAAAGATAAAGTGCTGATTAAGCTGCTGATAAATCAGCCACAGCAGTAAAGCTGACGGAGTAGAAATATCTTAAGTAGAAACGGAGCTCAACAGAGAAATGCAGTACCAGCAAGAAGGTGTTGGCAAAAAAGTCCACAGGTGTGAGCACTTCCTGTTTGTGACCATCCTGAGCTCTCTGCCATCACATCTCTCTGTACATGTCAATACGCTTCTTTTAAAAAAAACATTTTTCATGCCAGGTCTGCACACATTTCTTCCCATGCATCCGATTCTCTACCTTCTGCCGGGCTGTTCTCACTCGAGGGCACAGAAGTCGTTCCACCAGTTTTTCTTGCAGCATGATGGCATCCATCCTAAACCGCTCCAACACTGCTGGACCAAAATAGCCACGGGACTCAGAGGGAGTCAAAAAAACAGCCCAGCGGGGAACGGGGAAATGCAACGCCAAGGCTCCAGACCTCAATAAACTCGCGTCTTTCCTGCTCGCTCTCTTTAAATATGGTCCTCCTATTCGCTGCCTTCTTTCTTCAGTTTTTTCCCAGCCCCTCTTCTTTGTTTAATCCTTTGGATCCTCTGCCCTACAGCGGTCCAGCTCTCCCTGTTCAGACAGGTATGGAGGAATTCTCACAGCGAGATGAACGCGAAGCATAGAGGCAGAAAGAGAGAGGTGGCAATTTGAGGGAGGAAACAAGGGAGGGATAGAGAAGGAGAAGGTCTAAAAGAAACTCATTCATTCAGCCTGTTTTCCATCCCCCAGCTCAGATGGCTGAAAAATAAATCTCTACACTCAGAGAAATTACCAGCAGCCCACACTGAAAGAAAGTGTAGAGGCTTTACATTGTTGCACTCTGAGGATGAGAAACGCAGAGGAACTTGCTTGAACTCGAGTAGTAAGTATTTCAACACAGATAACCACACAAGTCCAGACACATTCAGCGAGATTATCAGTCGATCGGGTTAATTAACTTGCACGTCAATATGTTCGGCAGGTGCTCAGTGTATGTTTGTGTCAGCACTAACAAACATACAGAGAAAGCTTCCTCCAAAACGGTGACAGAGTTCTCTTACAGTTTTGATTTGAGGTGACAGTGCAGGTGGAGGTTAGGGTTAAACTAGTGAATAAGAAATAAACTTCTGCACCATAACTATTAAATCATTGTACAAAAAACACAGTGTAAATATTATGTAAGGAGCATAATAAAAAAACACTATGTTAGCAAAAACTGCTTTTCCATCTCAAAACTTCCCAAATTAAATAGCAGAAACCTAGTGTTTCATTGTAGCGTAGATAATATATTATTTGAATAGTTCAGAGTCAGGAACTTAATTTAGGTTCCAATACAGGACATAAAGCTGAGCAGTCATTACATGGAAGCTCTACTACTTATATCTGCACCACTGATTTGTACTTGTGTACTTTCAATATGAGATCTATGGAGCAACTGTTAAAATTAGACCAATATTGAAAGTAAAGATGGGAGGGGTGAAGAAGAAGAAACAATTATCAGGTGTAAATGTAAACAACTCACAGACAACTGGAACTTTACAAAGTAGTGTCTGAAGTAAACATTCATTTTCTTTAAGGGACCAAAAATAGACTGAACAGCTGCCACGACAGAGAAGACGCAAGAACTCTCTCTGGAAATGCTACCTTTATCACAGTAATATTTTACTCAGCTGAGCCATTTCTGATACTCTGTGAATGTTTTTAAAATTTCACACAGCAAAAAAGACACTTGAAAGCTAAACGTTCTTCAAAATTGTAATTGTCTGAGGTGGGCTGACAGAAACAAAACATGGACTTTCAAAACACTGAATTCTGATTTTGTTGGATGGTATTCCATATTGAGGATTTGCGGGTTGCTGGAGTCCTAATGGACTAATTTTCAGTCACATTTAACTCTCTGACAAAACATACAGAAGAAATATGTGAGTGAGGCAATTTCATTAGTGGAAATATTATATAATACCGAAAAGTATTAATGTTTACTTTTATTATACTCATCACAATAATATTTACATTGTCCCTTTGTGGCAATCATTTGCGGTAGTTGATGGGGACTCTGGAGCAGTTTAGCCAGTTTAAACTTAGATGAGTGTTTAGGAATAAATTGGTTCCCAACAGATTTGCATTGTTTGTCTGTTTATCAGGCAATTAGCCAGTCCTTTTGGAGATGATGTAGCTCTCAAAGCTACATCATCTCCAACGGGACTCTCGATTAGGTTTAGTCAGATTCAGTGTGAACAACAGCTTTAGTGGAGTAAAAATGACCCAGGACTTGTAAGTTGAAGAGCTTTTCTTTCACAGCTTTTGTTTCTTTTAGTTACTCAAGCATGTTTGATTTCATTTGAACATTCTAGATGAGGTATTTGGCAAAGTGTGGCGTGAACTGCTTAAATCGTTATTCCAGAGCTTTGCTCCAGGCTGTGGACTCAAATTCATACAAAGGACATGACTAACATCAGTACTATGTCTTATCAGCTAAATATAAAGTCCAGTCAATCATCTCACGCCACTAAACTCATATCAGACAATCCGTCAAGCCAGTCGCATGAACAAATGATCACATGTGAAGTGCACTTTCTGCTGCCAAAAATGTGGGCGGGCAATGAAGTTTTTGTGGCTCAAATGGATGGTGTCGACTGCGAGAGGACAGGGGGAAAAAATCAGTGGCAACAGTGTTTCTTCCAGACACTTAAGAGTGAGTGTGTAGATGTGGCTGAGGTGCACTGCATTGCAGAGGTTGAACCTAAGTGATTCCAGATGTGACAGCGGCGCGTGTGTGTCTGTGTGTGTGTGTGTATGCATTCAACGGGTGTGTCTGACTCACGTGTGGGTAGCTGAACTTAAACATTCTTTGAAATAAAAGAAGTCGGCCTTCTTTCCTGGAGCTGACACGCCCCGTGCTGATGCCACGTAAAGGAGGCGACAAACTCACGCCACACCACAGGAGGGAGACAGAGGACTTATCTGGGTCCAAAAAGGTTCATAAACTGACAGTCTGAGCTGGGATGATGCTGGTGTGCCCATCACAGTATTTTTCAAAATTAAGGAAAAAACTGAAAAAAGGCCAGATGTCTTCAAATGGTTTCACAACAGCTCCCCCCAAACAAAGCCCTCCCAGTTAGTCTTTAACAGTGGGCAGCTGTCCCTCTATACCATTCACATGGACAAGCAAATAAAATCATTCAGCCACACTTTTACAGTTGCGTGAAAAAGCCGACAGGATCTTCAAATAAACATTCCACATTAATGAGGAAAAACGCTGGTGGTGGCGCCCATCCCGGCTTCAACTGGTGCCTTTACCAGAGACTCTGGGTGCACCCTGCACGCCTGTAGGTCCAGATTGTGAGCCCATCACAAAATATCGATATAAATATATTGCTTAAATAGTAAGCAAAGCCATCAAAATCTGTGGAAAAGGAAAATCTGATGGCTAACATTGAAAGGTGTTGACTTTTTATAAGGTGAATGATTTATTTAAAAAAGAAGGCATGATCTACACGATCAACAAACGGCTATATAGCCCAAAAAACTGATGTGAAAAAACAAAAACAAAGAAGCATAATGCAAAAATATTCCTAAGGGCAAAGAATAAGAAGAGAAAGAATAAGTTGGTCTCTGAAATGTCTTAGTATGGACTTGAGCTGAGAAAACCAACAAAGACCATTACACTGATTGAAGTGAAAGTAAATTAGAAATGTACTGATCTTTACAGATAGGAGTCATTAGCTCCCTCATGCTGAAAACCGGGCCGGGAATGGTGTGTGTGCTCCAGGATTAAGGCAGCCAGAAGAGCAGTGACCTTTACCGATGGCACCTCCCCCCCCCCCCCCCCCCCCGCTGACACTTTCACACCATTAGCCCCCAATGCTGCCTGCACTAAACTGCAGACCGGATGGTGGGCCAGCATGTGAGGCAGAGGGGAGGTAAGTGGAGGTGAGAGGGGTGAGAGCGGGTGAGACAAAGGGAGAGGAGAGGAAAACAACCTAAAGACAGCCCTTTCCCCTCTTAAGTTTCGTCTCGGTGGAGACGCAAATGCCTGCATACACACGGCCCTTTAACATGCTAATCTGGTAGCATGTAATTACTCAAGCACCAATGAAAAAGTTTCACTGAGGGACGTTCGGCCATTGTTGTCCAGTTCGAGCATCTGCTCATTCAAAGACAAATGACGCTTTGCAAATGAGCATGGAGATAAGCCTATATGTTAAGAAGGAAGGTTGACAATCATTTAAAATACCAGAAGAACCCCTGAAATTTTTTTTACCGTTTGCACTGTTCTACTCTCTTGCACAAATATACCTAAAGCAACATGGAGCTGATTGTGGTCATCTTCCATTCCACTGAGCTACAAGGGTGTCCACAAGGTGTTGAAAAATCAGGCCAGAAGTCTTTATTTGGCCCTTTAGCAAAATATGAAGCAAAATAATTCAATCATTTGTGAATATTCATCTTTCATTTCAGTGCCATAAGTCAAAATGATTGTCATTAGTCTTCAGCCCGCTGTTATAAAGTGTATCTGATTGTGAGCAAGGTTTTCATCATTGAATGATGGAAAAAGGTCTCAGATGCAAAAGATTTTCAGAAACTGTACGTATCAAGTACGATACACATGTACACATATTACCGGGATAAGCATGACTTATTTAATCTACAGAAAGTTTGCAATGATAATAATAAACTTAATGTAATAAAGCTGGTGACGCTAAACAATCAAAGGAAACTTTAGGTGGACAGTTGTTTTGGTATTGTTTACCATAAGAAAGATTAAACTGTCAAGCAGAGTCACATCATAACATGATGACAACCTTGTGATTCATTAGGAGCCAAATCCATCACATTACTGTTTTCCACTAAAGTAAGTTAATCATTGATAAAAATATGTTGTTGTTTACTACATTTAGAGCAGTTATGAAATCATCTTAATTGTTCTCATTCATTTCATTGGATTATTGCTTTAATTCCTAATCTCTCATTCCAGGAGACCTTTAATCCTAAATATATAAAGACCAACCCATGAAAAGAGTTTTGCTATCTGGGTCAACCGTCTCTCTCTCTCTCTTTCTCTCTAAAAGCTTCATGAAACAGAGACCTAAGGTGATACATTTTTTACTGAAACCAAGAGCAAAGGAGGATGATAGTATTTTAGGCGTTTCAGCCTTAAAAAAAAATAAAAACACAACACACTCAACTGGATTACATGCACGTTTGCAGCGTGACAAAAAGAAAAGTATCCACCCAAACACACTGCAGTTCTGCTGCTCATCAAACACCAGAACAAAAGCAAAGAGACAGGGAAAGAGGAGAAAGCCTGCACAGACACTTTTAGATCTATCAGAACCTTTTTCATAGATTATGTTAATTGGCAAGCAGACATTTACTGTTTCGCTTATTCTCCAAATAAATTGCTGCCTGCCTCTTGGTCAGAAAATGGAATACAAACTGGGGAAAGTGATGCAAATGACTGTTTTGAAATATTTTAGGAGCACTCAAATGTTTACCTAATGAGTATGGAGAAGCTGATACTCTAATGGTGCCCAAAAGGTTTGGAAAAAAGGATTTTCCAACCCCCAAAATGCTAACAATCAATTCTT